ATTATGCCCATCATAAAGCCGGTCTCATCAAAGTTGTAGATATCGGCTAGGTCGATACCATATTTCGCGATTGTATTCTCCACAAGCCGGAACCAATTGCGAATAATGGTTGGATCTTCGCATTTAGCCCTCTGATAGTCGTATTTACGAAAAAAACGCATCTTAAGCTCTGGTTGTCGCCTGACGAAGTTAGAAGCCCAGCGCTTGCCGACAGGTAACGCGTCGCGGTCGGCGAGCAATCGGTTGGCCATTTCTTCTACACCGCTCAGTTGCGGGGGAAACCCTTGCGAATCTAGGTTAAGAATATACTCAAGAAGAGTCTGTTCCTCTAGATCAGATAGTTTACGCGAATTGGGCATAGTATCGCGTCGCGAAGTAATGCCGGCGCGTCGGCGTAGTAGAGTATGGCGAGAGACCTTATAGATCTTTGAGGCGCGGTAGGGAGTTAATTGAGGGTCTTTCTGAAGGGCTTGAAGGGCAAGATTGATATTTGCCTCATTGCTTATTGACGACATAATGCGTGGTTGAAAAAATGGAGTTAAAAGAGGGAAGAGGGCGGTTAGAAGAAAAATTGTGCACTTGCTTGTATTGTACACTTGCTTATCATGTATGTTATAGCTAATTCTTCTTATCTCTAAAAAAACAAGTAATATTATAAAGAGCAAGCTTATTTTAAGATATCTAGCTATTAAATAAGATATAAAGCACTCTAGAGGAGTTTCTTAATATCTTAATAACTATCTACTTATAGCAGTTATACTCTTAAATAATTTTATATTAGATAGCTATAGTACTTAAGTTAGTATATTAGATTGAAATAAAGGGATTTAAATAGTTAAAGATTTCTTGGAGGATAGAGTTCTTAGTAAAGAAAAAGAACTAGTTACTACTAACAATTAATTTAACTAGTATATGCTAAAAGTATTGCTTATTAAAGCGTAAAATAAAGCTATTTATAATATTCTATTTTATAGGCTTATTAATATTCAGTTTCAAAATAAAGGCAATAATCAGCTAGTTTGATTTTAATATACCTTAGAATTTTAGCTGTACTATATTCTTTTTCTCTCCCTTTAGTGCTAGTATTTTATGCTTACGCTATAGATAATTTACTGCATTCTGGAGACCTAAAGAGGTAAAACTCATAATAATAGGACGATTTCTAAGGATATAGTTCTTACAAGCCCATTTACATAAGCTATAACATTAAATATTATAGCTAAAGTCCCACAGCTAAGAGCTAATATTACAAGCATATTCTAACTAAGTCCAGCCTCTAAAATAGTAAAAAAGCTAGTCTTCGAGGTAGTGCTGTTAGCCTGGCTGGTTGGCTGACATCGTTAAAAAATTATCTCTTGTAAAAACAGCAGCAGAAATCTGGTAAAAATGCCTTAATAGGGGCAGTTTCTTATATAACGTTTATAAATTAAGATTAGCTGGGGGGGGGGGGGGGGGGGGTGATTGACCTTAGCTAACTTAAGTCTTGGTACCTTAATTTACTAGGCAATTATACAAAAATAAGTACTATAGGCCCCACAATGCCAACAGGTATACCTAAATCCACTCTATTACATCCACTTTCAGGTCTGAATATAGTAGATTATTATGTAAGCTGAGGGCGGTAAAGAGCTTCTACTAAAATGGCGCCTAGGCGCTACAATAAAATCGGCGCCTAGGTGCTGCAATAGCGTTTTTATGGGTTAATATATCTTCTATTAGCTAGGTATATTAATATGTTTAATGTGTTTAATATATTTAATGTAGTTAAGTATCTTATATCTCTTTAGTAATAATTTATTAATTATCCTCTCTTTATTCTTAATATAATTAGATATAACAAGTGCCTCTTAGCTGTTTCTTATAGCTTCTACTCCTTTTACTCTTCTTAAAGCTGTATCTTTTTTCTATAATTATCTTCCTCTAGAAGCTGAATACTAATCTTACAATAAGCTAGTTATAGTAATTAATACTTAGGCTATTATACGAGGCTATATATTTATTATACAAAAGTTAACTATAAAAACTAGTAGCTGGAAAATTATTACTTATATATATAATAAATCTTAGAAGCCTAAAGCTCTAGAAGAAAAAAAAGCTAAGTATAAGATAATAACTTAAGATATAAGCTACTTGTTTTCAATCTTAGCTAAGAAGTTACTAGATAAAGCTATATAGTTTTTATACTATTAGCTAGATAGGTAATTTTTAAAGTATAATTATCCTCTAAGTTACTATCTATTAGCTTATCTAGTATATTGCTAATTAGATACTTTAGGTAAAATAACTCTAGTAGAACTTATATCTACTAGTATCTTTTTAAGAGATATCTAAACATTTTTATACTAGTAAAATTCAGATTTCTTAGTAACTAGAAAGGATATCTATAATTAGATTATTAAGGTAAAAGATAATATATATAAGAGCTAAAGCTCTATCTATACTCTTATTAACTAACTAAACTATAAGAGTTTCTAAAGCTATATCTAGATTAGTAAGAATTAGCAGGTTATAGTAATTTTATTTATCTATTCTAGTTTTAGTTAATATCTTCAAGCTTACTCTAACTTCTTACTACTTAATTATATATATAAGATTAATAAATATTAGATACTACTTCTTAATATAGTAGGAGTTAATACTTATTAGTAATTCTTTTATATAGTATTTATATTTCTTAGTAGTAAGTAAAAAAAAGATTATATTTAGGCCTTAGAGTAACTTTAATCTCTTTATAAAGCCTTTAATATTAAGCTTCTATTTATAATCTTAATAGATTGCTACCTTATCTATATAAATACAATAGTAATAGTTTTTTTATTAGTAGAATTATTATTTTACCTTTAGTATATAAATAAAGCAGTTCTGGCTTACTATCTTTTAATTTTTATATTATAAGAGTATCTAGCTATAGGTATTATAATAAAGGTATCTATAAAAAAAGAATCTAAATTAAAGAGCTGGGTAGATTTCTATAACTCTTAGTATTCTATTATATAATTACCTACTAAAGCTATTTTTAATAAATATATAGTAGACTTTAAAAAAAAATATCTTCCAAGTTATATTAAAGAAGTTTTATATATTAAGAAGACCTAGTTTAAATTATATAAAGAAAAACTTATTAAAGCTTGAATAGATTAGTATATATATTTTAGTAATATAGCTACTTTATATATTAAAGGTATTTATATACTACTGAAATTATATTTTAAGATAAATAAGTTTAATCTCTTTAATATATAGAAATCTATTAAATATACAGTAGAAAACTAACTATTAGAACTGCAGTTAATATAAGCAAGATAGTATACTTAAAAGCTAAAAGAGTATTTAAATAGTAACCTATTTAGTACTTTATATAGCTGGATCTCTTATAAGATAATAAAAAAGGTTAAAGAATAGTAAAAGCTATTAGAGAAAACTAATCTGCCTATTTCCTTAGTTTATATAGAGGTCTTTACTTAGTTATATAGCCTGCCTTATATTTATAAGATTAAGTTATTATAAGGCTAATATTAAGGCCTTTAAATAGATAACTTCTATTAATATTAGTATCTAGTCTGTAATAGAGTATAGCTATAATTAATTCTTAAGCTAAGTAAAATTAAGTTTGGAATTTAAAATAGATTAACTATTATATAATTAAGCATCCAGCAGGAGTTAAGTATATTTAAAAGAGTTAAGCCTAAAGTACTAAAATACTCTAGATATTATACTATTAGTTATTTAAGAAGATTAAAAGCATATCCTCTTTTATAGTAAGAGGTATTATTGGAATCTTCTATACTATATTTAGCTGGGCTATTAGCTATACCCCTAGCCCTAGCTAGTTAGTCTTAAGAAGCTAAAGATACCTTATTTAGTTAAGTATAAGATAACTTAATTAATAAACCCCTAGAACCCTCAATTAGCCAGGCCAACGAGATATTTATTAGTTAGACTTAAGATACTATAGTAATATAAAATCTACTAGAGCCCTCTATACTATTACTAGTATTATTACTAGAGCTACCAGTATAAAACTTACTATATTATATACCTAAGTCTATATATTAATAATATATTATAATAAGAAATACTTAGTATAAAAAACAGCTTATTAGAAGTATTAAAATAAACTAACTTTATTAAAAAGCAATAGAACTACCCCAATAATATAAAAGAGAGCTATATATTTAGTATCTAAATTACAAGTAGATAGGCCAGTATTATAGATTATCTAAACTTATAAGAGACTGAACTAAAGAAGAGATAATAGTATATATTAATTAGGACTTTACAGAAATCAAATATATCGACGCTCAGGTAGCATATTGAATGGGAAATAATAATAAGAAAGCTACCTAACGTAATATAAGGGAAATTTAGCAATAGGCCAAAGAGGATATGCAGGTTCAAGTAGCGTAATATTCGTAATAGTATTTCCCTTTTTAATTATCGATATAATTATAACACTTGTATTCTTATTTGATCCTGAATCATAATACTGAACGCGTTAACGTGCCTAGCCAATAGAAGACGTATTGACCCATAAAAACGCTATCGCGGCGCCCGGGCGCCGATTCTATTGCGGCGCCTGGGCGCCGTTCCAGTGGGAGCCCAGTGGTAGATCTTGATGACTAAGCATCCCAAAAGTCGGCGCGCCTGGCCTGCTCGACCAATAACATCATGTCATCATCGATGGCTTGAATTGGTCTCTTATGATTGCCCATGGCAACTGCCCTCCTGCAGTTCGCAATATGCCTGGGACGCTATTTCCTTTCTCTTCGGGCTGTTGTTGCTTTGTCTCCTGTCGTAGACTGGATGAGACATCTGTCCTTCCTTCATATATCACACACACCCCTCGCGATGGCCTCTGCAGTCCGACGCAAAGAAAGAAGAAAGAAAAAATGGAAAAATCGACACCATCGTGATCTACTCCATCAGGGCTCCTTTCGAGTATCTTTATTGTTTCCGTACTGTATGAAATGCTATAGAAAATAGGGAGTGTTCCTTGCCGTTTAGACCAGCCTCTCCATCTCACATGACAGCCTCAGCTGCTTGATGTAAACCTCGCGCTTTTGCGACGGCAACGGCTTCATGAGACCGCCAGCCGGCATTTCTGTTGTGGGCAACCATTTGATTACAACCTCGCCCGTCTGTCGGGTCTGACGAAGACAGTGGCCGTGAATGTCAACGTGCCTCAGCGTAGTGTGTTGGAAGGAGTGCCCGACCAGCTCAACCCGGACGGCAGCGAACGTGACGTTTTCCCACCGACCGGGTGCGGATACCACCGGAAGCCACTGCCGACGCTCTATACTTCACCGCTCAACGGCATAATAGATGGCACGCCCCTTGGATATGTGTCGTGCTTCCTCTTTAAACATTGTATCCAATTAGGCAGAGAGCCGCCTCCATCTCCTTCGCCATTTTCCATAGCCATGCCAACCAAACGGAAAGCCCCCAGATGGGTCGGCAGCCCACGTCGTCCCATCTGCCCTCTCGCAGTCACATTCGGGTCATCCTTTGCAAGACTCACGCGTCTGTTGTTGGCACTGATGCCAAGGCGAGCACCCATGTCGAGACCATCGAATTCTCCTCGAACGGCACCGCCCGCGACGACAACATATCGGAGCTGACAACCAAACCACATCACCGTCAAGGACGACCACGGCACTAGAGCTAGGGGACGCCGCGAACGATGCCGCGACAGCCTGCACAAAAAAAAAGAAAATCACTAGAGCGGACTCGATGGCATCGATGTCCAACAGGCCGCTGCCGTCCACGGGTTGATCCCAGCCCGAGGCTGTCGACGGCCACGTCCTTGCCGCGAGGATAGGCCGACGACTGCGGCCTGAATGTGTCATGTTGGCAATATATATGGGCCTGATCTGCCTTGGCCGATCGGACGGGCTTCCTCGCGACGAGTGTCCAGAGACGAGGACTCGGGGGGGGGAGGGGGGCGCTGGGGCAACCGATGCGTGTACGACGCCGACAAGATGGAGTGCGAGAAGCGCGGCGAGGGCCAGCTGGACCTGGGCGAGTTCGCGTACGTGGCGACCAAGATGGCGCTGCCGGAGATGAAGTCGTGTGGATGGGAGGTGCTCAAGGAGCGCGAGGAATTCTGGGGCGCCAAGAAGCACATCCACGGAGAGAAGGGCGTCGTCGACCTGAGAGACGACTACTACTCGCGAGACTGATTTCTTCACAGCGGCTCTGGGTTGAGAATGTTTGGAATCGATAGCTGGAGCACAGGTTCATTTGTTGGAGGCAAGACGGCGTCTGTAGACCTGAGCGACAGCAATCAACTTGTCCCTGGAGGATAAGGAGAGAGGATGGAGGTTGTCTACGCGAGGGAATAGGAAGTGACGGGAATGGGAATAGTATATAGGGAAATGATGCTCCAGAGGAGGTTTGTATAGCGATAGTGGAGGTAATAGAGGACAATGGAATCGTCATCTACAAGGTTAGCGCAGCAGTCAACATAATTCAGGAGATGCCTATGGGGGTTATTCCAGGAAATATCAGTACCGCTAAACGCTAGAAGGACTCCGGGCATTCTGGTAGTCGCTCGAGGTCGGCCTCCTGGGCAGCGATGACAGCATAGCAATGCTATTGTGGTCGTCAGAGACAGGCAGTGGCCAGTCAGCATCAATAACCTCTCCAGCCTCAATTACAACCTCCCCAGAAACTGTTGCCACAAGATCAGGCATCACATTACTATATTCAAGAGGCTGAATAAGAGAAACTTTGTCAAATAGCAGGTCTTGGGTTGAAGGCTCAGGTAAAAGGGTCTTCACCATCACAGCGCTGAGCCCGATGATTTCTTCAGATCAGGACCTACTGTGGTTAGCATTCAACTTGGAGGGGACAGTTGATGTGCCTGTTATGTATGCGGCCTTGGCGTGAGCTGGGCTTTATCAATTTATACTCATTGAATAGATGATGGTTGCGACAGTAATAACATCGTGACCATCTTGACCGCTTCCTTGGGCATCGGCCCGGATAGGATTGATAGCAGGGTATGCAATGTAGGAAAGGCAAGGCGCACAAGTTAGTGATGATATCTACAGTAGCAAACAACAAAAGGAAGGACATGGCGATCAAATAAATAGCTGTAAAGGTAGGGCCCTAAGCTAACCAGTTGCTCAGCAAGAAGCTCGTCTTGTTCTGCCACTGATTACTCTGGCTGACTTGCTTTCCAATAGCTAAGCTAACGCTACCCTATAGCATGATAAAGTTCGCATCAACTTCAATGTTCCAATCCCAAGCCCTGTCGATCAAGGAGATTGCCAATGTCAAGAAACATATCACCAGCACGTAATTAAATAGGTTCATCACTTGAACAGGCGAAGGGCGCCAGATCCAGGAGAGTGGTGCGGCGATTCTTCTTCTTATTCTTAAAAAAAAAAAAGGCATATCAAGGATGCAAGCGAAAAGGCACCAAATGAGATCGGAGGATGATGGCCCTGTGGGCCGGCATACACTTTAGCTGCAACACAATCTTGGCAGCAATACCCACCTGCTCGTCATCGTTGGCAGACTGAATCCAACTGTACCGGATATTGGGACGGTTAGTTGAACTGCGAATAATGTTGGAGGTGACTTTGCCATAGACATCCTCAAAGGCTCGCTTTAACGAAGGAGGTAGTGTGGCTGTAATGAGCAGTCTCTGCGGTGCAAGGTTGTTGGTGTTTTTGGCCGTATTCTTGAGAGCCGGGCGGAAGTTTGCTGTATTATCCAGAGCCATGTGAGTCTCGTCGATGACAACAAGGTCGACAAGGCGCCGGGTCTGGAATGGCGCAATATAATTCTTCCAGGACTGCTTGGAGAGGTCCTCGGGCTGAAGAATAATGACACATGGGCGGGAAGGCATACCGTGGCCTTCAGACCAGACGCTTGCGTTGATGCCGTACTGGAACAGGCGGCGATGGGTGTCCTCGACGAGCGCGGGCAGAGGCAGCACGGCGACAGTGATGCCGGCGGAGTTCAGTTTGGTAGCCAGCATCCAAACCTCGCTCTTGCCACTGCCAGCGGCAGCAACAAGAAGAGTATCACCAGGCTGGCACTGGAGAGACTGCAGTGCACTATCTTGGTGAGGGTGCATCCGAATACCGTCAAGACCCATCATCTGGGCCAGCGCCGAATTGTTGCGCAGCCTTTCCTTCCTGGCTCTCAAGCGCTTCATCTGCATGACCTCAGCTGCATCGAGATCATATTCTGATTGCCAAGAAGATTGAATCATCACCGACGACGGGGTGAGCAGTATATGCCACATATACAACAGCTGCAGGAACAGTTCAATCTTGGATAGTAATATCCCCTGGCTCTGTGTTGTGAATAATACCTCGGCTATATATATCGGGTAAGAGGCCTGGTGATGGAATACATCACTGCCATCATCGTCATTATCATCACAAGTATTTCCCGATATATTATCAAATGCACGATATAATAGGAGAGAATTGGCAATATGCTGAAGGGTGAATCGAATGGCAATATGGCTCCAGATTTGCACTCTAAGGTTGTCATCACCCGTAATCCCCTTGAATAGTTGCCTGAGATTGTCGGATAACGTTTCTGTAGTATGCCCTGGCATCGCACTGGTTTGGGCAGGCAACCGGCCTTGGTCGTCGTCTTGCTCCAGGATGCGGGCGGGGGGAGCGTGCGAGCGGTGCTGCCACAGCAAATCGGTAAATAACAGCGGGGATGGCTCAGTGACGTCGTCCTTGTGCAGATGTAAGTAGACGGCCTGCGCAAACGGCCGTACCAAGCACGCATAGATGACCACGACTCTGCTGAGTGAGGGGGGGAGAAATCGCCAGACGGAGCAGGGCTTGTGAGAGGTGTTGCGACTCCTGAGGCAGTCCGAGGAGATGGCGATGAGGCCCTGCACGTAGAACATGTTGCATCGGGCCACGCTAGAGCCGTCAAGGCATAGCCCAAGCAGCTCTCCGGCGTCAGGTAGTTGGCCGATGGTGATGAACATGGCTACGGCCAGGTGGGCCAACAGGCTCTGGACATCTTGTAGGTAACGTTCGGCTTGGGGCTGTTGGAGTTTCCCATTGTCGTCCAGCCATCGGGACTTGATTTCTGGCGTACTGTCGACGAGCTGCAGCAGGTAACCTTTGTGTGCAGCGACCCAGGCGCTGTCGCCGAGATGGTCCAGGAATGAAGACCCATGGCTATCTTGGCAGATGTCGTCGAAGTAGTGAGTTGGCAGGTCTGGAATCTCGCTCCATTTATCGGCGGCATTGCCGGGGGGTAGGAGAAGACACGTCCGCAAGCTGGCCAGCGTGTTGTCAATGGCTGTCGATGCCATGTACTGGATGTTGCGTAAGCTGACTGTAAGTTCTGTAACTCCACCGCAGCGCAGGGTCTCCCGAGCTTCATCAACCCAGTCGAAAGGGGTGGTGCTGTTCACATCCTGGGGGATCATGGAAAGCTTGGCCTGCATGTTGCAGATGGATGCCAGAGTTGTTGGGTTGGGAACTGGGGAAGAGTGGCATCCGAGGCTGGTCATCTGAGCAGCCAGTTTGGCGTGTACCATTGCGGGTGTGGCTGATTCCTCTCGCAGGACCTTGGAGTGAAATACCAAGAGGCACAGAGTCTTGATGATCGAGGAGAAGAAGTTTGGGTAGGTACTAGTTGTATGCTACTCGCTGGCTTGACCTGCCTATGGCACTCTCCTTACAGCTAGAATGGCCAGGCTTGCGAGGATGGGGTCTGCGAATGTGTGGCCGTAGACCTTGTTCTCGAACATGGCAATGATGTTGTGAGTGACGGCGTACTCGGCTTGCTTGGCATCGGTGCTGCAGCCAGCCGACTCCAAATTGTTACCCCATGGATTGGTGGATAAGGTTCTGGCATCCAGGTCTTGTATGTTCATGGCGCAGTGCAGAACGGTGATGAATAGATTGCAGCAGTCGTTGATTTTGTTCTCTTCAATGGTCGCAAGCCATTTATTGGAAGATTGATGTTTTGGAATCCATTGAAGAGAACCTCGGCGGCGGGCGCATTGTGGAAGTTGACAAGGTTGCGATTTGCCTCGAGGAGGATGCGACGCAGAATGGTATCCCACGCGGCACGCGGTCTCGGTGCCCGCAAGACGAGGACATCGTCGCTGGAGAGGGTGTTGAGATGACTGGAGAACCCAAGCCTCTCCATGAGCTCATTCGCCTCGACATGAGTGGTTGTTTCGGCAACGCCGTTATCGTTGTCGCAGATGGTACTGCGCTGGAGCAGTGCTGCAAGTGAGGGGCACGAGGGAGGGGAGGCTGGGGCAATGGCGAAAAGCATGCTCAAGGTGTCGGTGAGCTTGATACTTTGGACCTGCTGCAGAGCCACATGGGGTGGCTCATTCCTGTGCTCCTGGGAGTGATGTCGTTGGTGCGCTCCGTCGTCGGGGAAAATCGTGTGGCAGAGGTAACATCGGTAGCCAGTGGTTGTGGCAGGTAGCTATGACTTCTCTAGCATGGTAAACGTGGGGTCACGTTGGAGGTCGTGAAGCCGTGTTGCGAACGATTTAAGGTTACATTCCATATCATCTTCCGGTAGACGCTCGGTGAGAGTGGTCGCCTCATCAGGATTGACGATGTTCCAACATGTTGATAAATGCATCTCAACTGATGCGACATTCTTCATCACGGCGGTGTGGCAAAAATTGCACCAGAATAGGGAAAGTTCTGCGGAATGCCTAAAGTGCTTGTTCCCGGTGCTGGGATTGTCGGAAGACTGAAAAAACAAGCGTTAGAAGAGCAAAGTATTAGATGAGGCTGGACAGAATATACCATGGTTGCTGGCTGAGCTTGTAGCGTCCAGCCTACTTCTTCAAATGGGAGATTGGCGGCTGCGCTATCAGAAAGAAGTCAGTTGGCAGTACAGTGACTGGAAGGATGATAACCAGGTGGCAAGGGGATCGGATAGAGAAGGGGAAGTGTATCTGGAGTCCTGCTTGGAAGTGGAGGGAGGAGCAGCATACCGAAACCCGAAAAAGAGTTTGAGGGGGCCACCTTGGCGGGCGGGCGATGATACCCAGAAACAAAGATGGCGGGAAAGTAGAGACAGACTGCCCGAAAATAATGGTATGGTACTGGGAAAGTAACAATCAATACAACATATCGTAATCGAGATCCCTGATTCGAGAGAGAGGGTAGGATGATGTTGAAGTTGAAGGAAAGAGAGGGAAGGGGGGAAAAAAAAAGAGGTGAGAGATGTGTGTGTGCTTGAATAATGCGGGGAAGTGGTGTTTCTATTTCGGCAGCCCGGTGTCCGAAGTTGTGCCGAGTTGGCACTGAATTATCTGGTACAGCAAGTTGGCGCGGTAAAATTCTAATACCTACCTACTACCTAAGGGGGGGGGGTTTGGGTTGTTTTAATAGGCTGCCTGGGGGATGTTATAAGGCGTGATTTGGATGCTTCGTACAGCCTGCGTCGGGCTCGTATCAACCGATATTTCAGACTTCCTATTGTCTGATGCTGGGCAATGCCCCCCACCCTCCCCCACAACTCACACTATGGACGTTTGACAGGTGTGCCAATAACCCACTGTTTGGAATACCCACTTTCTTGTACCTGTAGATCACTTCCTTATACAGTTAACTATGGGGCATTTTGCGGGAAAGATTGCGGGTCAATTTGATGATGCCTTCCTGGTTGTCTACCAAAAACAGATGGGTATGGCCCCACTTTTAGTTGCGCATCTGTGTCCTGCTGACTATTCTTCCGCGGCTTGACTGGTACCTAAGGTAGGTAGGATGACTTGGTTGCGGTTCTGTTAAGTCGGCATCCGAACTAAAAAAGATATGTTCTCGTCGGTGCCAATTGGTAGAGAAATACCGGACTTGTTGGATCCACCATTGCCGATACCGCCGGCATACCGCCGTCCAGACTCGATCTGAGTTGTATCTAAGTCGATGCCGCCATGGATGGCCCGCCGACAAACCCTCTTCGTAGCCAAACTGCTCTTGGGTCGCTCTTCGTGGTTCCGGGGCGTGAGAGTTGGCGGCAGGGCCCTCTTTTGCCCCCGCAGAGTCAGAGCGGGTTTTGCTGCAATTGGCGCTCCCATCTTCGTCACTGGGGACTGCACTCGTGTGGGATCCTGAACGTTTTGTACATTCTCGTGAATCAAGTTGTATAGGTTGTAGATGCGGTATTTGATCTTGTCGGCGGGGGTCGCTGGCTCAGTATTGCTATATTGCCATGATCCACGCCGAGTTTTTTCATAGCACTCATGGCTTCTTGGGTCAACTCGAGGAGATGCCCAACAGTGTTATGCCAGTCGGGCTGAGAGCTTGACGCGGACTGTAGCAGCGTTAGTGGTGGAGCTTCTTAGTTTCCCTCCCGTGCTTACACTCTCTGTCAAAGATACCCACGCTACGGACATAATGATGACTACAAGTGTAGCGAGATGGTAATTCCAGACTTTAAGTCGAGCGGCTGATTGTTCTGACAATCTCACTGCCCGCTCTCTAAAACTTTGTAGCAATCCAGGTGTACTTTATTTCGCTATACGAGGCCGATACTTCTTGGAGCTCAATGTCATTTTTACTTATAAGGTTTAATAACTCAAGTAATACCGACCTTTTATAAGTAATAACCTCAAGAACATCCTTCCCCATGATGCACATGTGCCTGATGTTGGATTCATCAACTTGCCCAGCCAACAGAAGCACAGTCTTGGCAGCCATAATCGTAATATCGTAAACGCAGAGGGGGATCATCTCTTTTCCACTCCTCATCCTCTTCACCAAGCATCAAGCCAACCAGAAGGTTATTATACCCAAAGCATAGGGTATGAGAGATCTTGCCCATCCCAATATATTCCCACGCCGTTCTCTTGGAGGTTGACGCCAACTCGACAATTCGGGCCGCTGAACCCCCTACACTCCCCTTTATATGCAGCAATATGCGGCTTTTGGTTAGGCGGTGAAGTTTAATATTGTGAAGTATGCTGCAAATGCACTTGAGGGCTGTCTTACGGTCCATCTTCTCATCGTGGAACCAATATAGCTAATAATATCACTCTTGGAATGGACGTACGGAGATGAGGATAGATCTTTGGGTTCGAATATATACACAAGCTGGGCTTAAGAGTGGCTTTTTTTTCTCACGTCACTATATTCCAAACCTTCCGGGATATTACGTCAACAGACACAGTACAATCATCCCCAGTGTAGCCTCAAGTATTACTGAGGTGGACACCTCTGCCACTGGCGTGTCGATATATTCTGCCGCCCCAGATGTAGTAGAGTGCGACTTGGGGCACTTACGATTCTAACGATGGACGCAAGGGGGAGCTGGTTTCTTGGAAGAAGGGTCTGTTGGTAGAATCCGTTTGCAGGTCGAGTTCCGTGGCTTTAAGGCTGGCGTCAGGTAATTTTATCATCCTTCTGCCATTTGGGTTTGGAGTTGGGCTTAGAGTGGACAGTCCTTTCACTTTGGTCGGTAGAGGAGGTTGTTGTTGATGGGCACACTGGATCTTGCTCGCATCCTCTTGAATCCGACTGTAGATATTCTAGATGCAGTGTCTCGATTCGTTGATGAAAGTCGCCTGCTCCATTGGTGCCTGCATCGTGGCTTCGCCATACTCCAATGCCAAGTCGGGCCACGGCGTCCAAAGACTCTTAGATCAAGGTTGAATGCAAGCTCGACACTGTCCTTGGTCGGATGCGAGGACCAGGGGCGGCGGCTGTTCCAATATCAGTAGGGCTACTGGACTTTATTTCTTGTGCACTGTTTACAGTCGAGGGGGAGGAGACGGGCAATGTAAAGGTTATTGTGAGTGCCGGTCTAGCACAAATCGAAACCAGGTCTCGATGTTGGGAGGTTTGCCATGGTTCAAATAAAGCAGAGGTGGATTCAGAAGCCTGATGATGGTTGAGGGTGCGGTGTGTGATGTTTCGGGCGAGAAGAAGAGGAAAAAAATCCGCATGAACTGCAATATAAAGAGGCTGTGAATAAGCCTTGAGGTTGGTTGGCATAACAAACGACATAAGAATGAAGATGAAACCTCTGGAAGTAGACTGAGTAATTGCAAGATATAGCTGGCTGCTTGGATATTGATGAAAAAAAAAAAGATATAACTATACTTGTTTGTATATTTGGTTATGGGTGTTAAAGATAAATTATCTTGGCTTGGTCTTTTAGATATATCTCAGAAAGGTATTAGACTAATAAAAGAGAATGGGCAATATTAATAGACTTTTAATAGCAAAATTACAATTCTTTGTTTCTAATATAGTGAACATACCTTATATTAAAAGGTAAAGAATTAATTACAACCATTTAGTTTCTGGTTGAGCAATCCTGCAAGAGCAACTATCATATTGGTGGCCTCAAATCCTCCAATTTTGCGCTTCTTTACCAGCCACTTATCACATTCCACGGAGCCAAATGGGTTCTGAGTACTATCTTTGAAACACATATTCTCGCCGGATAGTTGTGTGATTGCATACCGCACCTCACTACAACAAAACATGAATAGGATGGTAATTATATCCCGTAGGCACCTCCCAAATGAACAATTATCGCCATCGACACGTTTTCTGCACAACACCTGTGGAGCCCAACAGGTGTAGCAACAGGAAAAGTCCGGAAATCTCTGGGTATTCTTCCTCCACTTGACCATATCGTCATTGAGCTGGACCACCTCACTTGCTATTGGTTGTTGGCAAGCATCGAGGTGGTGATGTTCTTTCTGCCTGGATAGAATGAAGCACAGAGGACAGATTTCTTGATTATGCAGTGCTAGTAGTGTTTGATTAAGTCGACCGAGTTCTGTCGCATAATATTGCTCTGCGGCCTCTTTTTGAGCAATATCTGCTTCGTATTGTCCAACAAAGTCTGTCGTGAGTGCGTCTCTCGACTGACTTCCACTTCCTCGAGGGCGTCTGGTTGGGCTTCTAGCGTCCTCCAGATCATGTTCTTGCCTAGTCCGTTTTGTGCTGTTGGGTAAAGGCTGCAGAGTGGGTGACTGGCTTATGCTGGGAACTGCAGTACTTGATATAGGTGAAACCCGAGGATATCGAGGTGTTTGGGAGGACATGGAAGCATCAACTGGGTTTGTCGACAACAATGGGATCTCCGTCATCTGCTGCACCATCTTGATGGCGCAGTTGTCGCACTTGGCCTCGTTGGGCAAGCATTCAGTTCTTTGTTCGCCATCGAGGTAGCTGGCGAGGGCGCGTCGGCGGCACTCCTTGTCTGTGAAGATGCTGATTGGAAATTTGGGCTGCCCGCAAATGAGAATGGCATCGGCTGCCTGGCCATTGGGATTGCGGCCGGCGCGGCCAAACTGCTGCACCAAGTCAATGAGTGAATATGGCTTACCGAGCACAATGACAATAACCACTTCTGGAATATCAACCCCAAGGCCCAGAGCAGTTGTGGCAGCAATCACACCATCTCCTGCCGTGCTATTCTTCCATTCCCGAATATTGGTTTCCTGTTGGAACTTAGTCAGTTGGCCGTGATAAGCTGGCCATCTTGTTATGGCACAGGCTTGCTCGAGTGTGGCGAGCGACCGGAAATAGACGATTGCTTTGTGGTTTTTCATATTTTGCAGCGGGCTCACAAGTTCCATGGCCTTGCGCAACTGGTCATCGGGAGACGATATACCAATCCACCTATAGCGAAGGTTTGGTCGATTGGTGGACTGACGCACAACATTGCAGTCGGTGATGCCATGCGAGTGCTTGAAGTTCAACAGCTCGCTATGTGGGAGGGTGACTGTGAGCCACAAACGGCGAGGCGACAAAGATTTGGTGTTGTGTCCAATTGCGTCGATGGAAGGCCGAAAGTCTGGATTCTTGCTGAGGATGAGGTGGGCTTCGTCGATGACAACAAGATCGACAGCTCGTCTGCCCTTAAGCTTGTCGGCAAAAGTCTTCCACTTTTCAGATGCAATGCTCTCCGGCTGGACTATAATGACATTCGACACCATCTCATGGCTGAATTCATCAGTCCAAATTCGCGCATCGATGTTGTACCGTTCCAGACGCTGCTTAATATCCGCGGCGAGAGCCCTGAGCGGTGGAACGACTATCGTCACCCCAGAGGCATTAAGCTTTGTCACCAACATCCAGATTTCGCTCTTGCCACTCCCAGTTGCCGCAACGGAGATGACGTCCGTCTCTTTTTTGAACATGGCCTGGATTGTTGCTCGTTGATGGGGTCGAATCGTCATCCCGCTGTGCCTTGTGAGCGTCTGGAGCGCGTCTTCCTTGACGGCGAGCTGGGAAACGCGGTCCAAGCGCTTGACCTGCAGAGCCGACCACTGTTCCGGCGTGTTGCTGATCGAAGACGTGATGGAGGCTGGACCAGTCGACTTGCCGACACCCAAGATGCTGTGCCAGGAATCGCTGACGCTGAGGAAAGCCTGGTACCCATCCTTGGCTTCTACTGCATACATTAAATTTGCGGTTCTGGTCGAGTGTGCGGCTTGCTGGTCGAATATCGAATCGGCGTCGGCATCATCCTCGTGGTAGCTGCTAGCATCCTATGCTTGTGTGCCGACTGGGATGAATTGTCGACCGAACGCAATGGCCGCGTGCCTCCAAACTTGAATCCCAAACTTCACCCCAAACGTCTTCAATGTGGTCTTGTGGAACTCAAATGCAAGATCATTATCAGACAAGCAATTTGGGTCCACCAGAGTCCTGTGCTTGGATTCTTCCTCGTCCTTCTGGTCGTGGCCGCCCTCCTGCTCGGGTTGCTGATGTTCCACTGGCGGGGTTGCCATGCGCAGTGTGAAATCTCTTGTGAATAGATATGTCGTTGGCAAGTTTGAAGATGTTGGTCGGTTAACCCGATGGTATACGTCCTGGGCAAAAGGACGCACCAGCCAGAGGTACAGAATGAGCATTTGGCTCAGGGAGCGAGGAAGGAATCGCCAGACTGGTTTTATCCTACCTGTCTGTTTCAGTGTCTTGTAATAGGTTGTAAAAACCCCCACCAGACCCTCGAGGATGTAGATGTTGCGCGGCGACACCGTCGTGTTCTCCACATGAACCCCCAGCAACTCTGAGCTCCTTGGAGGCTGCCCACCCGTAAGCAGCATCGGCAGGGACAACAAACAGAGTAGGCAATGAACTTTGTCGAGATAGCTTTTCGCCGTCGTGTGGTTGAGTGAGGCCATCCTTGTGACCCATTTGTCATTCAGGGTCTTGTTGTCCTGAATGGCGCGTTGCATGTAGTCTTTGCCGCGCGTGACCCATTCATCATTGAGGATATTGGTGAGGAAGCTCGTGCCAACCCTGTTGTCTGTTTGGTCGTCGTGGATTTCGCTAAGGTTTGGAAGCTGAAGGTTTTGCAGCTCCTCTGGTCCTGATAGAAGCAAGCACGGTAGAATGGCTCGTTCCACTGAGAGGATTGCCTCTGATGCGAAGGCTTGGGCTTGATCAAGTGAAACGGTGGTGTTCCCGATCTCCAGGGTTGTGTGGGATTCATTCTTCCACGAGAACGGCAGCGGTTTGTTGTCGTGCTGGCGAATCCCAGACTGTCTGGCCTGCATCCGATGAATCTCCTTGAGCGGCGTTGCCGGGCAATCTAGGTCTGGGGTGCACCCCAACCGCTTCATCGTCTGATTTAGCCGCGAGAAAGACCCCTCTTCCTGTTCGAGGGCTGTGTCGTCGTCAAAGGCGTCAAGATAGGCCAGAAGAGGAATAATCTTTGCCGCAGCAGGAAAATACCTTGGGTATGTAACCGAGTCGTGCCACTTCGAGTCTCCATTCCTGCTGTGTACTATGGCGAGAACTGCCAGGCTGGATAGCACGACGGACTTGAAAGATTCAGTGAAGAGCTTTTCCTGGAATAATGCCAGTAGAGTTTTAATAATGGAAGCCTGCATCTCAGTTGTGTCGGTGTTGGCTGAGCGGGAGAAGAGTTCTACCACCAGTGTGCAGAGGTAGTCGGAGATCTCGGCTGGCACCTTGTGGTTTTGCGCCCGAGCGTCGCACATTGCCTTGACAGTACTCATCAGGGTCACCATGCAGCCGGAGTACAAGTCCATTGTCTTTTCCGTTACGCTTTGGAGGGGTGTAGTGGCTAAGTCTGCCTTCTGACGTTGATTGAGGCGAATGGCGATTTCGGACGACTGCAACTGGCTGAGCTTGAGATTGGCATCTCTCATCATGGTGATGAAGATGTCTACCCAGTATGGTTGTCGATCTGGTGGTTTGGTAAATTCAAGCAAGTTGCATGAATCCCACTGCTCGAGATGCTTCAAGAAACCAAGCTGTTGGATAAACTGGTTTACCTGGCTCTTGTCTGCTGGGCGCACTACATCTTTGTGCTGCCTAGGTTCCTGACACTGTAGGACAGTACCCAGAGAAGCTCTTGGGGTGACGTGTGAATCCGGGGTCCCTTCCAGAACATGAAAGTATATCAATGCCGATGTGTTGACAAGGAAGGATTGGGCAGGGACTTGTCGAAATTCATGCAGCGTATGGGAATGCTTACGGGATGCATGGGCACTCCAGCTGTCGTGATCGGGGCGCACTGTTCCACACTCCAAGCACTGAAAGGCATCGACTGGTGCTTCCAAATGCGATACCTGCGGTACTCTGAAGTCGAGTTGCCGATGGAGAGCGTTGATATGTTTCCGGGCGTCCGGAAAGGAGTGGTGGGTATTCAAGCTCTCCCAAAGTTGAAGGAATTCGGGGATAAGGCTGTTGTTGCTGTTGCCATAGCACTCCTTGATGTGGTTGGTAATACTTGGAGTATTTGCGGATGCGAATACCCCACACTGGATACAGACAATCACACGGAGTTCTTGGATGTGGAAGAAGTGATTCCAAACGGTATCGAGGGAAATTTCGGCCTAAAAACATCAGTCAACTTCAATATGGCGCAGCGCAGTTGGACATACCATCCTGGTGGAGCAGGACTTGTCAGGTCCTATGCCCGTCGATGGGTGTGCTTGTCGCCTGCAACGCCGAGAGTTTGTGGTTTCTAGAGATGGATAATAATGTCAGCTTTGCAGTGCAAGCGAATAACCAGGAGAAGACTGGCAATTTGCTTACATTTGCAGTGCCGGGTAGCTTGCTCTCTTGACCTGTTTCTGAGCAAGAATGACAAGTAGAGAGGTCTGGGAGAAAGAAGTTAGACATATAGTAGAGCAGTAGGGCAGAGGGGCACGATACCGGGTGTCTTCTCTTGTGACTGGAGAGATGCTTGGCGGCATAAAGCGGTGAAACAAACTAGTTGGAACTTGCACGGTTAGGAAGAAAGGTAAGTGCAAAGAGGGAGGGGGAGAAAGTCACAAGGTGGGCTGCCTGTTGGTGAAGAGGAAGCCAGCGGGAGTGCACGTGACCCTGTGTGCCTTAAGACGTGCCTAAGCTGAAAGTGTATGGCATATGGGCGGCTACCTATAGTAGGTAGGTAAGGAGGTGTCTACTTGGGGTAGGGAGGAATAGTGTTAAATATTCAATTTTTAAAAAAAAAATTGATCTGAAGCAGTATTGTCAGTCGACGCCTTCTTGAATCGCTGCTTTCTGGCAAGAGGTCGCGGCGTCGGCTTCATGGTCACCAAGTGACACTGCCAGGTCTGTGGGCGTACTACAACTCATCAGACGATATGATGAGTTGAGGCAGTTACAATCAGTAACTCAGTATTTACAGTTGTATTCCTCCACGCCCCGTTCATCAAGAAGCGCCCATCAGCCGCTCCCTGCCCCATATTGGCCTAGTCAACCTCCGATCGTGCAAGCCCTTCCAGCTTTGCCATTGAACGTCGGGTTGGGTGTGAGTGCAAGTTCCAGGGCCTGGCCGAGAGTATATGGCTTCCTCGCCCAGCTGTCCTGCATAAGCCTACCGGTGGTCCTGGCATCGGTGTGCTTAGTCAACTGAATGGAATCCCTTAGGGTGACTCCAAAAATGCCATTAGATGCCAGCAGCAGTATGGCCGCCAGGCCTGGATGTCCACCTCAAATCACTATAGTCTTCTGACCCATGCCCTTGTGATGGTGGACCTTTTTCTTATCCCAGCCGAGACGGGATGCCACCTTGCTCAAAACATCCTTATTCAATCGCATCCTTTTCTTGTCGGGGCCCGACTGGCCAGAGGATGAAGCAGCATGTAAAATTCTGACCACAGCCCTATCTTGCTAAACCTCTTCATCAAGGTGTAGGCAATGTTGTTGCCCTCCAAGTTCTGGATGTATCCGAGGAACCTTTGAAACGCGAGCTTCCCAGTCCTTCAAGTCGAAATCGCGGTGGTGTTGTGGCCTTTCTGACTCAGTTGCAGCTGCTGCTGCTGCGGTGTCTCTAGTGCAACGTTAATAATGTTGAACATCTGCGCCAGACATTGTCAGCCATGTAGAGCAGCGACAAACCCACGTCCCTGGGCAGAAGTGGAGTGGAGTGTCCAGTCGTCGGGGATGTAGATGTATGCGTCCATCTTCTAGATGATTGCTTTTGCGTCCTCGTGGCGTTGCATCGACGTCTCGCCACCTCCAGCATCATCGCCGTCGAGGATTTGTTGAACAGTCTGGAATATCTCGGTTATGATGTCGACATCCGATTTGGCTCCGGAATTGGCTCGCATAGAGGTAGACGGTGACAATTCAGGAATATCGCACTGGAGCAGCTGCAAACTCTAGTAATGGGCCTGCATGCTACACTTAAGTTCTTAAAGTTGGTCGGGAGGGATGCTGGAATGTTTGGGGAATTTGCGGGAGCTCGCAAAAAAACCCGGCAGGAGTCGATGAGAGGCCGCGTGCAGATCTTTCGAGTCTCGTGAGGGCGTCCGACATTCGACCATGTCCACATCCTTGGGAAGGCGCCGATGTTATTATTGATTCATCTGTCGAGTACTGTCAAAAGGTCATCCCGCAATAATGGCCCAAGGTGAAAGAGAGCCTCCACTTACTGGGGGCGCGGCTTGGGCCCATGACTTGGGTAGACTCTGTGTTTCCGGGTGGAATAAAGACTGGTGAGGGTGGTTGCTTCATGTTATCCATCTCTTGGCCAAAATCATCCCTGTAGTACACGACCGCCTGATATAGTAAGTATCCTATCATTCGTGGGTCCAGGGAAACGGGCATCAACGTACATTGCCAACTTATCCGAAACACTCATGGTGTTTACTTGTCACTCCCCGACACATGCATCTTCCTGCTCAAGTCTGCTGGGATGAGCTGCATTAAGGTGCGCATGGGGAGCGAAGGGAGCGACACGACTTTACAGAGTGAATGGCTGAGGCGAGGGTCGATGGGGTGAGATGTGTCTCGACCTCGCGACTACGGAGGAGGTATAACCAAGGTTTGGCGACTGAGGGAAGGCCGCGACGGTCTGCCCTTCCGGTGCAGGAGGGTCGGTCATCTCCTCGTCGGATGAGGTTGACCAGAGGGATGTGTCTGAGAAGCCCTCGTCCCATGCGGGAACATCCAACGGCAATGGGAAACCCCGGCCACCTGGGTCAGATATGGCAGCAGAAGCCCGTAAGTTGAGTCTCCTCTGCCGTCCACGATTCAACGAAGCTGCTGCCGTAAAATCACTGGTGGGAGCTGGGGGGGGGGGGGGGGGGGGTTCGACAGGCTTCGGAGTGGCAGGGTTCTGATCACCATTGATGTCAATGAGCTCGGCGGTGTCTTTTGCCTAGAGTCGAGGGCCGGTAGGGTCAACGATGAGTCCCCGACTCATCTACTTTTCCATCAGATCGGCCGATATCGTCGTCAACATGACGCTGTCGTCTAGAAGTATGCGGGAGAGACACAAGGGCACTGACGGCTTGGGTACAATGGGCATAAACCGACGGGATGGCAGGACCGGGAATGGACCAAGGTCTTTCCAGTGGATAAGTTGAAGGCTACTGAAGTTGTTATATGGTTCTATGAAACAGCTGGTAATAATGCGGATAGTTAATATAATCCTATAAAGTTTCGGGAGGAATGTAAGCTTCTTATTCTTCGTCGATAACCCTCAGGATGTTCTTCATTCTTACAGTAGCAATATCCTTGGGGACCTTTTCCATTCTCTTCTCCTCCTAGGAATTAAAGATCCAGTCGCGAAATCGCAGATAAGGTGGTTCTGATGATGCGGGCACCTCGGCGCCGTCGATCGATATGGCTCGAGGAGGGCTGTTAACTGCAAGTTGATCCATGCTCAACTCTGTAAATGCCTCAAGCTGGAGGAAGAGGAGGTAGACGCAGAGGTAGCAGCATTCCCAGCCACCTACTTGGTCAGCTACAGAAAAGGAGAAGAAGCTGAAGTTGTAGGGGAGCCCATAGTGAGCTAGGGTTTCTCTCCACGCAAGGATCGCAGATCTGGTGTGGCCCCCGCGATTGGCGGAATCCGTGTCGTAGATGAGCAGATGGCCCAGTGCTCGATCCCAAATAAAGGAAGGGCCAGTGGGGTTTTACGAAATGAAAAAAAAAAAAAAAAAAAGGACCCGCCGGCAACCGCATGTTGAGCCACAAACCCGATCAACTCCTTCGGGGAGGAACGGATCGGACCCCTTCTCGTGGAGCCGTGGGTTCCTAAACACACGATTGTCATGGATCGTAATCGGCTTCGGGGCAAATCGCGACGACATCTTGCATACCGTATGTAAGGATGGCCATAAGAGGTTGGGGGTCCCGGTCTGAAGACATCGTCTTACCAGTCAGCTTCTTCAACATGCCCCCAGAGATCCCAACAGTCCTGCGGCCAACTGCGGCGTCCGAAACGGTGTGGCAGGGTGTCAAAATGGGGTTGGGGCATAACTTTGCTGGCTTTAGACCAGAATGTGGCTTCTGGTTGTCGGATGCGGAATTGCATGGGGTTATCGGTATTCCAGTGACTCCAGTCGGTTCGGGGCTGAAACTGGTCAGGTTGGTCGGCAATTAATTGCTCGAAGGGCTTCTGAAGGGTTGGTCTCGGACTCGTGGTAGAAGTTGGCTTGACCGCCCTCCTGGTGGACGTGGCCAGAGAAGAAGTCGGACTTCTTTTCGGGGTAAAAGAATATCCTTTTGCTGTCTGGCGTTCAGTTGGGCTTGGACATCTTTTTGAGCTTGGGCAGGACTGCGTCGCATGTAGAGGAAAACTGGCAACTAGGAGGGTGGAAGTGAGCGCAGGACGAGGTGCGGGCGATGTGAGTAAACTAACATGGAGAGACGCAAGGCGGAGTAAAGAAAGTAAGAGCTTCTGGATTGTGAGAGAATAGAAAGTAATATAATATTGAGGTCGGCAGTTGAGGTTTCTGTGTGTATGAGGGAGGAGAAGAAGAAAATGAGAAAGGAAAATGGAGTAATCAAGTTTTAAATATCCTTACCTATGGCGCATACCGGCCTGATGTTGGGATTGCCAGTTTGCACAACAATCAAGGGGCGTAAAGTCCTGGCAGCTGTAATTTCAATATTGAAGGTGCAGATGGAATCATTCCGATCTCAATCTTGGTCTTAATCCCTAAGCAGCAATCTGGCTGAGAGGGCACAGTTCCTGATGCAGGGGGTATCTGACATCTTGCCTATTGCAATATAATCTTAGGTCATTCTCCTGGAGATGGAGCCTAACTGGGCTTTATTGACTGTAGCACCCACACCATCTTTGCTGCCCAGAAATATAAAGCTTTACTTCAATCCCCATCATGCAGTTCTAAACCTCAAGACCAGTATTGTCAACAAGAAATACAGCCATCTTCAATACAGTCTTGGGTGTCGTTACTGGCTTATGAGTCCTGGTCGCTCGGCCGGTGGGGATAGACACGATAAGGAAACCTTTTGGAGGCATACAACACCTCGGCGGCGGTGCTGCTGGCACCGGTGATTATATGTCGACGGTAGGAGGCTGCTTGGAGTTGAGATTCATAGCATCCACGTCTACTATCTAACCGTCACAAAGAGTAGGGTCTGGTGTGGCTGGTTCTGTAACCGTTGCATGTGGCGTTTGGACGGTATGCTGGAACTTGCGCGTGGCATCTTTAAATCAGATTGTAGAGGTCGTAAATACAGCATCTGGTTTCGTCGACGACGGTCGCAAGCTCGCTGTGGGGGGGCCAGTATCGATTCATCCCCATGATGAAGTGTCGAGTCAGGCCATGGCGTTCAGAGGCTCTTGGATCCATTTTGGAGACGAGCTCTGCCTCGATGTTGCCGTGGAAAGGCAAAAGGTGGTGCGGCTGCTCCAGTGTCAATAGGATGACTTTTCTCCTTGCTCTTTATTACTTGGGCTCAAGGGAGGAGAAGCTGAAAGCGTGTGCTTGACAGTGGATATTGCAAGTTGCCCTCAGCCCAAGCGATGGCCGGATTGGATGCAGGAATTTGCTGATGCTCCGAGTCGCAGCGATTGATGGAGACCACTTGACTGGTTGTGAGACTATCGGGGCAAAGAAAGAAGGAGAAACGAACTGTACATATGTAGGCGAGGCGAGGTGGGCCGAATACATGACAATGGAGACGGCTGGCGCTCGGGGGTTGCCGAGAGACTGCAACATGAAGCCGGCGTAGGTGTGCTGAAATAAACGAGAGGCGGTTGTGTTGTGACTAGAAGGTGTATCTGGCGCCATATCCTCGTCGCTCCGATTGCATAAACTTGATAGTTTCTGTTTGTTAATTAATAAACATGTGGAAGGTATTTGAATAGGTAGCTAATGTAGGGAGGATGTCAAACCTGTAAGTTCGGGTCTGTGGCTGCTGAGGGTGGGAGGGGTCGATCATCTGACGTTAATTCAACACTCTGGATCTGGCCACGGAAGATGAATTGGATGACATTGATGAGCCTCCACACACTGTGCTCAAGGTAACGTTCTACAAACAAGGGGCTAAAAAGACACAATACCATAGCCGACCGAGACTAATAGCATCCAGATGCAGCCACCGGAGCAAAAAAAACATACACACGATCCATCCACCCTCACACATCGTCCCTTCGTCCTTGCATACTGCTGATTATACCGTCCTTGCCGAGCAGCTTGAAATTTCTGTTGTTCTTGAGGCTCAGTTCCCAATCCAGTGAACCCTCATCGCCGTGGATGGAAAACATCCGTACCAATTCCTTCTGCCCTGATCGGTGAATGCGCCCCTCCGCCTGCTCAATGTATTTATTATTCCAAGGCGCTCCCAGTTTGACAAGGTAAGAGGCGAATGTCTGGAGGCCGTCAATGCCAGTCGAGAGGAGAGTGTATGTAGAGACAACCACAATGGGTCGGTTGGGGTTTTTCAATGCCTTCTCCTCCAAGGCCTTGACAAACTTACGCCTCTTGTCGGGCTTCAACGTGGACGTCACCTCGGCGACGTGGACCGCATCTCCCATCCGATGAGTTAGCCATGACGCGACAATGCTCGCATTGAGGGGGTACATTGTCATGACCAAACCATGGGCAACCTTGCCCTCGTGTCGCTGTCTGACCACCTGCTCCACGGCGGTGAGCTGAGCACATGCCAGACTGGCAATGTGCTGTCTGGCGTAGTTGGCGGCGGCCGTAAAGTCGCGTTCCACTTTAACCCACTCGTCGCTGGGCAGGGCAGCGATTCCGGGCATCACGGAGCAGCGGAGCATGGTCTGGAACTCTCTGGTCTTGGACAATTTGGATATGGCGATGGTTCCGTCCGCCTTTCGGGAGTTTTCGATGACCTTGCGGAGCGCCTGCTTCATGTCATCGAGCTTGGTGGCATGTTGCTCGTCGGTCTTGCAGTACTTTTCGGGGTAGCGCAACAGCTGTGGGCGTGGGTCGTGAACCGTGCCGTCGAGGAACGGCATGCCAAAGTACCGCTCGAACATGCAGCCGCTGAGGTGCTTGTTCCGGGACTCCCTCCAGGCATTAACCAATCCCGAGTCTGGGTCCATCAAACCGGCCATGTCTCCCATGCTCTTATATGCAGCCAGGTAGGCTGCAAGTAGTTCTTCTAGAGTCTGGTCGACGTTCTCCTCCATCGAGATAAGCGGCAAAACGCCGACGAGGTCTTTCGGTCCCCGAGGCATGGGAGTCCCGCTCAGGAGGGACACCAATGGCCTCTGTCTGTGTGTGTCGTTGGAGCAAATGTCGTTGAGAACTTGGATCATCTTGGTGTCCTTCCCCTTTGCCTCCGTCCACTCGTCGTAATACACTGCGGATGGCCGGAAGCATCTCAAGACGGATATGGTTCGGGGGCTACCTCTTTTGTGTTCAGATACCTGGATAGCCTGTCTGAACAATGTATCGAAGCTTCCATGAGATATGATGTTGGAGCTGCACACAAGGACCAGACGCTCTGAACCAATGTCTGTTGTTGGGAGCTTCGAGGGATACGTGATCTTCAACGTCATACCTTCGAGTTTGCTGAGCTCCTTCATGGTGAAGGAGTAGAGCTCGTTGTCGTCAATCTTTTCTAGGGGCTTCTCGTTTTTCTTGAGGTGTTTGTTGCGCTCTTTGAGTATCTTGCGTCGGTATTTTGTTTTTTCCTCCAGATACCCAGTTACTTGGAGTTGGGCCTGAAAGTCGGAGAGATGAACGGGTTGGCGTGCTTTGATGTACTTGTTGCTGTGGTGCACGGTGCCGCCGTGAGCCCACCCCATTAACAACAGCGGCTGGTCGAGGACTTGGATCACTTTGTTCCCACTCTTGAACACCACATTGTGTTCAAGCTTGTCGTGCGCCTCGCTGATCCACTGCGTGACAATGCCTGCCGGAGCCACAACGAGCTGCGGCGCTCTGGTCGTCCTCTGGCAGATTTGTCGAGTCAAACTGTTCGGGTCACAGTAACAGTGTATTCCGAAGGGGTGATTGAGGGCGCAAACTCCTGGGCCCCGTGCATTGTGTTCGTCCTTGTTGCTCTTGTAGTGGTCCCGACTGAGATGGGCTAGGGCTATCACAGCAGCCGTCATTAACACTTCAAATGTTTTTCCAAGGCCGGGTTTGCAGGCGTTGAGGGTTCCGTTGAAGGTTATGGAGTCGCTTACTCGGAGCATCTTGTAGGCGTCGAGCATTTGGTAGTTCCGAGAAGGCTTCGTCAAGCCCGGTAGCCGCACACCAGTTTCTTTATCTGCGATATCGTGGCGGAAGAACTTGCATGCCTCAACCCACAAACGGCAGTCGTCTCCGAGTTCTTTGTCGCCCAGACCGCCAACCATGACCTCGTGGTTGGTTTCATCTTCGTTGAATTCGTCGCCGAGCGCCTCCTGATCGTTTCCATACATGGCAAACTCGAGTTCGCCCTTGCCAAACATCGCCTCGAACTGGTCAGGAGGTATTGGTTGTGCTGCCTTGCCTGTATTGTTTTCAGTTAGCTGCCATCTTTATATTTTCCATTGGGGGTACTGTATCTTGCTTACCAGCCTCGGTTGAAGCATACTCGACAATATCCAGCTCCATGTTGTCGATTTCAGTTTCATTTTGGCTGCTGCAGATGGTATGCTCCAAGGCTACCGAGTCGATCCAGCCGTTGGCCTGGCACCTGACTGCCTGTTCGGCACTGCACACCAGGATGACGGGCGGGGGACAGTGGCACCAGAAGCGAGGGTTCAGTCCCAGCTCCGCCCACAATACCTCCATCGCCAAGTACCAGCTGAAACTTGTCGAGATGTCGAGGGGGTCGGGCAGGTTTGGGATCTTGAGCATGTATCTCTGCTCGGCGGCTTGTTTGGCTGAGAGGCGTACAGATGTCAAAAAGCTGCCCCAGTTGGCCCAGCACGGCTTCCACATCTCACAGTCAACAATCTCGGGCGCGAGCCATTCTCGACATGAATGAGCAGCGGTGCTCTGTCCGAGATGCAACCACCGCACAGTGTCCATCGTCGTCTCGTCGTCTTGGGGCTCGACGTGCTCGTTCGTGCAGCCATTCTTTGTGTCTGATCCCCAAAGCGATGTGCTCTCCCCTCGAGGGTGCATGTCGGCGAGCGAGTCCTTGCTGCTGGGTCGGCACTTGTGCATGGCCATCGTGGAAAGTGGGCGATGCCCTCGCGGAGGTCGGCTTGTCGCGCTGGTAAACGGCCTGTGATGCTTTAGCGATGCCCTTTCAAGTGTTTTTGACATGCAGTCTCGAGCTTACAGGTGTGCTGAGAGAATGCGCGACGAGGACAAAGGTTCGGGGGTTTTAGTAGAATCCCAAGATGAGGAGGTAGGCAGAAGTCGGATTCCAATCACTCGGCTTTTCGTCGATCGAGCAACGTGATGTGGAAGAATGAAGGAGTGAGAATGAAGGAGTAAAAACGGAGGAGTGAGAATAGAAGAGTAAAAACGGAGGAGTGAGAATGGAGGAGTAAAAACGGAGGAGGGAAGTGAGCGGCTGTGATTGGGGTTTATCGAGGAAAACAAGTTGGAGGCAACAACAAGGCATAACTTGCGCAACCTGAGGCACAACTCGCGTATCCTCAGGTAACAATACAGACCGTCGACAGCAACGGTCATTGGGGGAAACTGAGGATATAAATAGCTGTTTGCTCAACAGTAGGTTCAGGTAGTTAGTTGTGCTATTTCAGGATCCAAATGTTTACTCAAGGTGGCAAGCAACAAAGATTTGGTATATAGAAATACAGATGTTGTTGTTTTGTTGCTTCAAGTAAATATTCTAATACAGCTACTTTCATCTTACACCCTCGTAACCCACTCGTTCAAATCTCTAAACATAATAGTTCCACGATCCATATATCGAGGTTGGTAAACATGGGCAATCAACTCTTTTAGCCTATTGCCTTCATCGCCTTGCGGAAACTGACCCACGTACCCAATAGCCATGGCCTGGAGCTTCCCATTGACTATTAGCTTGGGCTGTTGATTATGGCCTGGGATCCAGACGCTTGTGGGCTCCGAGAATACTTTGTCAAACGTGCTTCGAGTGGTGGGCGACAGGGCCGTGACAAGAATGATCCTCTCTTGGCAAAGGTTCTCGTCGGGGCTGGTGGACAGGCTGGGATGCGACAGGGGCTTTACCTGTATCTGCGTCCTCAGATGCGAGAGGGTGGAGGATTCCGGTATGTTTGATTGAGCGTTGCCAACCAGCGCTACTCTGGCCAAAAAGTCTGCCGCCAGCAGGGGACGGGTCTGGCTGGGTATCAGATTCCCGTCAGATAAGCCAGTCTCGCCGAAGATGGCTGCAGACATGAAGGGGATGATGGGTTCTTGACCGGGCGCAGAGCCGAAGAGAGTAGCCAGGATACGTGTTACGTATTGTACATCTTGCATACTGGCCACGAAGATGACGCTTGGGGCTCGTACCGTGTTGACCCAGATGTCGTAGGTAAGGCTAGGTGACGTACAAGGACACTGGATGCCGAATTCAAGGTGGTCGTGGTCGTGGCCTGTGCGACTTGGACATCGCCGACCATGCCTCCCGGTTAGGTGCTGGTCGACAGCAGACCAGCAGAGAGCAATGACGGCAACCTTTGCCACCTCCTCTTCTGTGGTGAGCGGCGGTGGATGATGCGATGGTTTTGCCAGCGCAAGAAGTGCGAGGAAGATTTTGACCATGGCAATAGGGTTGAGTGGCTTCCTGAAGCCGGGCAAGTGCGTCCCAACAAGCGTATCCGAGATGTCGTGACAAAAGAATTGGCAAGTAGCGCGCCAGTGTAGATAGAGGTCTGGACGAAGGTGCAAATCTGGGGAAACGAGGTTAGCAAGGGTCACTACGGACGAGGGCTGCCTTGTCCAAGCTCAAGAGCTGTCCAAAGACGTGAGAACAAGGTCCATACCTCGCAGGTCGGGCCAAGACGTAACAGGACCAATCTCGGCGGGCCAAAACTTGCTGGATGGCTGGGCGTCGTTGAAGAGCGACATGAGATCATGGATGGCGTATGCCCAGGCACGAGGGTGGTTGATGGGCCATGTACGCGAGCCCAGCCGCATCCTGTAATCTCGATCAACCATTTCGACACTGTCTGTCCCCAAGATAGAGAGGAGCGTCTCCCATTGGAAGCACAAGTCCACAAAACCGCCAGAGCCGCCGACAGCCTCGACAATGGTCTCGGGGGGGCTCGATCCTTGCATGAGTTCGAAGAGGTGGATTTGCGTGTCGAGTTCGCAACCGGAGGAGTCGAATATCTTGAAGCATGCGCCGCCAAGCTGGAAGATCTGTCGCCCGTGGTCGGGGGCTCGGTGCTTCTTGGGGCTGGGCGAGTTGCTGAGGAACTCTTCGTCAAAGAAGTCGGCCGGGGCAAGGCGCTTCTTTGGAGTGGTGATGTGCATCTGCTTCCGTCAGTAATGTCGACATGGCTGGTAGAGAGGGTTGCCGCGACTCACAATTGCGCTGGGTGTGGGCTGGTGCGATGCCGGAAACGCGTTTGCAGGTCGAATACGAAGTGTCGAAAGGGAGTTGAAGGAAACGTAACAAGTATGTCTCAAGTACAAGGGGTCGGAAGGAAATGGCAGCGCAGCATCGAGTGAATGAGGGCTGCAACCCAATAGATAAATAGAGAGAGAGAGAGGTGGAGGTGAAGAGGTGGAGGTGGAGAGGTGGAGAGGTGCGTGGCGGAGAAGGAGACATTGGTGATGCGGGCCTGAGGCAATTGTGAAGTGGTAACACAAACGCCCTGTGCAGGCCACAGTTTTGAGTGTTGCATCTTGGTGGCAAGCGTTAAGTGACTGAAAGGAAAATTCAGTAGAAGCAAAGCCTTCTGTTATGAAATGATTCGTACGTCTCCTAGAGAATAATAAAGCTATTGGTTTCCTATCGAATGCAGGGCTAGGGGTCAGTCCTGATGGTTTAGCAGCAGGAAGGGACGGAAAACAACACCCAACTCATTAACTTACCCTAGGGAAAATGCACAGAGAGTCGTCGCACAGGCGTCTTGGCCGGTCAGCCCGAAGCTGCACCAGATTACGCGTATGAGGTCGGATCAATCTGAGGCTTATGTCTCCTGATAGGGAAGCATCTCATGAGATAGAATATCGGGTCGGTCGCAGGGAAGTTCGCTGGCAAGGCATCAATGGGGCCTGCGGCAGCCCAATATCTGAGGGAGGTTGAAGACAGAGGTTGGACAGGGAACGTAGTAACGGCAAGGAGGTTCAAATAAATCTCTCAAAAATAAAGGCAATCAATTAATAGACTTCCTAGCAGCCTCGAGCCCTTCCGGCCTCTCTGACTTCCAGGAAGAATCTCTGATGAAAGAAAAGACGATGATTTTTCCCCAATGACGGCACTGACCTCCCCTTTTAACCCCATCCGGGTCACCCTAGAGACATCCCCGCTAGCGACCAGCTAGCCCAAGCGTCCCTAACCGCCTGTCACAATGGGTGGAACGAAAGCTCTAATAGAGGTATGTTATTTTGTGACAAGAAAGACAATTCTGTGTATGCTTGATAATCCATGCCCTATCCCATAGTGATGGACCGTCCCAAAAATACCACAGTCCGGTCAGAAAAAAGGCATAATAAGTGTGTAAACTGAATCGGATGGATCCATTGAGCTGCTTATATCGGCAGGGGAAACGGTTTCCTGTGGCACGTCACCAGGGCTTTCAACCGTCAAGAATCTCGCAATTGAATTACTTGGGTCATCAAACGACGAGTTCACAATCTCTCGCGTTAACTCGACTGCTAACTAGTTTGCATTAACCATAATTGAAGCAGGGGAGATTAATAGAAGGGGCATATTCTAGGTGGCGCTTCCCGAAACCTCGGGTTTCTCGGGTTCCACCGGGAAGAGGGATTGTAAAAGAACATCTAGTTCAAGGGAGTGAATGACCACTTAAACCATGACTTAAAGTGATAGCTATAGGTGACTCTGGAATTTCTCCCCGAGGCGTCGGCTGCTGGGCAGGTCAGAGACTCTTCTGGTAAGAACAGGGTTTGGGAATAGGCAGTATTCAAGATATTCAATCCAAGAGGGTTTACTGCGGAGTACTCCTAGCCCTGTAGTTGTCCAAACTGGAACGCCTGGAACTGGGTACTAACAGAGGGGCTCGGCTCAGGAGGATTCCCTACAGAGTGGGTATCCAGGCCTGATGGTGTCCGGGAGACCCACTACATTCCGGATGTCTAGGACGGGATTCCTGGTATCTAGTTAAATTTTAATTCCGAGTGCCCATAGCCCTTTTACTACAGTAGTCTGCTCTTGATTTAAGAGCTTTAAGCTATCAGTGTGACAGGCGGTCAGGGACGCTTGGGCTAGCTGGTCGCTAGCGGGGATGTCTCTAGGGTGGTCCGGATCAGGATAAAAGGGAGGAAAGGAACCTGTGCTGGAGGACAGGAAAAAGATCGGTTTTCAATTCTTTAGAAATTCAAGCTGGACGTCAGAGAGGCCGGCAGGCCTCTGGACAGCTTGGGAGTCTGCTTTTTCTTTGCCTTTAATTTTGAGAGATTTATTTGAGTCTATTTTTGCTGTTGCTACGATCCTTGTCAAACCTCTGTCTTCGACCTCCTCCGGATATCGGGCTGCCGCAGGCCCAATTGATGCCTTGCCATCACCTGAAGTCTCTCAATATGCAGCTGGAATTATATTTAATCTCTTTTGCGTCAGGTATAAGATGCTATCAACCATAATAACCTAGATGTAGATGGGATATGGCATTGCGCCTCCTTGAGATCCTTGCCGTTGAGCTCGACTTGCTATTCTGTATCTCGAGGGTCTCCTTTACTAACACACCGAGCGCTCCCGTAAAGACACTCGGCTACTCCTGCAGCCCAGAAATTATCCCCATAGTTGATCAAGATATCGTCGCCCGGGGCGATCTCCACCATGGCTTCCACCATAACGCGCCACCTTCCAGAAATCCTCCTGTCCACGAATTGGACATTGTATTCGCACGAATGATTGGCCTTTCGAGCCCAGTTCCCCATGAACCGAGGATATACCTGGCAAACCGTCTTCAGCTCGCCCTCGTCCGACAGATCGTCCCTTGCCATCTCGCAGGCCCATCCATCTTCAAAGGTGCCGATCGGGACCAGTTCTCCTACCAACTCCCCGAGCAGATCTCCCTCCTCGTATGTAGTATTGGATCGAACGCCTTCTCCCATGCTACCCGCCGGCACGATATCCGGCACATCTGATCGTACCTTATCCACGATACATTTGCAGAGACTCTTGGTGCAGAGGTCGCACTGCTGTAGATGCGGTTCGATGTATGTGGGATCCACATCGTACTCCTAGTGCTTGTACTTCCCATGATTAAACACATTGCATTTAATTTCGACAAAGCCTTGGTTGATTTCGGCATCCGTTGGCAAGAACCGTGTATTGCTGTACGGCGCGATTCTTGGCCGCCTTGTCGATCTCCTGGATCGCTTCTGCATTCGTGCGCTTGTAACCCAGCGAAAATTCTTCTTTATACTTCCGTCGCTCTCGTTGAAGAATGATGGCGCGCCATCCACGCGAACACCTCGGAGTGGCCCGGAGGTAAACATCCCGCCAGTGAATCGAACCTTTGCGGGTCTGGACTCGGCCATGTGCCTGATCCGCTCCAGCTCGTCGTCAGCAAGGCCTTGCTCCTTGGACATGGCCATGGCCTCCCAATGTCTCGCGGTGTTTGCATTGCGAGTCGCGTGAGATTGGCCGTTCGGGTCGGCCTGTGAGACTCTGATTAGCATGCAAGCCGAAGTGGAATAGACGATGAGAGAGAACGTGGGGGGGGGGACAAAAACGATGAGGGCGAGACAGACAATAACAACGAGCCAGGAGAGGAGGTGTGTGTGGTATTTATGGTGTGGTTTCGCGAGCCCAATTGGGGTGGACCAGCGATCGGGTGCACAGGGTGTTGCAGCATCACAGCGTGCAGTTTAGGTAGTCGAGCCTGTGCACAATGAGTCTTCAATGAGAACAACCATGGTAGATAAATGCGGCGTAGCGAAGTTATCCTGGTACACAAATTGTCTCTCTGTTAGAGTTCTAGGCGCCGCCTAGAAGATTGAAATAGACCGCCTACTAAGGCCAGTAGCTAACTGAACCATGTGCATTTATACTGGCCGCCTGCTTGAAGGTGGCGCCGGATCTCCTTTGTCCGAGACTTTTTCTACACCAAGGAGGTATGTAGAGACAGGTTTGACAACTTCTCGAGACCGAAGCGAGGAACGAGCGAGAGCCACCGTAGCGGAGCGTAGGTATGCCCCAGAATGGAGCGGAGGGTGCGGCCACCGTAGCGCAGCGCAGGTAGTCCCGCCCCGGCAGCGGAATGACGGGTGCGGCTGGGTCGAGAGAACCCCAAGGATCCATCCACCAAAAGATCCAGAGAACTACGAACGAGCAACCGGAGGTCCATGGAGCGTCAGCGACATACCATAGGGCGGTAGGGAATATGAAAGATGAAATCTCACTTGTGGTATTTGCAAACCGCTACTTACTCTGCGCTGGGCATTCGTCCGTTTCCTGCTGAGTCAGCAAGCCGACCGAGCAGCACTAAAAGTGGGTCCACCACACAGTTGTCCTCATCAAGCGCACACCATGGCATGCATCTACTCCTGTAGCTATGCCTTTGACCTTCTGATATTAAGCACTTCAGCCTCAATATTCATTTTTTGCTCGCCCAGATGGATAAGCAGCATAAGCAGGGTCGCCCTGGCGGGTGCAGCTGGGTCGAGAGACCCTCAATGGATCTTTATCTCCAGTAGCAATCCACACGCAATACCCCTACTGACGTTCAGTACCACTATACTGGCGGTATCATCGCTTTGCAGTCGGCACATCAATGAAGTCTCGTGCTGCTCCATGGCCACTCTGGCGGTTCCATTTGCAGTCGCCGCGCTCCTGGAATAGGTCACCGCCAAACAATAATGCAATCGTTAGGTGCTCCCTGATTTTTCGTCATATGATTGGCATTAATTTGTCTGAATTTTACCACTAGCCTAGTTCATACAAGATAGCCACTCGACTCCCTTGGCCTAAGTGCGTCTATGGATGGTAGAGAGGTGGGAATCGTCGATACAACAGCTACGGCGAATCTTGAAAGGCCTTCGGATCTCAAGATCTTGAATCGCCTCGACTCACTGATTCCATAGTTTGATGCGCCCCACTGGCCCAATCACGTTGCCATCGGCATCGACGACGTCCACCATGACATCCAGCCCCGACTTGTCGCAGGGGCTACTCTTGTAGGGGTGATTGCCGTTTTGTTGTTGTTCGACGCCCTCCATACTGGCGTCCTCCACGGGAGTCTCTCCCTATGCCCTTCGGCGTCTCTGTTTCCGAAGGCGCAGGCCGGGGCGCGGGTGCAAGCCTTTACAACTCGATATCTTCAGGGCCTTCGACGTTGGGGTCCTCGCCTCGCCTCTCGTTGAAAAATCGGCGCATGGTTTCCTGAACTTTTTGCTGCGCTTCTAATCGCGCCTGTTGTCTATCGCGATACCCTTGCTCGAACTTGTTCAGGCGCTCAGCCTTTTCATGCCATGCTTGCGACACGAGGGCGAGCTCTTCCTCGACATTGGCGAGTTCCCTGACTAACCGGGCTTGAGACTCAGACAACAGGCTGCGACGTCCCGTCAGGTTACTTAGCTCCACCTTTGCGTTGGTGATTGTGCTTTGGTACGCCTTGTCGGCCTTGATATCCGACGCTTCGTGCTAGCGTTCCCGGTCGAGCCAAAAGTTGCGTTCCGTCTCATTCCAGACTGATTGGCGCTCCTCAGCAGGGAGGGTCTCCCGTGCGGCCTCTTCATCAGCTGACGCCATGCCGGGCTGGGTTGAGATGAACGTGTCGTGTCAACGGTTTGAGTGATGTACGTAGGTTGGCCACGATACAAGTGGACGTACGTAAGAAGATGGGAGTGAGTAAAGATTGAACCCGAAGGGACGTCTTTGTCCAGATGGGTGGCGGGGGGATCCTTTGTTGAGATTCCCGTTGGAAGTGCTAAACGCATAATCTAGCAGCCTCTGCCTGGTCCTTTCACTTTCGTCTTTGTGGCTTGGCGTGTCTTGGCTTTCGCCTCCAACCAACAACCCGATTAACGATTGTGTATGGCTGTTCGGCGAGGGACGGCTTTTATGGACCGAAGATGAAACTCCCTGATAAAGCAGAGGGTCAGCGCGAGCGTGGCATTTTTTTGCCACCTATGCTATGCCGGGGAAGCCAACATACAAGGTGTAGGTGGGAGAATGCGAGGGACGTACACTTGTGCGCGCGCGTCCGAGGCCGCACGGCATGCGGATGTGTTTGGGTAGAGGAATAATGTTCAATTCGTATTCATACTTCCGCACGAGCTCAAATGCAAGCAAGAAGATTGCGAGGAGGGTGACCGATCGTTGCGCGCGCCTGTGTGTGCACAACAAGAGAGAGCGTTGAAACCTGCGAGGTTGTGGGAACTTTTCCTCTCTGTTTTTCTATGGTTGCAAAGAAACAACATTGAATCACTGCTCCCCGCTGGACTCGGCTCTTTTCACGAACCCTCTCTCGTAATCCTGTCGCTTCCACCGCTTTTATTTATTCATCAACACGTCCGGCCGTCCCCCCAGCACCCGCCTATCGCCAACCGGCGTCCTCGCAGCACCTCATTTCTCACTGCCCATTCCACCTGTCTCTCACAATACCCATGCAAGCACCTCCTACATTGCTGTCATCGTTTTGCCCGTCTGGCCAGCATCCCTATAGGCCACAATATAGACCTCCCCTTCCACATGCCGATTCAGACCGCAGTTGAGGTTGACGAGAATGACACAATTGATGCGGAAGAAGACGAGTCGGGGCCCGATGTCACCTTGCACTCGAGCAGCACCTACCTCGAGTGCCTAAGCCACTCTAAACCACAAGCCCGTCATTGGCGTCATGCAAGGCCGAATGTATGTCAAGACGAGCCTGTTCTCTCAAGAGACCTACCTACATCAACAGATACCAGTCCCCGCCAGTCCCAACTGATCAGTACTAATGCCGACGCAAGCAGCAGCGGCCGAAAACGAAGGGAAGCTCCCGATGCCACCTCCAGCACCACCTCCTCCGGAAGCCGGCTGGGACGCCATGGTTGAAGATGAATACACGATTGACGCGGACGAAGGACGAAGACGACTCGGAATCCGACATTGCCATGTACTCACGCAACACTTACCTCGAGCCCCAGCCGCTCACTCTGAACCGCAATCCTGTCATCGGCGCAGTCCAAGGCTCACCTCAGCAGCGACCCGGCCCTGCCCCTCCTCGCCGACTTTGAGCGAGATCAACTAGTGAGCCCCGCTGCAATTCGCGGCGGCCGGCGCCGCTCCGTGCGCCGCTCCGTACGCCGCCTCGGAGCACCTGCCTCTCCGGATGGACGGCTCCTATACGCGACTACGAGAACGAGAAGCAGGACCTTGAGGTGATGGATATGCCAATGTGGAGCTTGACGAAAAAGAGGGAGACGGTGCGGTGTGGGGGCCCGAATAGGATTGGGGGTGTGGAAGAAGATCCCCGGCATCCCAGAGACTCCCTGGATAATATTCGCTTTTGGAGCTGGTGGCAGACGTCGACCTGCCAGTGGCCTGCGAGAAGCACGATCGAATCACTCAACTTGGCCACCCTACTGATTGGGACATGATTCCAGGAGGCGGGTGAATGGAGCCCTGCGATGAGACATGTCCAAAAAGGCCACTCATGCGAATCCATTTGCCATATTGCCAACAATACAAATACCAAACGCCGATAGATGTGCGATAAAACTCTACCATACAGCCACAGGTGCAGCTCCTTCTGTGGATCCCCTTGCGAATGTCCTCGAGGGTGTAGCATTACCGCGCTTGGGGAAGTGGACATGCTAATACGGCCACATCCGGGTACAATAACAGCTAGAAGCCAAGAAAGTGAAAACCCAAGCCCACGTAACGAGCCACCTCGTGTTAGAGGAGGGACAGGAGGGACAGTAGTCGCAACATGTGCCCATTTCCCTTACCATTCGAGGGCGATCGCCGCAAGAGGCCCAGGGACAAGTCCAAAATTATCAGGATGTTACTCTTATTGTTATGTCCTGGCTGTCTTCCGTCTTGACATTGGCAGAGTCAGGATTTCCAGATGGCCTGGGACACTGTGCATCATTGGAAGTATTCTCGTCTTCTGTCTTGATCTCTTTGCAGCGCCAACATATGGTCAAGTCGCGTTGAGGCTGATTGGAATGAAAAAAAAAAGGAGTTCAGAACGAGAGGGGTTTCAGGAATGTGAGGGAGGGGTGGGGGGGGTAAGAGAGCGATGCGATGAAAAGAGGGAGGTGAAAACGATAGAAAGAGACGCCGGAATACCTACCTACCTACTGTAAGTACCTAGGCGAATATGACACAACGCCTAGGTACATCATACAACCAACTTCAGCCACCACCTCAACTGCTGCGAAGCAACCCCGCCCTGGAGGCCGCATGCATTCCCTCCACATGGGCAACAAAGAGGTAAACCCCCCTTTGTTCCCCTGTTGCTGTTTATTACTGTTCTGATCCTTGCAGCATCTCGGGCGGATCGGACGCGGCAAGCGAACCCCCCCGCCCCCCCGTCGAAGCTCGCTACCGACGGCTTCGTGACGACGGGGTCGGCCACTACGCATTGCCGTGAACATTGCCATCTGGCAGTTCCAAACCCAAACCGCCCGAGGTATGACCAGCTCTTGCATCGTATCACACTTCATTCAATTGAGTTCTAGGTGGAACCAACCCCGCGATCAGAACCCTCTTCTGCCGCCTCGCCAGCCTTCCTGGAGCTCCAACCGAACCCGTCGCCGTCTTCGACGGACCCAACAAGCCCATCTTCAAGCGAAATAAACGATCTGGCCGTGGAGACGGTGTCGCCACTGCCCAAGCGAAAAGAATGATTCGGTTGTTTGGCTTCACCATCCACTATGCGATGGGGGGGAGGCCGAGGCCGAATGTGCACCCCTTCAGCGACACGGCATCGTCGATGCGGCGCTCAGCAAAGATGTCGATACCATAGTGCTTGGGTAAACCCGGACGATGGGCAGTTGGTCGGCCGAGCCCGGGGAAGAGCGCGGAAACGCCCAGCCTCGTGTCTCTAACAATGTCGAGTCAATGAACATTGCGGAATCTGGGCTAGGTCGATGAGGCCTAGTTCTTATTGCTCTTATAAGTGGCAGTGATTATCTACCGGCTGGAATTCCCGGCTGCGGTGTCGAAGTGGCATTTGAAGCTGCCAAAGCTGGCTTTGGGAAGTCCATTTGTCGATGGAAGGCATCGGACGGGGATAGGGGTCCAAGTATAAGGTAGCGAGAGTCCCAGGTGCACAAATCGAGGGCCTAACAGGAACGACGGTTTCGGGATAGATCCAGACCCCAGCAATACCCAACAATCCGATCAATCTGGAAGTCCTTTGCCATTACACTCATCCAGCAGTTCCCCTTGAATGCAATCTCGATGCAGTTCGCAACAAGTTCGGCCGGAAGCGGGACCTTTGCCTCGAAGATCTGAGAGAGTTTACGAGAGGGGGGAGGGGGGCTTTCGGCTGGAACCTTCGGATTGACTCTACAAGTATGTTCTCTACGTTTACGATCTAGTTGCTAAGCACCGGTACGGTAGCTTGGGACAAATTTGTAGCAAATAATGAACTTGCAAAGTTGTGTGTATTCGAATAGCTAGATGTTTTGCGTCCATTGTATTTCTTGATTCGACTTTGGAGCAAAGTTGACTTCAGATTCCCTGAAACTCCGATTTTATAGCCAGAGTTCCCGTGAAGTATTGGAAGTTCCTACCCGGAAGCTATGAACCCAATTGTCAAGCAGTAACCCCAATCGTCAATTTCGACGGTCTCGTCCTGCCAACTAACTTAGGGAGTTCCACATGCCATTCATACATCTGCTTCTCCTGGTCTTCCTTCTCGACTGGAATATCATTCAAGTCCTTGGGGATGCCTAAGTCTTGAATAGGATATGGTCACCATCGAGGTGGCGGAACCGTCACTGACCCTCTCAATCCAAGAACCGCTTACGGGTGTTCGTGTTGGGGCCTCTTTCCTGTCTTGGGCCGTAGATCCCGTCCCGTCGTTCTCGAGGAGGTTATTAAGTAGGTACGCTACCTGCCCCTTGACTTTTTCAATGGCCTGCGATGCAACACTGTCGACTTCACCAGGAATCATCCTTTTCCTGGCGTCGAGGTCTCCGTTGAGTGTACTCATGACACCTAGGCAATTTTCTTACTTATGAGCTCCTGTCGCGCTTGATGCATGCCTTCGCCACCTGGATACTGTTAGCGAACTATGATACTGCTTTTTTTCATATGGCTGTCTACCTTCATCCGTGTTAGGTCCAGGCTTTGCCCAGTTGGAAACTACCTAAGAAATGGTGACGATCTCGAACGTCAGTCAGGCTCTGGATCACTTGATCCTATAGAGTACATACCGTATTCAGTCTGAGCAGGGAGTAGTAGACTCCTTCTCTCTTGTCCTTGACTTATTGATTCATCTTTCACGACACCTGTCCGCAGTCACCCCATGCCAGTCCGTTACAATCAGCAGGCTTTGTCTGCAGGGTGTGTCGTATTATTCGACGTCAGGTTCGGGCTTGAAGCTGCCTTTCCCTGTCCGTCTCGTTATCATCGGCTCCTAGACTCTCCCGAATTGTCCTCCAAGTCAGGCTCTGAGGATGTCCAGCCTTCATTAGGGATGTCCGACAAGCCCGATTCAATGTCGGAAGTGGAACCTCGGGGTCCTAGAGCACGTCCGGGGGATCGTCTTTTGGGATTCCATTGACTGGGAACGGTCCTGTCCACCTTGTTTTTTTTCGGAACCGGTAGCAGCGTGCGATGTTGATGTGTGCTGGCGATTCTCGGCGTGGGGCGTCACTCTCCTGTAGGCTACGAGGAGACCAAAATGAGGGTGACTGTGGCCGGGGGGGGGGGGGGGGGGGGGGGCTCTGGAGGTTCCACGCCACTCCCGGGAGACAGCAAGAAGAATAGGAAGCCCATCGACGGCGCCGAGCGAGTGGCACGTCCAAAACAGAGGGTGACGAATCTGTGCGTGTGGTCGTGTTGTGGTTGTGGTTACTGGGCCAGCCAGTATGACTTACGCGGTTCCCAGATGTGACCGCACGATGGGCTGATTTGTCAGCACGATATCAATGTGTTGTAAACTGCCGACCAGGAGCAACAAAAGCAATTCATCAGGGCGGAAGTTGCACCTATCCCACACGAAAGGTTTGCAGAGGAGGCTGTACAACTCCTTCAAACTTCCTCACAAGGCTGTATGCAGACCAGCCAAATAACTCTTCAGCTCGTGCATGCAGCGCAGCTTTCGCTACATACTACATTGAGGCCGACCAGCTTTGCAGAATTCAGGAGACATAGTCAAATAAAGATATTCTAACCCAGAAGCTCGGGTTACCACAGGATTTAGCAGAGGGGGACGTCCTCTTTTACATCATAAAGTGTGTTTTTGTTTTTTGGAAATTCTCCATGCGGTACCTGATGATCGATTCGATTATGATGGACACCAGTCAAATGCCTGGCATAAGACTCGATGGTTGAGTCGCGCTGAGCATAGGCTTCTGGACTACAGAATGATCAGGAATTAGTTGGCCTTGATATTAGGGATGTGGATTTTGGAAGCCCGGGATTGGTATGAGTCCTCGAGTGGGGGTTCGCGAAGGGTGGTGATTGGTATCATAAGGGAAGAGTGAGATAATGAAAGCAGCTGTTAAAAGCAGCAACATACTGAGTTGTGAGTATTCATGCATTTTTGCATTTACTATAGAGCTTGTCTTATTATCAATATTAATATTATTATTATTATTATACTTTATGAGGCTATTCCTACTATTATACCTATAATCAGTACAGAATTAATACAGATAGCTACATATCAATTTACTAGAATATAGATAGCATACCTCCACTGTATTGTTTCTTCTGGCCACACTATTTTACTACTCTTATTACTGCAGTAGTATAGTATATATATAAGACTGTGCCTTGAGGCGAAAAGTGGGTCTGTAACACTATAATCCATTAGATGTTATATTGCACTATATAGATATTCAAGACTGAATTATATTATATAGAGCGGGTGTGTATAAAGTTGTAGCTTTTATTTAGTGAGGTGGGGTGATATTAAGGCTGGTCTAGAGTCTTAACGGGAGTGATATTAAGTGCAGGCTATACTCAAAACTAAAGATGAAAATTGGGCACCCATAGATATTTACTAGTATTATATGGGTACCCATGGGAAATTGAAATAGACTATAATTAATATTGGGTACTTAAAGACCTATAGACCTATAGATGTTGCAGCTATACCAGTTAATAGTATCTAGCCCACAGTCAACATTCGAGGATTTTCCTTCCCTTTTATCCGGTTATATAAATAGCTTTCTAAAGGCATATTGCGAAGCATTTTAGCGGGCAGGTTGGTGTTATTAGGCTAGCTGGTTGCTAGTAAGAGTGTAATATGGGATAAGTAGTGAGGCAGCTGCCCATAGCTTCTGGATCATCATTGAGTCTTCAGGCTGTTTTTAATTCTATCAGTTAGAGAGACAATAGTCTCGGAGGCTATTCGCTTTGTCAGAGTTAATAAGGAATTCTGCTCTTTGATTTGAGAGAGATATTGGTGGTATATTCTTTTTTTTTTCGCCGGCCTTTACGATCCTTGTCCAACCTCCGTCTTCAACCTCATCAGATTAAGATCTTACCGAGCAGCCAATTGATGCATTGCCACTGTCTTTTGCCACGGCAAGTTCGATATATCATCTAATGGAATGCTTCTCTATTGAGAGGGCCAAGTCTCAGATCAATCCGACCTCACATATGCGTAGCCTGGTGCAGCTTCGGGCTGACCTGGCAAGACGCCTGCGCGACACATTCCTGTGCATCTCCACTCTAAACGAGGTTGTCGATTTGGGTGTTGGTTTTGTATCTTTATGCCGCTTAAAGTACGTAATAACACCATCATTTCCCAGGGGGGTAACTGGGCATGCCATAACAGCTGGGCTGGGGCGTAAGTTGGGTACCTACGGGACGCAATCAGACTGTGCCCTCGTGCGAGAGGTGTTATGTTATAATATGGTTCTGTGGTCCCGCAAGGAACGTTCGTCCTTTTGCAACGAAAAGTGAACACGATATTTCACAGGGGACCGTAATGTTAATTACTGCTGAATACCACCTTTGCATCTCATTATATCTGATAAGTAATCATTTTATTAACCTGTTTCAAAAAAAAAAAAAAAAAAAGAGATCATGGGAGGTTCGAGTCCTGTTCACATCTGGTAATATGTAGCGTATATAGTGAGCTGGGTAATCAAGAGTATTGGCAGATGAGGAGCTGGTGTCTTGACGACAGCTAGTTCCTCGGGTCATACTGCGATGATCAAGCTGATCATGGAGTGAGTGATCACCCATAGATTACCTATTGCTCGCGTCCGGAGGTTGAGGAATATTCGGTCCCTTCCGGGCCCTCTTGCCGGTCGCAGCCAGGCCGTGACACACATGCCTGTGCCGGGCAAGACAAAGGAGATTAATGCCACCACCGCCTTCGGCATTGCCGATAGATGGTGCCCCCCCCATCTCGGCTCTCCCTTGGCGCGCTTGTGGGAACTTAAATAGACCCTCAAAAGACAGATAAGTAAAAGAGACGAAATATAACAAAGAAAGCACTATTGAACAGAGGTCATGATATTAGACTGTCGAATAAAGACTTTCTCATGTATCACGTAGAACATCAAAAATAACACTCCCCACAAAGAATTAAAAAATTAAATCTAGATACTATAACGTACTTGATAAGCGAGCGCCGCAGACAAGCGAGCGCCGCAGACAAGCGAGCGCCGCACTTTTCCATCTTGCACCTAACTTTCTACTTTATCAAGCAAATCTCAACAACTCAACATGCCTCAGCAAGATAACGAAGCTAAAACCCTTCTTGCCCTTCAAGCCCTTCAAAATAACCCAAAACTAAGTATCCGACATACCGCATCGATATATGAAGTAGATAAGCAAAGGCTGCGTCGCCGACAGAAGGGCATTCAGTATCGACGCGATACCATTCCCAATTTGCGTTGACTAACCGATCTAGAGGAATAGATTATTATTTAATTCATTCTCGACCTAGATTCGCAAGGATTTCCTCCGCGACTGCGTAGTGTTGAAGAAATAGCCAACCGACTGCTCGCTGACCGCAACGCATTACCAGTTGGCAAGTGCTGGGCTTCTAACTTCGTCAGGCGACACCAAGAGCTTAAGATGCGTTTTTTTCGTAAATATAACTATTAGAGGGCTAAATATAAAGATCCGACTATTATTCGCGCCTGGTTCAGGCTCGTGGAGAATATAATTGCGAAGTATGGTATTGACCTCGCCGATATCTATAACTTTAATAAGACTGGCTTTATAATAGGTATAATTATAAGTAGAATGGTCGTTATAGGCGCAGAAAGGCGTGGAAACCCAAAATTAGTGCAGCCTGGAAACCGAGAATGGGTTACGGTTATCCAGGCGATTAATATGGAAGGCTGGGCAATCTAGCTGTTCATCGTGGTTGCGGGCTAATATCACCTTACCAGCTGGTACTGGGAAAGTAATCTCTCGGGCGATTGAGCTATTGTAATAACTTAAAATAGCTGGACCGATAATAAGATAGGTCTTGAGTGGCTTAAGCACTTTAATTAGTATATAAAGGATCGATTGATTGGTTGCTATTGTCTTCTGATCCTCGATAGGCACGAAAGTTACTACTCTGTCGACTTTAAGAAATATTATAAGGAGAATCAGATTATTATACTTTATATGCCGCCTTATTTATCTTATCTACTTTAGCCTCTTAATATCGGATGCTTTAGGCCGCTTAAAATAGCCTATAGTTGAGTAATTAAGTAATTAATTAGATACTCTATAACTTACGTTTTAAAGACTGAGTTCTTCCCAGCCTTTTATGCTGCTTATGCAGCTGCTATAATAAGGAGTAATATTAAAGGAGGTTTTTAAGGGGCCGGACTTGTTCCCTTAAACCCAGAAAATGTCATATCAAAGCTTGATATGCAGCTACAGACTCTAATACCAGCTGTAGAGGAGGTCGGTCTTGCTGACCCTTGGGTCTCGAAGACCCTAAAAATAGTACTTAAGGCCAGTTTGCAGTCTGAATACCTTAAAAGACGAGTAAGAAGACATCAGAGTAGCTCTCCAGCATCAATTCTTGAGGCGCTTGAGTCATTTTCTAAGGGAATAAAGGCAATAATATATCAAATGGCATTATTAAAGTCTAAGAACCAGATCCTTCGACAGGCAAATAAGACTCTTAGCAAGCAGCGCAGAGCAAAAAGAACCCACCTATATAAAGAAGGGAAGATGACTCTAGATGAAGGAAGGGATGAGATAGACCAGAGAGATATTAATATGCAGGTAGCAGCTAAATTGTTGAGAAGTGGTGGTCGGGCGAGGTTGGCAATACCGAGGGAAAGGCGCTGTGGAACTTGTAGAAAGGCCGGTCATAATGCAAGGACCTGTCAGGCTGTTATTGAGACCTCTGGAGAAGAGTATAGCGATTAGTTTTAATTGATTTAAGGTCTTATTGTGGTTTTATAGTAATTGTTGGATGATGACCCTGTATGACGAAACCTCGGATAGATTGATATCCTGACCTTAGTCAGAAGGGGGGTATGAAAACCCCTCTTCCGGCCGATCCGGATGACCGGCACAAGCAATCATCAACATCATCATCACTGTATTGATCCCTATCCATCTAATCGAATTGACCGTAACGGATCCATCAGTAATTTAAAAAGTAAGGGTTAGGATTTTTGATCAACTCGCTTGTTTGATCAACTCGCTTATCAAGTACGTTATACTTATACTTAAAGATATTTATACCCTTAGCCAGATACTTAAATATTTTAGTATTAATAGGTTAAGTGGCATTTTCGATTTTACAGCTAAATAATAGGCTAATTCAGTTTTGGTTTATTTTCCTTATCAGAATATCATAAGAATATTACAGCAGACTACTATTTATATTATTATTCCTTTTCCAGAATTTTTTTAGTAGGTTAATAGCTTCGATATAGCCGGTTAGGCGAATCTGATAGTAAAGTAACAATTAAATTAAGAGTAGGCGTTGTAGGGTTTACCGAGGCAGAACTCTGCCTAGTAATATTTAGCTTGTTAGAGGAAGATACTAAGGCTGAGGCAGGGAAAGATTGAGTGACAGTGCTGTAACTGTCAGACGAAGAGGAAGGTTTCGGGGCTAGCTGCAGCATACACAGTCTCTTTGTCAGTATCTGGGCAGGGTCAGGGTAGTATCGCTTTAGTGGTGGTATAACGGGCTCGGCTGAAGATAAAGTTAGAGGACTTAGTGGGAGAGTATTAGGCGTAGCCACAGAATAACAGGTAGCGTGTATATCTTAGAAAGCAGAGGAAGCCGAGGAAGTTTGTTGTTTTGGTGGTGTAGAGAGAGGCAAGGCCGGCTGGGTTGCTATAGTGGTAGTAGTAGCCTTGTCGAGAAAAGTCCAAGAATCAGGAACGACGATAAAGATGTAGTCTTATTCGAAGCCTGGTGGGTGGGCTATAACGCGATAATCCAGGAGGCCAGCGACTTTGCCTGTACAGACGAATTGGGTGTTAGTCTGGAACTGGGAATCTCGCCTCTCGGTCATCTTCCTGCACAGGATAGCCCAGGGATTCGTGTGAATAGGGAAGATGACGAAGACCTGGAAAGGGTAAAAGCCTCTGAAGGGAGTCTTGTCGGGATTTCCTGGGGTAAGATAAGTGGAAAGCTGGATGAAGCCGCAGCACTTTAGTTGGGTGGTGTCCAGACCCGGGAGAAGGTCCTGTCGCAGCAAGCAGTTACCAGGGCCGACAATAGGGCCGGTAAAGGAAACGACAGGCGGGACACAGAGGAAGCTGTCTATAGAGGTAAAGAGCCTGGGAAGAACGCTTTGGGCATATATCAGCCGAGTTTGTTTAGGAAGTAGGTGTGGGGGGAGTGTATTATGGCCTACGGCTGACAGCCTTTATCACAGATAATAAGGGCAGGTATGGTATAGAGAACGGTGCGGCCTATATCAGATTCTAGACTGTCTTGCTGCTTAACCTCCCATGCAAGTGCGTAGGGGTGGACGCGGCCATTCATAAAAAACCACTCTTCAGTCCATTCTAAGGCAACAATAACCTAATTATAAATCGAGAGATTAAGACTGAAGAAGATGGATATCGGCAAATCGTCAACATCCAACTGCAGGGGGGTATATTCTGCAGCTAGCAACTATAAAGGAGTAGGCAGGAAGATACAGGCGAGTGTTTCGGCATTGAGGCCCTTGATACGATACTGATCCTGGTAAGCGAATCTGGAGGGGCAGTCTGGTTGTGCGAAGAATATTATAGATATCTCTCCGCCAGCGCCCCTTTAGGTGGCGAGCAGCTTTCAAAGGTAGGGTGAAGCATAGGCGACGGGCGAAGGGGAAGATATAATACATCCTGTATAGATTAAATAACCGATATCGCTACAAGTAGAGGATTAAACTGCAGCTATAGTGCGGCACGGATATATATTTAGCTGACGACGGAGCAGAATATCCCTTAGTAATTCGGGTAAGAAACAGCTCTTAGCTTCTATTAAAAAGAGTGGTAAACTAGGCTATTTTATATACTAGATAATATCCGTTCGATACCGGACCATTTCTATATTAAGACAGTAAGTAATATAATAGCTCCTAAGCTTACTGAGACTATTATATATAGTAGACGATATTAGTTTGATATGGGACTGTTCCGTGTTGAGATAGTAAGCGATATAATAGCTCTTGAGCCCTCTAATCTCAATAGGTACTATATATTGCGCAAAGCAGCAACAATATAACCGTCCTCCTTAAAATTACAGAGGGACGGGGAGGAGAGGGTGGTATTAGAATAGCCCGCTCTTAGTAAAGTTACAGCAACAAATTATATATATAGACTGGCTGAGATTGTAGTAATAGATGCATACAGGCAGAGTTATAAGTAGTTAAGGGGACTATTACTATTATCAGCCAGAAGCGAAATTACGAAACTAAAGAGAGTCCAACGTAGAAGCCTTATAATCTACCGTCCGCCTGGAGGTATCGATATTAAGAGAAGGCAGCTGATGCGGATAGACCGATCCTGAGCCTCATGCTCAGGGTCGGGCCTGAGGCATCAGGCCTTGTGCGGTCACGTGGGTCGGGACCCTTACGGTCCCGAGCCCTCGACCGCAAGATAGAGGAATCAACCTTCTTTACACATCTTCATGACACCCTCACTTACGTGACTAGCGACCCTATTCGCATCAGCAGCAGCAGCATAAATAGTCCGGCGGCGAAGCTATATAAGGCGGTTGCTTATATAGAAGCCTGCTTGTTATCAGCTGGAAATAAATAAGAGGGTAATAATATAAGCTCCCTTCTTATCAAACTGTCAGTCCAATAGAACATACTTATAGCTGATTCTATCCTATTAAAGAAGGTTTATAGGAACTGCAAGCAGGCAAAGCCGGCAGATTAATTTATTTTAAAGAAAAAATCCTCTATATTATGTAGAAGACTTACGGTTAACTATCTTAACTATAGAAATCGGCAAGCTTTATATACCTCTAAGCGTACTGTAGAATAAGCTGAGTTATCCCTAAAATGTCAGGGGGAATTGCTATTAATAGACTTATAACTATATACACCAATTCTACCAAAGGAGTCTGAGGTTGCAGATACTGAATGGAGGAATTATACGGAAGCAATTGCAAGGTCGTTACCCAGAAGACCTCTGCGAGGCGGTTTGCGGTTAAATAGAGCACGGAAGTCTTATAATACAGCTAACAGTGGAGGTTCCGCGCTACATCGGCCACCGAGTCAGCTTTAAAGGCTCTTGTCGCCCAGAGAACGTAGTGCACCGGAGGCCGCGGGTTTTGATCCTCCGCTCTTTCATCAATGCTTTTTGCCCCAGGAGAGGCGGGATGGAGATAATAAGCAGCGTAGTAGGGCGGCAATTATCCAGCCCAAGCAATCAGTCTCTGAAGACATTAGGCAAAGCAAGCTAGCAGCAGCAATTACACGGGGTTTACCCCAGAGATATCGGAGACGGGGTCGGCCGCCAAAAGCAAGACCAGACACTAGCGGTACCTCCAACATAGGAGGTTCGGAGCAACATCCTGCGCTAACTCACCGAGACAAGCCTCCGAGAAAACAAATCCAAGCAGGAACCCGAAGGCAGAGAAGACGGGAGTTGCAGGCCGAAGACCTGGCGAGTATGTTGCGCTTCTTAGAGGACGAATTTGCCGTAAAGGAGAGTCTGTCTAACGAGCAGATATACTATACGCTAATATTATATAAGAAAAAGGTATCGACTGTGCAAACCTTCTATAAGGCGTTCTACAATGTTGATACTCTGCTAATATAGACTTATATACTGTACTACCGCAAGCGTACGAAAAAAGAGTTGAGAGATGTAATATAGGACTAATAGATATCGAGCTGCGTCGAAAAGGAGAACTGCTTGCTATTTTTATATTGGGGCTGCTTTCCCGTAGGCGAGACCTTCTCGGCATGTGCGGAGTATGCTTGTTACTTGAGGCGGGGTGTTCTGTCGCCTGCGGCCCAGCTTTACAGATGTATTGGGTGTGAGTATATATTTCCTAAAGAGCTGAAGGGTCTCACTCCAGTTAAGGAGAAGCTTATCGCGCTGAACTTATATTACAGTTTCGTTATAAGGTATAGTATTATAAGTAGCTAGAAGTAAAGTGCCCGGTATCTAAAGTATATTAAGGGCTATATTATAGTATTTGCGAACAATATGCAGAAGCTGGCTATAAAAATACTCCCGCACCTGCTTGTATAAGTTATAGAAGAGATCTATATCTCGTAGCAGGGTGCAGAGAAGCCAGCGCCAAGTAACCTGTCCGGCTTATTGTCGGTAAGGCGACGTATCGTTAAGAGGGCGCTCGTCTGGCTGAAGAAGAATAACCCGCATTATGCCGAGATCGAGATTGACGCGGCGGAGATGGAGAGCTGGGGCGCGCCGCCGCATGGGGTGCCGCCGCTGGTGTACGATCGCATGGAACGGAATGAGCCAACGGCATGGGAAAAAACGCGAACGGCGTAAGTTGTTCTGCCAACGGAGCGTGGCATGGACGACGAGGGTTCGTTGGAGATCGAGGAGGTCCTCGCTCGTCTTAACCGAGGAGAAGACATGCCCAGTGGCGAGACCCAAGGGCCGGAGCTGAGCCAAGACGAAGGTGGTAGCTGCCGGAGCGAGGTTAACTCTGACCGATTGGGAAAACAGATTAACGAAGTCACATCATCGGGTATGTTTGCTCTGGACGGGCCGCCAGATATACCCGATGTGGAGAAGCTCTTGTTTGCCTGCAATGCAGTGAACGGGGATGTGGCGGCTGGGGGAGGCAAAGCCGGCCCGACAACACGAGTGGAATCGGCGGAGAGACGGCCAGGGCTTGCTGACGGATGTGAGCCATACATTCACGTTTCTCGGGGCGACGAATTCGCCGACACATTTGATGCCTCGTTCTTCGCGAAGACGTTCCCCACGCTATTGCCCTTTGGCGTCGGGGGGCCACGGTTGGTGGAAGAAGCCGCCCTAAGCGTGGGAAGAGGTGCCGATATGGGCGGAGCAGAGGTGGCGGCGCAAGACCTCGTCTCTTCCCGTAACATGAGTCTGCGAACATGGGCCGATATCACGCTCCGGCGCCATGGTGGCCGATTTGCGACGTATTATATCTTTGTATTCCTTGTGTTTAATATGAGTGTACAGTCGAGGAACCGTCGCGTCAGCATGTTAAGCGTAACGAGGAAAGATTTCCGCAAGATAGAGCGTATTATACGGTTGCTCTCGGCAGACAGGTTAGCAGCAGCAAGGATTGAGTTGGAGAACTCAGGAAAAACGAGTGACGAGGCCGTGAAGGAGCTTTTGAGAAGTCTTTTCTTGTACGGCTTCCGGCAGCCTATATCCAGAGAAAATCGCTTGAGTATGCAGCGGAAGATACAGTCGCTTGTTCTTCGTTATGGCATGCCGGCGATCTGGTTCACGCTCAATCCAAATGATATTACGAACCCGGTGAAGCTGCGACTTGCAGCATACCGTACTAGCAAGCCTGACGCGGCCGAGGCTTTTCTAAAGAGCCTTGGCATATCGTACAAATGCCTGCAGCTGGCTATTTCGGACTCTATAAGCTCGGCTATCTTCTTCTACCGGGAGATAATATTATTCTTTAAGTACTATATTAAAGTGGGAGAGGAGTCAGTATTCAGGCGCATCATCGACTATTTTGGTACTGTTAAGACCAATAAATAAGGGGCGCTTTATATCTATGGGTTGCTTTAGTTGCATGGAAATGTACATTTAAGTTCGATGATTGCCGATATCGACGGTAAAGACCAAGCAATATATTGTAACCGTATTATCCAATATATAGATAGTATATTCTCTGAGGTATAGTATAGCCCTAGGCATATCGAGGCGGGGCTAAAGCTGATATACCTATAAGGTAGGACCTAGACCAGGAAGGGTATTGCGCCCTCTAAGCGGAATAGTCAGTAGTATCGAATATTTCCTTCCTGCTTAATAACAGGGAGTAATTTTCAGCTGTATTTAATGAGGAAGCGAATTTCTATGCCGGTGTAACACAGATCTATACTTATAGCCTAACTTGTATTAAGTACTCCTTGAGTAAGAGTAGAGAGAGGGAGAAAAAGTATGGCCTTTGTCGATTCCAGGTGCTATGGAGACTAGTCGAAAAGACTACCTTTACAGCAGACAGTATGTTGCAAATTCGAAGGAGGCATAGTATAGTGAATCGGTAGAATAAGGCTATGGCCGTGGGGCTTCGCCATAACTATAATATCTCCTTTATAGCAATATAGCAGAAGACTATAGCCCTTATTTATTATATTACAAATTACACAATAAAAGTGGAGGATCCGGTGTGGAAGCGCGTCGCTGCCGCAGCCGAACTGCTGCCTGTTATCTCAGCAGGTAGTGGAATGACCGATGGCGGAGAGGATTATGGAGACGACGGTGCCGGTGATGCTGGTACCGGGAATAGGACGCGGCAATTCTTGATAAGACTGGCGAACTGCATATTCACGGAGCGATCTCTATCGCAGGTCGAAGTAATCGCCCACCTTCTGGGATACCTAATTAAGTTCAGTAATAGTAGCAACTGGACGTTCCTGAACGAATCTCTGCTCTACTGGCACGTCTTCCGACGATGGCGATACCTCCGGAAAGAGAGTGGGGCAGAGGCTGTAAACGATTCCGTAGATAAGTTGATAGTTGTGGAAGAAGCAGGTGAAAGAATTAGCTATGCGGAGGCATACCAGCACCGCGGAGACGTTTTGCGAAGCCTGTATCTCTATGACTATGTGTCGCTCGTCAGACTCAAACGAATTAGTAAAGATGAGATCGCTGCTGCTTGGGGAGAGGTGCTATTCGAGAGCAAGTAGGAATCTGGAAGAGGCTGGTTATAGATGCTGAGACGGCCGGGAAAGCACGCCAGCGTCTGCCTTGATGGCTACCTGAGCAAGGATTTCGACCAGGATGACGAAGAGTCGTGCTATCGAAGGTGGGTCTGCCGCCGCCGACAGAGGGTAAAAAGGTCGTATTGAAGAGGCTAACCTCTATACTGAAGAGCAGCCGTCCAGCACCTTATACTATTTATGCTATAGAAGTCTTTTCTATACCGAGAAACAGATAACATTAACAGCATATAGATGCAGGCTCGAGAGGCACTTCCTGTCAGAATATTATGCCTCGTCGATAATATACAACTACTCCGACAGTCGGCTGAAGACGCGAAATACGACGCCAGGTAATGGGCAGCCTCAGCTGGTGACGCTGACTTTACAGCTGCATGTGCGGGTGAGGAAGGAGAAGGCGAGGCTGGTGGTGAAGAGGTCGCATCGGTTTACCAGTCTGGCAGCATCGGTAATACAACATATCTGATTGACGTCGTAAGAAGTGCAGTGGGCCCCGACCAGATTACTGCCGGCTCGCCGGAGCTTATAGTAACAATAGAGCAGCTGTATTGCTTTTAGAAGTCAGTACTAAGCTCAGCTGCTAAGCTCCAGGCTACCGTAATACCCAAATGGAAAGAAAGACAGATAAGCATACCAGAAGGGATATTTTCGGGGACCATTATACCACCGCAGGATCAGGTTAAGGCTATTAAGTCGCAGCAGATCTGTGCCTCCAGAGAGAGGGAGCGAATAATCCAGGGCATACAAAGTATAGCCAGGACTGATAAAACTGATTATAGCGCGGCAGTGCAAAGTATGCTTACTGGTTTCGGTGAGGAGGATATCTAAATAACAGCAGCCGACTTAGAAGAGACAGCAGGCAAGGCAGAAGAGGCAGGTCCGCATATAGAAGTCGACTTTAGTGTATTAACATTCTTCCTTAAGGCAGGTAAGGCTGTGGCAGCACAGTTCACATTAAACAAGAGGCAGACAATTACCTTCCTGATTATATACCGCCAGCTCGATTCGATATAATGTAGCAGCAGAGGCAATATCGGTTAGCTCTGCGAATTTATTAGTAGAGAAGGTAGAACCGGCAAGTTACGAGTTATCGAAGCACTCGTTAACCTCTTCGCATCAAAAGGTATTTCAAACCGTCTGCTAATCACGGCAACGTCGGGGACTGCCGCAGCGCAGATTAATAGCATCACAATCCACTCCGCCTGCAGGATCTGCAAGGACCAAGCAGCGGGCAGCGCGAATACAGCCAAGAATCTCGACGGTATACAACTGCTAAAACATACTAAGCGGTTCGTCTATAGCCAGTCTTGTATAGACTGGCAGAAGAAAGACCTGCTAGTAATTAACGAGGTGAGCATACTGGGAGCGCGGACGCTACACGCTGTGAACGAGCAGCTCTGCCGGCTCTGCGGATCGCAGCAGGACTTTGGCGGGATCCCCATCGTCCTCTTCTGCGGAGACTTCCACCAGTTCCGCCCGGTCTAAGAGAGGTCGATTCTGCTGCCCAGTGCGGCTATCTTATAGGATAAAGATAACTTATTTAAGGCCGAGTAACAGTACCAGTATGATAGGGCGTATGTATTATAGAAGAAGTTTACGACGGTTATTATGCTGGATGAGTAAGTATGTGCCGCTGGAGATACAAAATTACAGAGACTGCTAAAGCAGATCCGACTGGGCGTGCAGGACCGCACAGATTTGGACCTCCTTAACTTAAGATGCTACCGGGAAGGCAGGAGGATTCCGTGGGAATCGGATATTACTGTGGTAATGCTACTAAATTGGAATTGGTGGAACCTAAATATAGAGGTAACCTTATTATTCCAGATCCAGTAGCGGTTGATGATGCGAATCTTTATCTCTGAGTATAAGTAGAGGGACGGTCTGCTGACTGAGGAAGAAGCTACTATAATACTAAACTAGAGCGATAATAGTATAATACCAGTAGTAGGTATCTTTATGTTCGTGCCAGGAATAGCAGTCGTTGTAAACTACAATACCCACCAGGGCTTGAAGCTTATTAATAGGGCCAGTTACATAGCACTTGACGTTATCCTCGATAAGGTGTATCCGGGCTATCAGATCTCGGCTGATATAACAGTCTACTTCGGGCCGCCGGCAGGGATAATATTGGCATCGGAGGTAATAAAGAACTTCTACTTCGTCGGGATGCTGCCCGGCACGATCCTATTGATACCTATAAGTATCAGTATACATTGCCAGCAAAAGCAGCCGTGGCAACAGAAGGATGTCAGTTGGAAAGGTTTGCCCTGTGCGGCGGCCTTTGCGTGCACAGACTATAAGGTGCAGAGCAGAATGCTAGAGCGCGTAGCGCTGGAGTTGCGGGGGGCGAGGACGATAAATATCGACGGATACATAGTCCCCGCGCAATGTGATCCGTACAGCCTGTATGTGCAGCTGTCTCGGTGCCGGTCGCTGGACGGCATCATGCTCATCTCCAAGGTGCGGGAAAGAGATCTGGTGGGCAACCGGGTTCCCCACGAGATGACCGTGGCAGAGGCCAGACTGGAGGAACTGAGCGACAGGACGGTTCAGGAGGCATTGCGCTGGTTTGATGCGATTCTAAAGAGTCCAAGTTGACAGGCGTTGGGTGACGCGGATGAGAGGGGATGAGGAGCTGGACGAAAGTGGTAATTTTTTGGGCTAATGAGAGGGGTTCTTTTATATTTGCAGGGTGAAGTTAGCCTTTTTCGCGTCCTTTCGGTCCTCACACAAGGCACACATCCGACCAGTCCGCGTTGACTGGAGACCCATCTGACAAATCAGAGTAGAGCTTTTAGAAGCTGAACCGACCCATGAGAGGGGTTCTTTTAAGGTCAGTCGGGGGCGGGGCATAGACCTTTCGTTCCTCAAGGCAAAACGCCCTTCGGGCTGAATAAACAGTGTTGCTAATAATATGGCAATAAAACAATGTACTGCAATACATACGATATGATATGCCCTACACGATATTGTATCAATACAATATGCAGATTGCCATATTGATATCGGGACATCAAGTCATTTAGGAGGTGCCATTGGATGCTTCTCTGCTCCTTTGCCCTTTCTCCGGGCTACTGCAGGTCAATCCCGCGTCGTTGAGTTGTGAATTCGTCGTCCGTTCACCAACCGGAAACACCAAGCTGAACAGCGGAAGCGCCCATCACCATAACAACAGACCTACGGACTTTGCTTCTCAGGGGAGTCCTGCCCGCTGACTCCCATCGCGATGGGGTTATCTCTCACGTCACCATGGGCATGGCCAAGCCACCTAGTGCCTCGCCTGCCTCGCCCGAGCTGGTCCAGAAGGCTGAGCTGGCGACCAATCTGGCCATCATGAGCGAGAACAACCAGCCCGTGGTTGAGCATCTCCCGGCCTAAGAGGCACTAGCTCCGCCAATGTGCGTCATGTGAGTATATTGCAATGGACTGATAACAGCGCCGTTCGCGTCGGGGGCCGGAGCCAACTTTTTGCGAGCCGATGCCCCCAAACCAGCGATGTCCCGCCTATGCTTCGGGGGTCATAGGGGTAAAATCGCCTACCCGAGGATGATGTATCAGTATTACCTAACACCTTTCTGCATGGTCTGTATGGTTGTATAGAATTAGATTTAGGAGACCTTCGACTAATTTGAATGCTTCAGTCATAATTGAGCGTCAAAAATTGCTGGGTATATAAGAGCTCGGGCCGGCCGAGCCGATGTTGGGTATATCCAAGTTGTCGCGATACGTGAGACCCGATTCTATTCCCATTCAACCCAAGCAGCCAACAAATAGTTCCATAGCCGTAGAACCAGACGAATCCATAATCCTAGCGACCGTGATTCGGAAGAGTAAGGCCCTCTTCGATGCTCAACTTGCGGGTTGTCGTCGTCATCCGCCGTTAAACGTGATCGCTCCCTCACATCATAAGCAACTTCATCCAATCCAAATCCTTACGGCCTTCAGCCAGTCGACGAAGGCGGCCACTGAGGGCTCTGCTCTGGCGCTTTACCATCCCTCGCCTCCGCTTGCAATTCACTTTCGAAGATATCGACCGATAAACTCGCCTCCACGAAATCCTCAAGCTCCTCCGTCACGGTATTGAGCTTCTCCTTCACCGCAATGGCGCCCTCATGACCAACAATGTGTCGCGCTGGGGGATTCTCATGGCCCCCAATAGCTGACAGGGCATGCACCGTCTCCGTGACAAGCTTGTCTGCCGCGCCTGGGGGCAGCTTCGGATATCGATGCAAAATCTCGCCGGGAACAACATCTGGCTCAATGGCTGAGCTGGCGGGTGACATTGGTGAAGGTCCTGATTCAGGTGGAGACAGTGGGAAAGGAAGAGCCGTATCTGGGTGAGTGTTGAGGACGTTGGTGAGGATGTCGCGTATACTTGGCACTGACTTGGGCCCTTGATCGTAGGCGGACATCTGAGGAGCAAAGGTGAGGCGGTTCGTCAAGGATTGTATCTCCTTATTCGGCTGCACTATGGTGACTTTGATGTTGAAGGGCGCAACTTCGTAGGCGAGGGAGTCGCAGAAGCCCTCAAGGGCCCAGGTGGCGGCTGTGTATATTGACATGCCAGGAGTGCCAATGTGACCGCCAGTGCTTGTGAGGACGATGATGTGTCCGGTATGCTGAGAACGGAGCTGGGGGAGGGCAACTCTAATGAAGTTAACCTGGGAGAAGAAGATGGATTCAAACTGATCACGGACAAGGTTCTGGGTGAATGGAGTCGTTGATAGCTCCTCTACCGTCCCAACCACAGCTTCAGTAGAAAGCTAGTTAGCAAAGCTCATTGTCGTCTCAGGAGACGATATTATAGAGTGAGACATGTGACAGGGGTAAGCCTCGAGAGCCGCGGAGATTGAAAACACACCTTCGGATTTGCAGCACAGCAAAATATCAATACAGCCATAGACTTGAACAGCCTCAGCAACAGCGGCGCCGCAGCTCCCCATGGAGATACCATCATAGCGAATACCACGGATGCGATCCTTCCAGCCCTTGCAGTCCTTTCGCGTGCTCTTGCACTCGTTGACCAGCTCCCGGAACTCGGCGCTGCGGTCTTCATGGTCGATCTCGTGGGGCGGTAAACAGGCGACGACGTAGTCGCCATGAGCGAGCAGCGTCCGGATGAGGCGGACGGCAAGAGGCGACAGGGCTGAGGTGAGGAGCCATGTTCGCGGCGAGTTGTGCGTGGCTGCGGAGGGGTTAAGGTCAGCGTCGGCCATTATCACGGCAGTACATGATTATAAATATCCTCCGAATGCCTCCCTCATTCAACTCTTTTTTTTGCCCTGTAAAACAGTATTGTCCTTCTTTCCCTTGCTCTTCTTTTGTAACCGAGTTCCCTTGCTGGTGAATCCTGCAAAATGTCCTTCGGAAACTTGTCCGACCTCGGAGGGTAAAGTTGGCGGTAGCCGTATGAAGGTTGATGGATGAATGGAGGTTAAATAAAGAATTGCGGGAGGAATGTGGAGTCATGAGCTTCTATGGGAATTACATTATTAGCAGCAACATCGCTCCTAATCCACGGGGATAAGAGTATGATAAGAGTAGAACAAAAGAAAATGGAGAAGGAATGAGTTAGGAAAATTGATTTGCTGTCAAAGGGTACCTGGAAAAGTGACAGCTGTAGAGCTGAAAAGCTGGCGAAGCAAGGATAACCAAGGATAAAAATCTAGGAAATCTGGGGGTGACCGACGAAAGGAGGGGTTCGAGATTGAGTGAGTGTGTCGTGGGGTAAAAACCGTTTGGTGGGCGCCGCGACTCGCCCGCTCCGGGCCCGACATTTCGGCCTCTGATGATCCAGTCGGATGCCGCCCAATTACAGAATTCCAACCAAGATTCTGCAGGTATAGCCAGATAATCTCTCAGGGCAATCGAATTCTCCTTCCAATCACTTCACAGAATGCTGGATTCAAGACGGCAGGGATTCGAAATCGGGTGGTGTAGGTAATAGAGCAAGGTTCACTAGGCGCGGAATCGGCCTGACACAACTCGACCCTTCGAAATGCCAGAAGAACGCTACCATGACGTCAGTATGCGCCGATCTTTGATCCTTTTGACTTTCTTTTTGGGGTATGCAGTGTTGTCTGCCTTCATTTCCTTGGGATACTGCAGAGAGTGATGTCATTCTGACTACAAAATTCACCAACTATGACGGCATTTCCAAATCGGTGAAGAGGGGCATGATGGCCCTCATCGTTATAGAGGTTGAGGCGGCTCCTTAGCAACGGATCGTTGTACGTCTCGTCTACTAGCTTCTGAACCGCATTTTCCATAACATCTCGCTGGCAATTTCGGAGTCCAAGCTCGCTGCTAACTAATACCAATAAATACATAATTGCATAGCTGTCTAGCATCCAATAGCCTCAACTATCCAAACAGTCCTCTCAAACTCGCAGTGATGATTACAATGAAGAGCTAACCAGACCAGGATAGTTGTATGCCGGTTTCAGTCTCTACGTCTATTCTTGACAGTCCCCAGCAAAGCCAACGCTTATCCCCATACGATGTAATGGTTATCAAGTCGCACGAAATTTCTACCGTCAATAATTTTATAGCTGCCGTATCCAACTGGCTTTTCCTTGCTGGCTTCATAGTTATTTCAGGAGCTTTTACTTCAATCAGCCATACTGCGCTCCTGAATGATTCCCAAACAGGGAGGGTTGTACAGTATGCTCTACGTGGTACGCCCCTCCTTGTTCTTGGTAGCATATTCTGTTTTGCTGGTGGAATTGGAATGGCATGGGTTTATTGGCAGGTCAAACACAACTATAGCTGGCTTGTGGACCGGGTTTTCCTGTAAGTTACAATATTTCTTGATGCAGCGATAATCTTGCTAATATGCCTAACGGTCCGGGCTACTTAACTCGGTAATGGCTCTTATCATTAGTGTCAAATATTAGGGTGAGAAAATTGTCTTCTCCCTTCCGCCCCTATGTCTTGAGGTTTCAGGGCAAGCTTTATATACCCTTTCTCTTCTGTATAGAATCAGCTAGAAGCTGATTGCTAAGCCTTGTAGCAATAGGTAGCAATAGGTGACAATAGGTGGCAACTTTCGCCTCTGACGTATCTGACAATTAGTTTAGTGAATATTTATAGCGCACAGAACGGGGATTGGTCTGTCACAGCCATCGACACTGTTTGTATCATGGGGTCATCTGTTTTATGAAGGGGTTAATGTTGGCTGTGTATGAGTTCTGGCTCGTGGAAAATCTAAAGCGTGTATCTTGATTCAATATAGACAGGGTGGCGATCAACGCAACATCAATCAAGAGGCTGTCAACCAGGTTGAAGTCAACCAACTCAACCCAACTCAACGGAGCCTATTCTTACTAATCAACCAACTCAATATCATCACGATATTGAGTTGGTTGCGTTCACAAGGTTGATTAGGTATCGTAGCGATGTTCCCAGACTCCGGTGCCGGGTAGCTCATCCCAAGGCGGGTTGGGTGTTAGTATTTATTAGGAGTTACTTTCCATCACACCTAATTATATCATAAACCTAGGTACCATGGAGCGCTCCTTAACATGCTATTGGCTCGACGCGTCAACGCGTCAGATGCGAAACGCGTCGGATGCGATTCGCTCGTCCATCGACTCTGTCACTCTTGTATCAGCATCAGTCTAACCTCCCCTTCATGGCTTGCTTCTCTGGCATCTCATTTCTTTAGCTTTAATATATCACAAAGTTCAGATTTTGAGGCTGTGAATTTCGTAGCAGGTCGTAATCAGATGAGTTTGCTATGAAAAGCCGAAGATGTGAAATAGCCGCCCTGGCAACGGGTGGTATCAGTATAGTCTTTGTAGACTTCCGATTCAAACTCATGGGTATAGGGTAGGTACACTTCTAGCAGAGTAAACGTCATGCATTAGACTTAGTAGAGAAAATAACATAGACTTAATACGGATGCACACCGGAATTGACAGGGATTGATAGGTGGGCGCGGCTTACTTTGGACTGAAGGACATTTTGCTCAAGCTGCTGTCCCTCGCCGCATTATCTTGGAAACATCAAAGTTCATGATGGCAGCGCCGAGTATATTCCTATTAACAGCGGTATGAAGTTTGATCAGTCTTGACATCGACTGGCTATTGTCTGGATTGGTCAACTAAACCTATTTCCTATTCCTGGTTCTTATTTATATCATGTTGGGCCCAGCTTTCTAGGATGAGTAGGACAACTGGTTGACTATTGTTGTCTGCCTTAGCGATAGTAGAGTAGGCTGCACAATCACGACCCATGATGTGATTGAGCGTGGAAGGTACTTTGCGTTGAGTGCCGTGACTCGCTTTATATATTAAATCAGGTATGGACCACTTCTGTTCAGTCCACTTCTGTTCAGTCCACTTCTGTTCAGTCATGCCTAGGTTAGTCAATGGTCACACTTTGTCAGAACGGCCCAGTCTCGTCAAATGTCCGATTTAGTCAAAGCCAGAGTTGGACATCTTACGAACGGGAATCGAATCGATAGATTCATTCGATGCCAAGTCTTACGAATGTCGAATCGAATTTCTTGGCGTTTGATTCGCATCGAATTAAATGGGCGCACTCCATTCGATATGCGAATCGAACATGCCACATTTCATTCGACATCGAATCGAACGGCGCTAAGCATTCGATCGATTTTCGATCGATTCGGTCGAACAGGGCTCCCGATTGCAGAAACACGTCAGGGGGCCTAAATTTTAGCGTAATTGATCGACGTGTTAAGAAGCTACTGGCGCGATCTTACGTGACGATCCCAGTACGCTGCATCGTTCGCCACGAATCTGTCTTGTTGCTAAGATGTGTTAGTAAGTACGTCTATCCTCCCCGAGAGATCCATGGCGCAATAGGTACCTTGCAACTTCACTTATCATCCCGACAACCCACAATTGGATGTTTCATAAAAGTTCGAAGACAATCCATTTTGTAGCTTAGAATGAGGCGTCTAGTCGATTTCCATGAAGAATATACGATTTGGAGGAGATATTGAAGTGCGAGTTATCTTAGCTGCAAATTCCAACTTGCAAAGTTAGGAGGTACTGGCACTACCATTATTACGGAGGCCAGAGCTGCAGTAGCCTCTAACACAATTGTATAGGGTAGGTCGACCCCAGTAACATGGCGGCACACGCAAGGCCGAAATATCCCAAATATACGCCGCTTGTTCAGCAGAATCAAATGAATGCAACTAAAAATCAGTGCCTCTAGATTCTCTTACCGAGAGCTTTCTATTATTGCCAATCTTGGCATGATCAGATGAATATTTCAGACTTGGACTTTTATATATTGACATATATGGGACTCATGGTCTTCCTTTGTTCATCCAACGGTCCCTCTTTGTCTCGGGGACCTGCAACCAAACCAAGCCGTACCCGTGAACAGAAGTACTAGCGACTTCGTAGGACCCTCGGAGTGCTTTCATTTAGAGCCTCAACTTCAAGTGCCCACCGTTCCGCCTCACGTGTTCCAGTTTACGAAGAGCTCAAGAATCCATTCTCAATTGACGCCAGATTGGAATGAGACCAAACGTGAAAGCCGATACGGGCAGAAAGACTGGGCAACGAGGGGATGAGAATTTTTGAGGCGGGTGCGCAGTGACGCGAGCCAATAGGGGCCTTGGAACCAAAAGGAATAGGGAATATATGGAACCTGGCCGCCGGAAAGCTTGCCTTTGGCCCGGGGTCTGTGGACCTGACCAACAAGACCTGTGAATTGGTTAGTTGCGAAGCGCGGGGAGGTTTAGTAGATCAACACTTGGAAGAACATCCCTCCGCCAATAGCTGGAACAAAGGTTGACTCCTTCGCTACGCTGGCGTCTTCACGCGCGACTGCTTCGGATTAGGACGCGCCATGTCGTCACTCGCACTGGTGGTCAATGGCTCATTCATTCTTACAAGGCTCGGCAAGTTCAACGGCACTGGCGACTCGCGAATTTCGCGTTGACGACAACATGCGTGTGATATACGCGTGTTATTGGCCTTACACATCTGTGCAGCGATGGATGGATATTACTTGACCCTCCGCACGCAGCCTCAATGGCTTCCAACAACATCGTTCAGCTCACTCGATCCGTACGGCCGACCTTCCCGTCTAGCTAACTATGTCACGATGTCCTCCGAAACATTCTCTTCAAACAGCCCATTCTCCGATCAGCCAGAGGCTATAGAGCGCATTGAGTTCTCTTCGTCTTCGCCGGCTGTTTCGTCGCCAGCATCGTCGTTGCCAGCGACACCATCGCCCCGTCCTCGCGGGACTGCCGCCGACTTTATCAAGGTCGATTGGACACTCTGGGGCCGCCAAGAGTGGATGAAATGGCCAGGATTCGAGCGCTATACGGGCGGCCAAGACACGAGGGCGTGGTGGCAGGAATATGGGTACCGCGTTGAAGACCATTCCACCTGTTGACAGGGGCCTCTATCAAGAAACACCTTCGCGCAGCCCACGGGATTTTGGTATGTCCCCTGGTCCGCGGCCCGTTGATATGCTGATTTAAAAGGGCCCGAACCAAGCTGCCCGTCGCGGGGGAGGCTCATTGTTGCATAACCAGACTATCACTCATTTCCTCGACGCCGACTTCAATAACCCTAACGATCAGTTCCTCCTCAGCAACCTGCGTGGACAATTCAACGTCAAGGGCCTTCGAGTTCTTCTTCTCGACTGGATTACGTACCACAACTTGCCGTTCGAGATAGTCAATGCTGAGCGATTCCAACGGATCCTGCTTTACGGCAACCCACTCCTTGATAAGGCCCATATTCCCTCTGCGGAGACTCTTCTTCGCATGCTCGAATCTGAGTATAGAGGCGCCGTTGGGCCGGTGACTGAAGTATTGCGCAGTGCTCGATCCCAAATCCATTTCTCCCTCGACGGCTGGACGTCAAAATCATTCGTCTCGTTCCTTGGAATCAATGCTCAATTCGTCGATCGCGATTTCGTCCAGCACCGAATCCTCCTCGGACTTCGACCTCTCACCGGGCGACACACCGGCGCATCGCTTGCCGACGAGGTGGCGGATACTCTTGCATTCTGGCAAATCAATGATCCTGACAAGATTGGGTACTTCACTCTCGACAATGCAGCCAACAACAACACGTATATTAGGGACCTTGCATTCGAATACAGCTTCTCTCCTGAAGAGCGACGGATTCGCTGCGCTTGCTACATCGTCAACCTCTGCGTGCGGGCACTGCTGTACGGTTCCAAGCGGGGCAACCTGGCTGCAATTGTCGCAGCCGATGGCGACGATCAGGACGACGATGAGGAACGGGTTGATCAAGCTATCATCGAGGCACTGAATGGAGAGATGGAGGACGACGAGGACGAAGAGATACAGTCTGACGTTGCTGTCAGTAACCCTGATGAAAACTTCACGTCGTCCCACCCGGCTCCGGAAGAGATCAACAGCACCACGTTCAGGGAGTACAGCCAGAACGGCGCCCCGGGAATGCTTCACAACATCGGCCTTCAGCTACGAGCGAGTCCACAACTGTATGAGCAGTTTCTTCAGTCTCAGCGCAAGGAATCTGGCAAGGAATTAACACTCTACTGGGTCTTTAACAACGCCACTCGATGGGACTCGGACATGCGTATGATGGAAAGGGCCCTTTGTCTCCGCCCAGCACTTAACACATTCTTTAATGACGTTCAGAACCGCTGGGAAGCTGAGGGCGCCTGTGAGAATGCCAAGCCCGCAGTTCTACAGTATCGGCTAAGTGGGTACGACTGGAAGATTATCGAGATGCTGGTCAAGCTTCTGAAGCCTTTTAAGGTCGCTACTAAGCAGCTTCAGGGCAGCGGTATTCCCGGCGTGAGATCGACTTGTGGTAGCTTCGACGAGTACTTCCCTGTCTTCGAGATGCTCCTTGACTACCTCGAAAGTGCTATTGAAGGTACAATCTACGAAGAAGTTGAGGATCCGGTGAGCAAGAGGAGGAAAGACGTCGAGGTTGCCATTTACGCGGGACTTGATAACAGAACTCGTAAATTGTTCAAGGTTTTCATCAAGCTCGGGTGGAAGAAACTTCATAAGTACTATGCCCTTCTGACCAGTGCCGCATATATAGGCGCCGTTATCTTTAACCCTGCGAAGAAGTGGCGTCTCCTCGACCAACTGTGGTCTCGAGTTCCTACTCGCAAGGCGCAGGGTTGGCGAGCCGACTATGAAGAGAAGCTATTGCAGATCTGGGAGAATAGCTACAGTCAACGCGACGTTGATAATGAGGTCCTTGCTATAACTGATGAGGCCTCAATGGATTATATCGAGCGCAGGCTTGCCAGGAGTGTCGCTAGCTCGGCATTTGCCACGACTTCACCTGCCACCGCTTCCAACCTCCGCAAGACCACACGCAAGGCGAAACAGACGACCACGGCGGCAGCGATTGATGATGAATATTCCAGGTACTGCGCCGAGGATATCGTCAACAGTCAGTACTACAGGAGCAGACCAATTGACTGGTGGAAGACCAATGCCTATCGGTACCCGCGGCTGTCTACTATGGCTGTTGATATGCTCAGTATCCCATCGTCGTCTGCAGAGAGTGAGAGGACGTTTAGCAGCGCAGGGCTTATGATGGCGCCGTTGAGAAATAGGTTGGGGAGGGAGATAGTGGCTATGGGTCAGTGCATTCGATCGTGGAGCAAGGCTGGGATCTACACGCCTTCGCTGCCGCTGCTTAGCCTAAGTGATGACCAATGGGTTGATGTACTTGCGTCGCTGAAGGACACGAGCGACTTCTGATCTGCCTAGTAACACCTGTTTTCCACAAATTGACTCTGTTCTGCGACGTCTCTTCCCAAATCACGATCATAATGGTGATGCTTATTCCGACCGCTATGTTACATACTCCCTTCATGTGCTTCCCCGTGTTGCCTATTGCCCTTACATAAACTAGATTTGGATCACTCTATGTCAAACGGTCCTCTTATTGGCAAGTCACCATTTCCTCTAACGTTCTCTACCTTTACGGGGATTAGCCATCTATTCGATCGAATTCGAATCGAAATCGATCGAATCTTGGCATCGAATCGAATGACAGGTGCTTGATTCGATATCGAATCTATAGGAGACGTGCTAGATTCGCGTCGAATCATATATGGTTCCACCCGAATCGAATGCCAAGCCATCGAATCGAATGGCACGGCCCGGTATTCGATTCGATAGATTCGATAGATGTCTGTCCCTGGTCAAAGCCTCAATTTTAGCCAAACGTCCAGTTTTTAGTCAAATGTCCAGTTTTAGTCAGAGCTTTCCTTAGGAATCTCGTTCTCTCCTTGTAAACAATCATTTTGCCCAAGTCGCACTCGACCTCGTTCGTGCTCTTGTCCCGTCACAGGAGAGACGGTCACATGAATTAAACTTGAAGATTGTGAGTTGAACGTAGAAGGATACTAAACCCCCATGTCCCTCCGCCTCTTTGCCTTCCTGCCACCCCCTTTTTCAACCCACTTCACGCCGGCCAAAGGTGCAGAGATTCATGCTGTTACGGTCGCCTGTCGCGGTATGGGTGTCTGATGACATCAGAAAGAAGGCATCTTTCGGCCTCGTCAGTTATGTCGCCCTCGAGGATTGGAGTTCTCGGCCATCCAGTTGGTTCTGGTGGGCATTTGCAAGATTCGCGATCGGTCTTGCACTCAGTATGCGCTAGTTGCTATTCGATAAATCTTGTGCTCATCTCATCGCGGGCCTCGCTGTAAGCATCCAATTCTTCAAAGTACTCAGCAATCTTGTCGAGTTTAACACGCCCGCTGTGCTCCACCCATTTTTGGAACATCGGACCCCAAGGCCATGACGAATTTCCGTTCCATCGATACCTGTGATTGTCGAGATTGAACTGCGTTAGTGCAAGTCTCGCAAGATCAAGCATGTCTTCAAGACAAGACACGTGGTAACATTCGTGATCGCTACTGTCTATGAACACTCGGTAGTCGTCCGTTATAGTGTAGCCGGGCCTTCTTTGGCTATGTTCATGAGGACAGGATGGGTTACAGCATTGCGCTCGGCTCATGTGTCTTGGCGGGGATGGCTGCAATAGGAGTGTCGTAGTCGGATTGTCTTCTAGATATCGTTGCAGCTCCTGCTCCTGCTCTCCTAGCCTCTCTGCTCGTTGAAGGCGAGATCGTCTTGCATCTTCAACCTCCATACTGTAGCTTGAAGTCTGCCGCGGTAGTACTCTGGGGTGGCGATTTCCGTTCCAAAGCACAGAGGTTGACCTCTCCCGGTGACGCCTTTAGCCACGCCTTCGCTGTTTCTGGTGGAACTTTAGCTCGAGATAGCAAGCAGATGTAGGGAAGGGAAGCAGTCTTCGTAAGGACAGAGCTGTTGGTAGGTCTCAAGAGGGTCTTCGAAAGTCGTGTTTGAAGTCATTAATACTGAACGAGGACGCGCAACGAAGAGGGTCTGTACGAAATAGATGGATTGAGTAATAGGGCCCATTCCTCAATTCCTTAGCGGAGGGGCGATGGCGTGAAATACCTCAAACGAGTAGGACACAATGGATATTTGGTTCCGGAACGCGTGTTCCATGCTTCTTCACGCACGCAGATGTAAGTGGGTGCTCACTTCGGGGCTTGAGTTGCCCCGTACATCTGATCTGCATCTTACACCGTCCTGGCGTACTTTAGGCAGCCGGGGCTGTGACAAAGAATTTCTTCTTGACCAAGAGTCAACCACTTCTTGACTATAAGTGGAGATTGGATTTTTTTTTTCTTAACTAAGGACAAGAACCTCTTCTTAACCAAGAGTGGAGACAGATCTCTTTAGGACTAAGGACAAGGACCTCTTCTTGACCATAAGTAAAGACAGTCTTCTTCTTGACAAAGGACAAGGTCCTTTTCTTGACCAAGAGTAGAGACAGGTCTCGACCATAAGTGGAGATTGTTTTTTTGTTGACAAAAGACAGATCCTTTTCTTGACCAAGAATCGACCACTCCAGTTTGAGTCAAATGTCCAGTTTTGTCAAAGGCCAAAAATGGATGTTGGGGTATCGGGAAGCTCAGCCATAATGTGGTGATAAAGTTACTAGAGGACGGTATTTTGATGCTCCCGGTCCATTTTCAGCAAGCTGTTAGCTTGGGCATGGATGTCAAAACGAGAGAGACCACGACCAGGGCAAAGAGCACAGCCAATGCAATGACCTGAGTTTGGGACAGTTGCTCCATAGTGCCGTCGGTGAGGAAAGGACGCTGGAAGGTGCGGAAGCTAACGACCCATTGCGCACATCGTGAGATATATACTCCTCTATACGGGTATACCTACCCAATCTAGTCTTCCCTAGCGCGTCACGAGAGATCCGAACTCTTGTGTACCGCGCGGCCTTGTCACAATCTCATGGGACCTGCTCGTCCCTGTGTCCTCGCAGACCTCCACCTGGAACTAGACAAGGATCCGAGGAAGGCAAGCTAAGGTAAACCGTCTTGTACCGTATAGAGTGGGTCCGGAGTTCGCTCAGCTGGATCCCGGGATTATTACTACATCTCGTTGTTTCGCAAAGGCCAGCGTTCGATGCATGACACCATGGCTTCATCATCAATCACACGACTTGCTCATGCTAGATTACTACCGGATAATTGACCAAAAGGCTGTGGTATTCGCTGAATGGCACTCCTGGAAGGTCAATTTAGACCACTAAGCACTCGTAGACGACTCCTCTGTGCCATCCATGGAGCCGTCATCTGTGTTCTCCGTTGACCCATCCAAAGAGCCTGCACCGGTATGCTCCGGTATCTCGTCGACAGCGCCGCCAACAGCTGAGTCTGGCCTCAAGACTTCACCCATATTAATATCCTCGGCTGCATCATTTCCAGACTCGGCGTCCTCATCTGGTACATCCTCGTGCGGACGCTCTCTCGAATATGTACTATCCATAGAGCGGTCATCTGTGTTCTCCATTGACCCATCCAAAGAGCCTGCACCAGTATGCTCCAGTATCTCATCGACACGGTCCTCAACAGCCGGGTCTGGCCCCAAGACTTCACCCATATCAATATCCACTGTCTTATCATTTCCAGACTCGGTGTCCCCATCCGGTACATCATCGCTCGGCCGTACTCTCATAGCCGTAGGGATGCCTTTACGCAAGTTAGTTTGAATTAAGAGTCAGACAACGCAACTTACCGTCAGCAGGGGAAGACTTTATTCTCTCGTTCGAGCTGGCTGAAGGGTTGGTCGACTTGAGATGTGACGCTGAGATGAATACTCTGTGAAGGTTGATCGATAGTATTATGTGAAAGGACACCTTATTTAGTCTTGATTAAGGAGGGTGAGTCACTATTTTATACCTCAGACCTTTTTATCTGGTGCTATTACGAGCTCTATCCATGGACTGTGAACTTATGCTAATTGCAGTCCAGGGATGATGCGTTGTTCAATGGGCAGATGCAAATATTCAGAGAGTAGTAGGGCAAGGTGGATTGCTATGCTGCAAGCCACTAGAACTAATTCTACTACTGGCGCTGCTCTGTTAGTCTAGACATGGTTGAGGGGCCAGTTAGACGACTGCAAGAAGTGAGGCTTACAGGTTTTGGCAGTCTGGAGTGAGACCTTTCCATATTGAAGGATGGGCATCATGCATGTTCATGATTGACGTGTCTCCAGCCATTGGAGACGATCATAGGCCCGTATCTTGACCACCCTCTATCACACATGGTCTCAGAGACATACATGCAGACTCTGACAGCCACTCAATGGCGCTAGGTCGGGCCATGAACCATTGTTGGCTGATTCAAATCCACCCCTCTCCCTGGAGTGCATGGTTCGTTTTCACTCCACGCCAACCAGGCCATCCGGAACCATGGCGAACCTGAAAATCGGTCAGGGGTCACTATGTTGGTCTGGATTCCACTGCAGAGACCAGTTATGCGGCCAGGACGAGAAGCTTATCGACCCCGTTTCTGGACATCTCATCCATGAAAGCTGGATGCGAGGCCACAATATGCACATTAACGGCCTACTAGTGTCTCTAGCCCTTGAAAGTTGCGCGCACTGGCATGTCTTCATATGCATGGAACCAAATCCGACCAAGGGCCATCGTCGAGTAGCTAAACAACGAACCCATACAAGCCACCATTTACTTCTGTATTGACCAAAACCCCCTTCTTTTCAGTAACTATTAACGCTGTTGTTGTCATAAAACATAAGAAAAGCAACAGCGGTAGAAAGAATGTATACAATATACAATTTATTACGCCCGGCGGCTTAAGTCGAAAGGGCACTAGTAAGTAATATTTCCATACATTGCCCAAATTGTGTCCTAGCCTCCTAAAGCCCATGCTGCGTCCTATCCTTACAATCTTGCCTATTCTTCTCATTTGCTCTCGTCTTTTCTACGGATGCCCGTGGGTTGGTCATACTGTTAGCGGACTGACTTGAAGCCTATTTTCCAAGTGTTCAGTGTCCTATCTACGGCGGCTGAAGCGGTGTTCGCTAGTTCGGCACGGGGTGAGGGTGGGGTGAAGTTGAAATAGTAGGGTTATCAAGGAGTTAATAGAGAGAGTCCTGTCTCCCTAGTAGCTTGCATCGAGGCGGCCTGTGGCCAATGCAAATCGGATTGTCGCTCGAACGGCCTCCATATTTGGCGTCTATTTTTGGTCATCAGATGGTGACTTTCCTCCAAGATAAAAAGAGACATTGCTCCTCTGGGTGCTAGTGCATTGAAGCATCTCTGTACGGTATGCTGTCCACTTTCGGCATCGGAAGAGGAAGTGTTCAACCGTCTCTCTCGCTTGTCTACAATCACACTGGTCTGATGATACCGCTTTGATGTGAAAGAGGTACGAGTTTAGCCTTGCTATGCCTGTTCTGAGTTGCGCAAGCACACTGGCTTTCTTCCACGATAGTTGGTCGTAGAGTCGTCTCGTGTGTATGCCCGGCAGCGCGGCGTCTACTCGTTTGGAGTGTCTGCCGACGTTTTCAGGCAGTGCCTTATCCATATTGACTTTCGATCGTGCAATGCTGAGTGTCGTCGATTGCATGCTAGGGAACTGTTTTTCTGGGGTGGGCCCTTGCTGTGTCGCCTTCCGGGCCTCCTCTTTGGCATGCTTGAGAAGCTCGTTCTCGCCGCTTGAGGGTATCCACAGAGCCCTTACGACGTTTCCATCTTCCCGCAGCTCTTCAATCGAATCATAGATACAGCGTATATATTCCTGCCCGGATTGCTGACGGAGTTGCCTCAGGGAGAGCGCGGCAGCTTTGTTGCTCGTGATCAGTGCGACGCTGCGATATCTCAACCTTGGTAGCGATCGCCTCAAGGCATATGCCATTGCTGCGAGTTCTCCGCTGTACGAATTCTGCTCCGCTCTCATCCCCAGTGTAAACGAGAAGGTCTCCAGCCTCGGACCGCCTCGCATGGACATCGGGATCTGGATTGCGCCTCCGACACCTACCACGTCGTTCCGCGCAGAGCTGCTCACTGCAACGCGTATGGCCCAGGCTGCCTCTGCCTCTCTTGTTGCTGACTCGTCGGTAATGGCTTCCACTCGCTTTTCCCATGGCGCCAATGTGAGTGGTTGAATGGTTTCTAACTTCTCCATTGGTACGTCTCTAAGTGCCATCGCTACCTGGTAGAGTGGTGACTGGTGAGACCTTCTGAACGCTCGTATGCGGGATGTTGTCCTTCGAAGCGGATTGGTATTGGGCAATATGTGGATATGCGTCCACATCTTGATTGCCCTCTTCCAAAACCGTTGTTTCGTAGAAGCGATATGAGCTTCTGCTTCCGCTACGCTCGTCGCCACTGTACTAAATGTCCCAACGATCGCCTGTGCTCCCACTTTCTGAACCCTGTTGATCGGTCCCATGAGTCTGTCTTTGAACCTATGCATCCACATATTGGAGGCGTAGTCCACAACCGGGGCGACAGTAGCTGTAAATAACTGTCTTGCCGTCGCTGGCGTTAGACCCCTTAACCTCTTCAGTTCCATTGCTGCTTTCAAACCCTTGGAAGCTGCCCTTGCAATATGTTCCTTGTACTTAAGCCCGGCATCCATGATAACTCCCAGGATCTTGACATGATCCTTCGGTTGGACTGTCTGTCCCTTGATCGTGAAGGGCTCCGAGTCGGTCTTGTACTTCTTTCGGGTGAAGTGTATGATAGCAGTCTTGTCCGCCTCAAACGTCGCGGCGCTTCTCCTCTCCCAGCCTAATGCCTCCTTAATGATCGATTCGACTCCCTCGCGGTTGCTTTGTGCCGTTGGCCCTGTGATCCAGGCTGTGAAATCATCCACAAATGCTATCGCCCCTCCATTGCTGTCGATCCGCCGCTGTACCAAATCTGCATTAAAGAAAAGGAATAAGATTGGAGATAGAGGAGAGCCTTCGGGTAGGCCTGCCTGTGGTAGGTCTCGAGTTTCCGATGACTCTCCGTTGACTTGGATCACTGCCGTGCGGTTCGAGCAAAATGCCCCTATCCTTCGGAGAAGCTCCTCTGGGATGCCGCGAGCTTTCATTCGTTGGAGCAATCTCTCCTTGCAGACGCCATTGTAGGCTCCCTCAACGTCGAAGCTGATAAGGCTGACAATTCGCCGGCCTTGCCAGGCCCTATAGATCTCTTCTTATAAGACTAGGAGTGCCTGCTCTGCCGATCGTTGTTTGCGGGCTCCAAAGTGATTCGTCGGAAGCAGCCCATATGTTTCCACTGCATGCGAGATACATTCTGCGACCACCGATTCCAATACTTTGCCAAGAGTAGCTAGAAGTGAAATCGGTCGCCAAGCCTTTGCAATTGTATAGTCCTCTTTACTGGGCTTTTTCAGCAGTATGATCTTTGCATGCCTCCATTGATCGGGTAATGTTCCCTCGTCTAAGGATGCCCGGAAGATGGCCATCACCCAACGCTTCACCACTGGCCATACCTGTTTCCAAACAATTGCAGGTAGCCCATCTCCTCCAGGAGCCTTCTACGTTTTCGCCGCAAAAAGTTGTCGTTCTACCTCCTCTATCGTGATATATTGTATTGTATTTTATGTCGGCCGGGGGGACACCCCAGAGGGCCTTTGCGCTAAGCTGTTTACGTTTCGTACAGTGCTTACATTATCACCCAAAGCCCCACAATTTCACTTTTAATGACTGGTCCAATCTGATGTACACGCTGTCGTGACAGGCCTGCTTGATGGCCAATTTCTCCAAGTGTTCAGCATCCTATCCTCAGCAGCTGAAGCACGGTCTGTCAAAATGAGACTGTATGATGTTAGTGGGATTTGATCTGAATAGTTAGTGTGCCTGAGGCTTCTGGTCCATGTCAAGCCTCCCTGTTGCAATGGCGAATTTGATTGTTGCCCGTACCGCCTGCATGTTTGGCGCCCATTTGTTCCCGTCAGATGCTGCCTTTCCTCCCAAGAAGAACGAGAGGTTTCCCATTTTTGTCTGTGAGCATCGCAGCATGCCTTCTCGTTGCGCGGTCCATTTTGTGCAGCGGAATAGGAAGTGTTCCACTGTCTCTGATGCTTGCCCGCATTCGCAAGTGTCCGATTCCATTGCTCCTATCTTGCACAGAAAGCTGTTAAGTCTCGCCATTCCGGTGCGGAGCTGCGACAGTACGTCTGCTTCCTTCCTCTTCAGCGGGTCATATAGAGTACGGGTATGCTTGCCTGGCAGTGCCGTGTCTATCTGCTTCGAGTATTTCCCGACTCTTTCTGGTAGTGTTCTTGTTTGCCGCTGCTTGGTTATCGCTATTCTTATCCTTGTGGACCTTGCTAGATGTTGTGGCACATCTGGTCTGCATTCTCCTTCTGTGGCCTTCCGGGCTGCTGCTTTGGCTTTTGGTCCCAGCGCGAAATCCTCTTCTCCTGTTGGAACCCACATCATCCGGAGAGAGTGGCCCTCGTCTTCAAGACGCATGATATGGTCGTAGATTTGCCGTATGATCTGTTGGCCAGATTGTTGTCGTGGCCGCCGTATGGCTTCTAGTGCGGAGCGGCTGCTCGTCATGACGGTCATATCCCGCCGGCAGAGTCCAGACGGCATACATCTCAATACCATCTCTATAGCGCGTAGCTCGGCGATGTATAGGTTCAGCTCTTCCCTCGACCCGAGAGTGATGAAGTAGCTGGCCACCACCTCGTCACCATTGTTGATCGCCGTATCTTGTACGACACCTCCCATGCCTACCATGCCCCCTCTCTGCGAGGAGCAGGTGGCAATGACTCTGCCATCTAACCCCTTTGCTGCTTCTACCGCTTTCTCCCGGTTAGGGTTGCACGACATTAGTGTACGGCCTCCCTGACCTACCCAATTCCCAGCCCACACTGGCCTATATCAGACGACAAGCCCGAGCCTGGATGGGCTCGGCTTTCCAGGCCTGGTGGCAAGACAAGCAGCCAGCCAGCTATCAACCTCTTGGGCTTGAAGCTAAGCCCAAATGCCCAGACGAGCTCTCAGTCCCACGGAAGCTCCTACGCCATCTACTAGCAGCTAGATCACAACATGGAGACTTTGCGGCCTATCACGAAAGGTTCAACCACACTGACTCTACCGACGACTGCTCCTGTGGCAGAAGAAAGTCACCCACGCACATCTTCTATTGCCGGAAGATATCGCCTAACAAGAGAAGACGGCTGCCTCCAAATACCCCTGAAGCTATCAGACAGGCTATTGGCAGCGGCTTTGGAGAATTCATACAGCTGGTTGAAGATACCGACTTCTTCAATCAAGTCTGCCCGACTCAAAGATCACCCACCTGGGCCCCCCACCAACCTAGCCTGACCAACTAGGCAGAATACGCTGCCCCCCCCTTCTCCTATGTCCCTTTCCTCCCTTTCCATTTCTCTCTTATCTATAGTTTTATTGCAACCAGGCCTAGGCCTAGCTGCTAGCTAGGACTGACCTTTAGTACACTAACCGAACAGCTGGCTGAAGAGAGATGCTTGCCCTACAAGGCCGAGTCAGCAGCTTGCAACTCGACACTCCCAAGGTCCGGCTGCCGCAAGCAGACCTAATCGCAAGATCAGAAGATGATAAGATTAAGAGACCCTGACCTGCAGTTAGCTTGATTACACACTTTGGCAGATGGCGTCACTTTTATAGTCACAGAAGGAAGATCTCAACCCAGCTTATGACCCCAGCACTTTCCCTATACACACACAGCTCTTCTAGCTGCTGATAACGCACTATACACTCCTTATGTACAGCCCCTAGCCCCCGCGGACGGGGGCCGGGCCCGAACCGCAATAGGCCCTAGAGCCGCAGAATTGCTAGATAGCTGCACAGTGGTGGAGGACGCCAAGGACTCTGAGGCAACCATAAATCATGTATGTAACTAGCCTAGCACGTCCTTTTGCCCCAGATGGGGATCGTGTGGGTCTTTGACCTTCAGGACGGAAATGAATGAATGAATCAATCAATCAATCAATCAATCAACGAGACACGACCGTTACATCGCGCGACGCAACCGTTGGAATATGGATGAGACTGGGATCTTCCAAGGGGTTGGGACCAATGGGCCTGTAGTTGGCCAATCACAGCGGAAGTCAACGATTAAGAAACACCCGGGATCTCATTGGACTACTATTATTGACGAGATTTCCGCAACCGGAAAGTGCCTTGATCCATTGGTTATCTTTAAAGGTAAAGAGACCCAACAGCAGTGGTTTCCAGAAGAGATGGACTTTCTAACCAATTGGGTATTTGCAGCTTCCTCAAAGGGCTGGACCTCTGATGAGATTGGTCTTGAATCGCTTAAAGGGATCTTTATTCCAGCCACAAAGCCAGAAAGATCCAATGAGAAGCGGCTTCTTATCCTTGATGGCCATGGATCACATGCAACGCCCGATTTTATGCGTCTCTGTGTGGATAATAGAATCCAATTGGTCTATTTACCACCACACACAAGCCACGTTCTTCAACCTCTTGATATATCAGTCTTTGGGCCACTTAATGCTGCATACTGAGCTGGCTTTTCCTGCCAATCCATTCGCGCTGAGCCGTTGACGTATCGATCGGATGAGTTGGAGGTCCCGATCCCGTCGAAGCCCTTGTCTCTGCTGGCGATCATACGCGATGCGTCCTTGGAGAAGTTGCAGGCCGAGTAGATCGTGATGCCGTTGATGCGAGCCGCCGGGGTCCCCAAGGTCCCCGTGACCAGTAGGCGGTTTGAGATCTCCTTGCCAGCAAAGAGCTCGACGAGTGCCTCGATGACCCGCGACTTCCCTGTCCCGCCTTCGCCGTCGATGAACTGGCACAGCTGGGGAGCAGGTTGGCCGTGCGTACTCTCGCCACTGTGTACGAGGTCGAGCTGCCGGCAGACGAGTAAGAAGGCGACCGACTGCTTTCTGTTGAGCGTGAAGCGCTTCGCCAGCTGCCTCCCCGCCGCTAGGAAGGATGTCGATGGTCCGAACCGGACGCTAACCGTTGGGCCGTTGTCTAGCATGCTCTCCTCGGTATCGGTAGCGGTCAGCTGGACGTCTTGCTCCCCGAACCCGCTCAGTACGGCGTCCACGGCTGCGTTGCGGCCGGCCGTGTTTCTGTCGGTCAGACCCTGGATGCCCTGGATCATCCTCTCCGTCTCTCTCGAAGCGCTTTTCTGCTGCGATTTGATAAATTTCAGCAGCCTCTGTGCTGGAATTTCGGATCCGGTGAACTGACCTCCCGGCAGGGTCACTGTTCTTGCTCCCCGCTCGGATGCTATCCGGGCACTCAGCTCAGACGTCGAACCCAGAGCGGCGTACCGGAATCGGCAGAGCTGCTGTGTCATCACCGAGAGCTCCTTCGAGCCGGCCGTGATCTGGTTTGCTCCACCGGCGCTCCTCAAGACGTCGATCAGTCGCGTGGCGTCCCCGATGTTGTTCCAAGTACCGCTGCGTTTAGCGTGATAAAGCGCAACGCAACAGGGAGGTTGACTGCAGGGAGCGGGTGGAGTCGTAGGCAGGCAGGTACCTAAACCTTTGTCGCACTAGGCTGGGAGGAAGCGTACGATCCTCACGCTAATAGTCCTCATTTTCTGGGAGATTACTGAGGGAGCTTGTTCTTCGGTGGCGTACGGAGTTTGCCGTACACGAGAAAGCACATGAACTTTGTTGAGCATGTCTGATCGCCGTGCCGTCGCCTGTGATCCTCGTCCATGCAATTCGCGCGGGAACTTACTATCACAAAGAGTTTTCAGACCTATACAGGCGAACTTGCTATGTCTGGCGAGGTCAGCTTCCACGAACACCATTCCGAAAGACATATTCCACGGAGGCGCCCGCATGCCTTCGGCCAGCCCGAATGCACTCACAGAAATGAACGACGAATGCACCAGGGTAGAGTAAATTGGAGATCATTCACTAATGGATTCGCGAAGTCACAAATCGTCAGAATCTCGCGGGCACCTTTCGGCATAGCACGCGCTGGCCTGGCAACTTAAAGACTTGAGACGGGCCGCGACGCAAGATAATTCCGTGGGTGAGTCGATTGTCGTGGAAGAAGCAGGCATGTGGTTAAGGTTTGAATAGCTGCCGTTGAGGCTGAGACCAAAAATTATGATTGGATATTGCCCACCAAAGCTGACCAGTAGCCAGGCACTGGTTGAAACGGTCTGCAAGTGCTGCCGCTGAAGGACATGTGTCTGACGGGCCGGGTGCATGCACGAATTCGTCAGCAACCCATCTGCATTGCAACGGCACCTTCCGAACCAACCACAGCAATCAGTTGAACGTTGAGATTTGGTTCAGCATCTTTGGTGAACTACGGTGGGCAAGCTTGACGTTTGGGAAACTTGCCTGACAATTAGCGGCGACTGCTGCCGCGTTGGCTTTTCCTATACCCGGCATATGCGTGAGCACAACGTTGTAGCGGCCGATGTCTAACCAATACATGCATAGATAAGTCAGCGGAATTTACCGAGCAGCCTAGGGATCCAAATAGTTGCGTTGTTTCGTATCGCAAGCCACAGTGACAAATTTTCGAATCAACCTTTTTTTCCTTCAAAATCAAGTCAAAAGATATATTCTGAATATAGATAGTTCCCAGAGTCTTATGCTCTCACAAGGCGTTATTCAGCCAGCTGAGCCACACATAGCATTAGACTCTCATACCCTCATTAGCATAGCTGCCATGCATGTGATAAAACCCGGCACTTGGGAATCCCTGTTCAAAAGCTCTTCGGAATCAGTAAAAGATAAATTTAGCAGTCTCGAATGTTATTTGCTATCAACTTAGCGGTTGTGTGCCCTGGTTTTAGCGCGGCGGTTCCTGGGCTAATCCCTTGGTGTGCTTCGACCCTCCGTGCTTGGCAAAGCGACCGGCACTGCTATACACGAGGGGACTCTGTGGCGTCGAGTTGAGGATGTCCATGGAAGATAATTTTAGAAGTCTGGGCTTTCTGCCACGCCCTGGCCTTGGTGGCGGTTCCTAAGCTAATCACATCCACGCGGTGGCGTGCGCGTGGACATCAAGAGTTCGCGGGGTGCATCGACCTGTACACACAACAGAGCACATGTAGCGCACTGACCCAAGGGCGGGCGAGTTCCAGCTGGCCTCACACAGGCGGTCATAGCCACGGGCATCTCGGCATACTTGTGCGTGTGATAGGGCTAATGAGTGGCTGCAGAACGGATAAGAATTCGACGTGTTGAACGATCAGACAGCACCGTGGGATGTCAACTCCCTGCTACGCGTCTGGAAACCCCCATAGGGCTGTCCACGCTTGGCCTTAAAAGGGAGAAAGCGTACAGATTAGAACTAGTCGCGGACCGCTTTGACCTGTCAAGAGGCAGGATGTCGGCGTAGGCCACAGGATCAAAGCTCACGCTATACTCCAGAGAGCTGGTGGCTCAGCTAGTGCGACGTTGGGAAACAATTCAAAAGTTACGACAGCATGACGACATAATTTATCGGTCGATCAGCGCTGGTATACCGATGCTCTTTTTCGTGATCAAGCTCAAGCGCCATAGCTTGCCAAGCAGCTGTTGGATAGAGTGACCTTGGTGAGAAATATTGACTGCTATTTGTATATCTCGGACGAGTACCAGTATCTCCGCGGAGAGCTGTTTTCCCTATCGACCTACGACCATTTTCCCTTTGTCCTGCATGACCCTCCCCGTGAGAGTATGAGTTGCTGCACTGCAACTTGTGGCTGAATAGCTCACCATCGGAGCAAAGACCAAGAGATTCTCTCCGCAATAGAGACCATGTCCCTGGTAACATGTGGGAAAAGTCTCCTTCTGCCAGGGCGATCCCGGAACCTTATCATCCATGATGGTGGCGTTATTACTAGCCATTTACGAGGCTCATGCGCCAGGGGAGCTGGAGCTGCCTCCGACAAAGATGATGGTGTGGCCGACATCCAAGCCTCGTGGGATGAGAAGCCGTGGAGCCTCTTCATCGAAAAGAGGCAGGATCATTTGCACCGTGAGAGCCCAGGCGCCCCTGGTGACCATCGCCCCGACTGGGTTAGTAGATTTGCTAAGTGCTAGTGACTCTTCACTGCATGTCGGTGGTGTTCAAGTTCTCAGACCTCTTGGACCCCCGTGGTCAACCAGATATTTAAAAGCCCTCATCTCCATTTCTGCTTCCAGGCCACATAATCTGACCAACTTCATTCCTTACCTCTTCCCTTTCAGAGAAACCTCCTTAACTCTTTAATTCCCACTTCTCACATTTCTTCGCTCGCAAATATGGCGGAGTCAGACTCGACAGAGGCCAATGCCAAGCCTCAGGCGAACCTCAACGTCCTCGGCGTCTTTTGGATCGTGTTTGCCCTCTCCTGGACCATGATCGTCGCAGGCGGCATGCTCTTTCTGTGGCGTCGTCGCGACATGCCCATATTGAGGATTCGAGGCCTACCGCTATCTTTCCTCGCTATCACATTGCTCCATCTCTACTGGGGCGCCGTCCAGACCGGGTATGTCTGGTTCCCTCTCGCTGCACCCGAGGTCGAGTACTGGATCATGAGCATCTACCTTCCCTGCGGTATAGCTCTATTCCACGCCTCCAACAGCCGATTTCTCTATGTCGCCAAGGCCCAGAAGGAACTCTTCGCTTCAGACTCTGCCTCGATCAAGACCAAGCCTGCCAAGTCCAAGTTCTTGTTCTGCCGCTTTCGATCTCTCAACTACACCAGAAAGATTCTCGTGCTTGTGGGAGCGGGCATGATCTTTCAGGTAATGCAGCTTGCAAAGTGATGTTGACATTTCAATTGCTGACGCGAAAGCCAGCTCTTGCTTACAATCTTCATGTACCTTATTTCGAGAAAGTTCCATCCTCTCTTTGGCATCCCGGGCACCGAGGTTACAGGAACGGAAGACGTTCAGAAGTCTAAAATGCGCAGAGGCTGGGAATGGTAGTGCCGACTATTTCCTGGAGCAACCCAGTACTAACACATCTTTCTAGGTGGCCATCTGTCTTTTGGCAGTTCTTCTGGGCATGGATAGTCGCTCCCTACATTCTCTGGCAAGCTCGTGGAATCAATGATACCCAGGGATGGAGGACCCAAACTATTGCTTGCTGCCTTTCGAGGTTAGTATCTCCTAACATGAAATGGTCGATTCTATGCTGACAGCTTAAGCAGTCTTCATGCTACCCCTCTGTGGCTTATTGCCTTATATGTCCCTCCTATGTCTGCCGTCGATAACTTCTGGATTCCTCCTCAATGGTAAGCTATCCCAATATCTATGTGATTAACGGGGGAGATACCAAGCTCACTCTATTCAAGGATTGCCCTCTCGATCATGATGCTCGAGATCTTCACCATCTTCCTTCCCTGTTGGGAGGTCTTCAGATACCTGGCTCTGCGCCGAGAGGCCCTCGAGTCAATCGCTCAATGGCAACTCAATAGGAATGTCGGTAAGGCCTCAAGGTCAATTACCACAGCCTCCACATCGGCGGCTGGCTCATTTTTGACCGCGTGGTCGAAGGATGGCTCCACTACGAGCGGCTCCACCGCGAGCGGCTCCACCACGAGCGGCTCTGGCGTGAGTATCCTCACCATGGAGGCTCTCGAGTATATCCTTGAGCGCAACCCTGGGCCTCTTCAGCAATTCTCTGCCCTCAGGGATTTCTCTGGAGAGAACATCGCCTTCCTAAGAGCCGTTGCTGAGTGGAAGTCTTCGCTTCCTCCGGCAGTTCTCGACCCAAAGAAACTTAAGGATAACGACGACGTCCAGGAACTTGTCCGCGAACGATTCAACAGCGCTCTCCGAATCTACATCGACTTCATCAGCTCTCGGGATGCCAAATTCCAAATCAATCTTTCCTCTCAAGACCTCAAGAGGCTTGAGTGTATTTTCGAGTCGTCCGCCCGCGTTCTCTATGGCGACAAGCACGAGGTTAATCCGGCTACGCCCTTTGACTCCTTTCCTATGACTAGTGTCAGGCGGCCTTCTGCGTCATCTCACGGTTCTGAGACTGGTATCATAACCGGGTCGATTAATGACACGGAAGTCATCAGAGACAAGACCCTATACTGGGGTGATATCCCCGACGGCTTTGATGTCACTGTCTTCCATGACGCTGAAGCAAGCATCAAATACCTTGTCTTTACTAACACTTGGCCGAAGTTTGTTAAAGATCAACAATATCATCGTTCGTAATGAATTTGGAGAATAGAGGATCAAAGCTTTCTGTCCCTCTTAGGGATGAAAACAAGTCGGTTTCTTGAACATAGGATCAATTGGGCCTTGTGGCAGTCTTTTCACAGCGAGCAAGGGAATTAAGGATATCATTAGATTGAAGCCTAGTGTATTTAGTTTGTAGCAAGGCTTGTTCGCTCCATGATATATTATACGGCTGCTACGACCACACTTCCTCGACGTATTTGTGCTTCAAGCTGTCGCACCCTGCTATTATTCGCATCGCCCGGGGCTTTTAAATAGGTAATTGAGACGGTTGATATAGTGAAGCGAATTCAATAGCAGAAATAAGAAGTTGCATGTGTAGTGATTACCTTTTTGGGTGATGTAATTAAAAAAAACGAAGACAGGCCTGGACGCCTTGGATCAAGACCACCGGGTTTCGGAACCACCTCTACTGCTTTAAATAAGCATTAACAGATGCCAGTGTTCCCATTAAACGCGCTTAACTTTTATTACAAAGTTATTACTTTCCAGTTACAAAGCATATCTAAGATGTCCCAGTTCCAGAGTGCTTGGGCGAGCTGCTGTAGCTCGGTGTCGGTGATGGTCTCGAGCGGGTAAGGAGATACCAGAGAGCCAATCGTACTGGGAGCCCGGGAGAGACGGATAACTTGATTCTCCAACGAGAGGGCACCTGGTGTGGGCATGTCGACGCATTTATTGTAGTTGGAGGTCAGCACAGCCTGGTTGGCTCGGCGTGAGTCTGGGATACTCCCACAGCCTCCTCTGACAAGGGACCGATGGAATTGTGGCTTGTTGGGACCCAACAAAACATCTCGCAAGGCACATCGGGGGCAGCTGCTGAGCCCGGCTGAAAAGCCCGCACTGTTACTCTTTCTCGCCCATGAGGCCTCCCCTCACTGCTCACACTCTTTTTTTCAACGCCTTTTCGTGCGTCTAGATGATAATGCCATGAGTGTCGCAATGACTGTTACCCCCGCGCCCGCCCAACCGCCGTTACGACCGAAGCCGCGCCGTCTCTTGAAGGCCCAAACGACCGACAGACGAGATTCAGGATACGTCACCCAGTCCCCGTCGCCCGACGGCAAGTCACTCGAGACTACACAGAATACCTGCCTCGGCGCCACCGTCGATGGCAAGGCCCGACCCGTTCCGTCAGCCCTCACGCGTCTCGCTGACCTCGCCGAATTTGACAAGAGTGTTGGCGACGCCACGCGCTCCCACTTCAACCACATGCACTCGCGGCTTGAAGAGCCGCTGCTGGCGTATATTCGCAACAAAATTCCAGGCAAGAAATACCGCCCGATTGCCTTAAGACTGATGGTCCTGGGACGCTCCGAAGATGATGCGAAGCCGTGCATTGTCGTCCTGTGTCCAGAGCAGCAGTCGAAGAGGGTCAGGAAGTTTTTTGACAAGGATTCCGTCAGGACCTTGTGTCGGCCTGAAGACGGTACTCTACCCTCGTTCGAAGTCTTCGTCCTCGGTCGGCCGCTGGAGACGAAGCAGGCAGACGAAGACATCAACGTCCTCATTCCCATCATTGGGGAGAGCGAGGGTTATACAACCGAGACGTACTGCGGAGCCCCTATCGTCATCCGGCAGCCTTCCGGCGTCGAAAAAAGGGGCACCTTCGGCGGCGTCGTAAAGACTGTTTGGTCGAATGGAGATGTCAAATTATACGGGCTAACCGTTGGCCATCTCCTCCTGGGCGACTTGGAAGATGACCTGACGCTTGGCACGGAGAGCGACGGGGCCGAGCGCTCGGACGACTGGGGATTCGAGCTTTCAGACTCTGAAAGTGAGGCCGAGTCCGATGATTCGGCTGAAGAAGAGCCGGATGATGAGACTCAACCATTGCGTGTGATGGATGAACTCCAGTTGCCTTCGGCAGACGCAAGTGCATCCTGGACGGTCCTCGAGTTGGGCAAGATAGGTTCCATTTCGAAGGACTCACCGCAAAATCAATCGGCAACGACCGGCGCAAACGGTGAGCCAAAGGCTTACTACGACTGGGCTCTTATCGATATGGTCAGCTACAAGCCGAACCGCATTCGACCGAGGAACTTGCCACACGGCGAGGTTCAGAAGGACGGAGCCTTCAAGTCCGGGGATCTCGTGATACCCGCCTCGCCGTCTAGCAGTAGACAGTCAGTCGTCCTTGTAAGCGGATCAGCAGGGCTGAAGCGAGGATCTCTGTCGGCTCTGCCTTCGAGACTCCTTCTAGGCCCTGGAAGAGAGTTTGTTGACGCACTGGTCCTAAACCTTGATAGCGATAAGCGTATGTAGTGGCTTTCCTTTCTCACTTACTCTACTTTTGGAGTCGATCAACTAATATGTGAGCAGAAATTCTCGATGGCGACTCAGGGTCATGGGTGGTCAACGAGAGAACCCTTGAGGTTTATGGCTACATCGTTGCTGCCGATGCCTTTGGTGGAGGCTACATTATTCCACTCGTTGAAGCATTCCGGAATATCAAAAACACCCTGGGATGTCAATCTGTCGATCTGGCTACCACAATCGATATGGCGAGTGCCAAACTTGAGCGTATGCCCGACATGAATGGCGAACCAGCAGCCACGATGGCCCCCATCCTTGCGGAGCATTCTGTGCTGCGTGGTCCACCCATCGTCTTCCCAGAAGCATTTTCAGTCTCGCCTTTCGCGTCGCTGATGTCGGGTCGCGCCAGTCCCTTCTCCCCCACGACCTCTGCCACTGCGACAAAGAATGCAATGGCGGCCTCGACCTTCGGAACCTTCCAGTCAATGGACAAGATCTCTCCTCCCATGAACGCTATGTCAGGGGGCGGCAACGATCTCAACCGCGCCATTGCTCAAGAGTTTCGAGAACTCAAGGATGATCACTTTGAGAACTCATGTGAATGGTGTCCGTTCTACCTTCATGAGCCCATTAAATACTATCCTACGCCATGGACTTCATGTACCAAGCAGCGAGCAGAGATATCGCACATCATCACCCACACAGTCAGTGACCACGGCCTGATTCGAGGTAACAACTCGAAGCGAAGAAATCAGCGATACATTACCGGGTGCAGTAGTCACAAGGCTGAAAAGAAAGGGAAATCGGATTGTGTCAACTGCTCCCAGGTCGAAGAATGGACGGAGGGGGAACTCAACGACGAGACACACGCCGGACCCTCCCTCTACCTCCGCTGCTACACTCAGCTACCAACGAAGAAGGATCTCTTTTTCCACCTCCAGTCACCGAGCATATGTCTATACCAAGAAGACCTTCCGATGCGGGGAAAGTCAAGAATTCTGTATAGCGTGTTCTGTTCATTGTCCGAAGTTCCCAAGTTCCGTCCTCCACCCGAGACATCTGCGCCATCCCGCGGCGCGAGATCTCGGACACAGAGCGTTTCTAGCGATAGGCCTTCAACAATGGCCCACAGCCCGATGTCGGGCCCTTTAACAGTGTCGCCTGAGGCGGCCTTCGTTGCCGCCTCTGCTGCTTCCCAAATCGTCACGAACGACCACGACACCCACGCCGAGACCTGGTACGACCAGCATGGCATTGAGCCCGCTAGAGAAACTGCCCTAGTGTCTTCAGAAGCCCTAAAACTTGTCAACGACTTCCTCGACCAACTTCTCTTCAACTTCCTCTCCGTTGCCCGAGCCACCACCCTCTCCGCCTTGCGACCAGCTGTTGCCGAAGTTCTGAAGCGAAAACTTGCCAAGGATGCCGTCAATAATTCCGACGAGGAACTGCGCGAATACCTTGGAGAGGGTTATGAGGAGGACTATTTTCAACCCCAAGGCGCTGATCCATCTCGAGATTGGGATCTTGAGCTGGTTTGGAAGCGCACAAGACTACGATGCATGGTCTATTCCTCGCTGGGAGACATGGAGGAGGAAGACGAAGATCTGTATATGGAACAAGAGAACCTCGAGGTTGGCGCCGACGAGCAGATTTCAGCTGTTATTTCCCCTGCAGTGGCCATCTTTTTGACATCTGTTTTGGAATACATGGGCGAGCTCACCCTTACTGTCGCCGGACAGGCTGCATACCACAGGCTGCGAACCAAGTTCCAGAAGGAGATTAACGAAGGCGCCAAGAGCCCCACAGACATTGCTGATCGAATCGTCGTCGAAGACCAGGACATGGAGAGAGTTGCTCTCGATAGAACTCTTGGACGACTATGGAGAGGCTGGAAGAAGAGAATTCGCTCCCCAACTTTCGACATGAGTGGTCGGCCCTACTCAAGGTCATCCATGGGTCATCTGAGGCACGATAGCAACGTTACCGAGATGAGCCGAGTTCCCTCACACGGTGACGGAGACAACGATGCCAAGAAGGATGGGAAAGAAACTGATGATACGGAGCGTGCCCCCGCAGGGATCGCTTTGCCAATGGGCGACAATGACGTTTATGAGATCGAAGTTCCTGGCCTCGCAGCATACAGCGATGACGAGGATGAAGATGAAGAGGAAGAGGACACTTTCAACGGACGCCGACCAAAGAGCTTGTTGATTCTTCCATTCGAGGGTCCTTCTGGCCTCCCAACCCCTGTCATGTCCCAGCCAAACACGCCCGACTTCGCCGGCCGGAAGAGATCCAACTCCCTTCCTACCTCTGGGACCTCGCCATATCGCCCAGTCACAAAACGATCCAAAGAGGCAGCATTGGTGGAGGCCCGTGTAGCCAACGAAGAACAAGACACGAAGGAAGTTGCAAAGGAGGAACAGGCAGTCGACGAGACAAAGCCTGCTGAGGAAACAAAGCCTGTAGATGAGCCGTCATCGAAAGGTTCGACCTCAAAGCGACTGTCGAAGGTTGTCACAAACCCGTCGGCCGCTGCAGCCTTCCGCAATCGATCCCGGCGAGGAACCGGCGAAGAGGAAGAGGGAAAAGTGGCCTATGAGAAGGCCGAAATTCTTACCTCATCCAGAATATCAGTTTCTGGCAGCGCATCACCTGCGTTCTCTGATTCTAGAGGCCCGTTCTCCTTGAAGAGATCCAATAGCGTTCATTCCGCCCGCATCGTTGATGTCACAGGGCCTAAGAGTCCCAGCGGATCTCGCTCACCGTCCGTGGATACCACTGATCGAGTTCGCCCCGCGAGCGTCAACCTTTCTGCTCAAAGCAGCGTCTACTCCACCAAGTCCACTCTCCCGACATCCCACACCCACAGCATCGGAATGGTTTCAATCGAACGGTCTAAGACGAGAGACGATGTCGATGACGCTGGAGTGAGCTCATTCGCTCCTCGGCCTATCCATACCTCCGGATCGTCTGCTTCGTCAGGAACGTCCCGCTTGAAGGCGGTTCGGACTTCGGAGGAGAACGCCTCACGCTCTGAGAATGTTGCCCGCAACTTTAAGGAGCTGATACAGAGCAACCAAACTATTACTTACACGCTTACACCCGAGAATATACGTGATATTGACGTGAGCGAAGCTAAAACCCACCCTTTTTGTTATGTACTAATCAATCAATATAGCATAAACGATCTCTGGGTCAGACTCCCGTTGTTACGAAAGGTTCTTGGAAGACCGATGACGCTCGGAGCCACAACCGGTCTCGATCCTCATCAGCCGCTACTGAAGTCAAGACGCACCACCGTGCAACCGGTCTGGGCGACGACAAACCTAAGGTTGGCGTTCAATCTCCGACCATGGCCTCTGTGAAGCCCGCTCGCGGCCCTTTAGCTGCCCGAGAGGCGCGAGTTCCCAGTGAACCCACCGCAGATTTTGCCGAGTTCATCAAGTCGACTGGGCCCTCAGGAGCAGCACAAACTCGACCTGCGCCTCTACGGAGCAACCCACCTGAGACCACGCCTTCCGCGACCAACCCAGCCGTTGAAGCTCGCCGCGTGTCTTCCACTAGCAATCGGAATCGCTACATGCCTCGAGCAATGACTGAGGGTAGGTCAGGCAACTCGGATTTGATTGATTTCATCCGGCAAGGTCCTCCTGGTGCCTCCAACAACCGTATCCAGCGCACTGTTGCTCCCTTCCGAGACACCCTCGACTCGGATGAAATGCCGGGTGCTGTTGGCGGGAAAGCTGTGGATGCTACCATCCCAGACATCCGATATAGCCAAGCTTCCACGCATGCAACCGATACGTCAATGCCCTCGATTCACTCCTCAGTCAACTCCCATATTGCTCTTCTGAAGCACAAGGGTGGGTCTGCGCCCGCCAGCAGGATGTTTGACGACGAGGACATGATGCCCAAGGGCAAGACTAGGCGTGTGAAAGATCCTTACGCAATCGACTTCAGTGATGAAGACGACGACGATGACTTCATTACGACTCCCAAGCCCCCAGTTAAGAAGGAGGAGAGCCTAGCGGAATTCTTGAGAAACTACGAACCGCCACCAGAGCCTGTCAGTCAGCCGATCGCGCACAAGATGCCCAAGAAGAAGGCGAGCGCACCCAGCCTTATCGGCAGGTTCATACGCAGTAGCAGCAACGCCAACCCTGGCAGCGTGCCCCAATCACCCGTCGTGGACTCGCGATCCCTCAGCAGCAGAAGCGGGGGCAAGGGCTACATCCCCATCCAGGTCAATATCCCCCCTGGCTACGACAAGTATGGGCCTATTGACAAGCCTGCCGCTCGGCCTCCGATGCCTCCATCAGGTGGCTCCATGGGTCGTGTCCGATGAAGAGGTTCGAGCCCAGAGAAGCTGTGTCAAATGTTAGCCGTACCTCGGACCTGGCAGCCTTCCTTCGTAACTCGGAGCCGCCGCCAGAGCCCGTTGCGCCGCCCCCCCCGACAGGAGGAGGGGACAGCTTGTTGAAGAAGTTCGGCAGGCGAAAGAAGCCTTCAATGGCTTAAAGATTCCATGTTTACGACCCGATCTACCCCTCACGGATGTTCCGCTGCCGCTTCGACGATGATCTACTCCGCTTACGAGCTCATGTACCTAATACTTAGTGCATGTCGATGAGGGAGGCCTTCCACTCTACCTTTTTTTTTTTCAATCTCTGTCATGCGTCGGCGTTTTTATCGACATTTATATCTCAACTTTGAGAACTTACCTTGACCCAATCTTCTTAGAACCCCCCTTTACCTACCACAAGCATCAACTCAAAGTCTCATTTTCGACGTCAGCATGGACATGAAAGTCCTTACTCACAGCCCCAGCGTGCTGACCAGTCCTGATCGTCTCCATAAGATTTACCGACTGCAAGAGAAGAACATTTCCACGTACTTGCCGCTCCCCCAGTTCGTCGCCGTCGGTGATCGGAGCTCCGGAAAATCATCTCCGGTTGACGACATTGAGCGACAATTGCAAGGTATTGAATTCGCTAAGCCGGCGGCCGTGGACACATCCTCTCGACCTCAACTACCGGCTCAAAAGAGACTGGTGGAAGCACTTACCGCTCCCCTTAGCGACACGCTCGAAGGCCAGTTTCGGCGGAGAGACAACACTATCAACGCGGTCAGTGCGTATTGCGTCGTCGAAGAAGGGCAAACCGTCCGCCGCACAAACACATCGTCAGCTTACCCCAGCGAGCGTGCTGTCATTGGCGAGCCTCCAGCCGAGAGCCTCTGCATATGACGCTGATGTCAGTCTTCGTCAAGACAAAGCAGGAGAGACCGAGAAGGTGCTTCATATGTGTCGGCAAGGCACTCACCTTAGCGGGTGATGATGGAGCTGTCCAGGATCTCATCCACGAGTTCTACACTTCTGGTGACGTGACTAAGCACCTTCAACGCAAACACTTGTCGAATCTGCGGGACGGCGACAAGATCCAGTGCCATATTTGCGACATGTCACTTGACCACAAAATGCACCTCAAGAACCATGCTCTGTGAGTGCACGGAACCGTGCCTTAGGCTGCACTTTCTAGTCTTCTGTTTCAACACGCTACATTGAGTAGAGTAGATTGCAATATAGAGAATCGTTTTCAGGCATAGCGTCCTGCCGGCCAGGCCACGTCGCGTATCCTCTTCGGGAGCCTTTAGTAGTTTATCTCATTGCTAGCAGGGAGCCGTATCGCAGTCAATATATTTCGTTTTCTCTTAGTGCGTACGTGAAAGAAAATTCTGGTGCCTTTTCGCGCAAGCTAGGCTTAGACTCTACGTGAGTGATCGGAGGGCCACAGACTGTGCAAGGTAGATGCAGAAAACATACTATCCCACTCAGGTACATGCATGGATCCGCATCTAGCGCTCGTTGGTTGTTCTTTTCTATCATTGATGCAGAATCAATAGAAGGAGAAATCTCGGCGGTTTTGGAACTCTGAATTATCGCTATATCACTGCCCGAGGATGCCTACTGAGAATCACTATTCATCCGAGTGCTGCAGATGTCGGTGGTTGGTAGGCTTTCTCGGTTCATATGTCACATGTAGGTGCATTAGCTGCGAGGTTGGACAACGTGATAGAGGAGTTCGATCAAGGACTGCAGTCGAGCGGATGGAGAGTGAAAGAGACAGCAACAAGCCTTTTCCCTCCACGTAGACAGTAATATGTCCTGAAGTTAGGACAGATGTCGTGGATACCTAGGGCAATGTTGAACCGGGTTAGTCAACTGGAGAGGACTGTGATAGAAGAGAAACCTCTAATGTTGTTATGTTTCGTCATAGTCGATACTAAATCTAACTTGCCGTGTTTTCCTATTCAACAGAAACCGAGGGGGTTGACTTTCTTTTTGTTGGCGAACGGGGTAATAGGAGGCATTGATCGGGCATTCGGAAGCGTGCAGAGAGGCGGGATTGAAAATATTCATCCGCACCAAAGGCCGTAGGCAAGTCACGTTCGCAACCAATCTTTCGAGAGCTTGGTCGTTGCGGTGCGCTATCCAGATCATGCTAGCGCTATGCTTGAGGATTCCTTTTTTGCTGTCCGAAGGGTTCCGATAGGTAAATTGTCTGGGAAGAGATGGTGCGATTTGTGTCTTAAAGGGGCCATACAGCCACGTGACATCGCAATCTTTCAGCCTGAGATCAAATAATCATATTAATTCCGCCCAAGACGACACGAGCAAAACCCTCGCCAATCAGCAGGTACAACTCACCAATTCAAAGTTTCTGGGGAGACAGTCTTCAGCAAATACTTTGACTTAGTCCAACTTGGTGGTTCACCTGCGGCTCTCTCCTCGGCACGTTCTGTCCTGCGATGTATCGTCGCGGTAGAGCACCGGTCTATTTCCTTGGGAAGCCTGGGCTGTGGGCAATGTTGTAGTCAGGTTCCCCGTGAGGTGCGGGGATGGTGTTGGCGCTGGACTGATGGCAAGAATATCTCGAAATTTCGGCGCGAACTCTTGTACGCGATCGTCGTTGTAAATCACATTAGATACCTCGGGAATCTTGAGGATGCCAAGTACTATCTGTGCACAGATTAGCCACGTTTATGAAGGTAGAAACTGGTGGGGTTGGCGATATGGACCTCGCCAACATCCGCAGATTGGATAGCTTGGATAATTTTCTCTCTAAACCGTTCAATGTCGAAGGCCATGTTGTTTTGGAGGCGAAACGTGTTTTTGAGTCAAAAGAAGAGACGGCAGGAACCATTGAACATGGTCCTGAAGCGGGTATTTGTATTTGTATTTGTACATACCTTGTACAGGTACATAACTCTGCGCGATCAATCCACGGTCTGTCCCCAACAAGGTGGGTCACAGTTGTTACAAGCACGCGTCCACCTTTGATCTATCTGCCAATTGATCATATCGAGTTTCAGTATGTACAGCAAAGCCCAGTTGTGTCAATTTGGTGTGTATGCCGAGGTTAGTCAATGGTCACACATTGTCAGAACGGCCCAGTCTCGTCAAATGTCCGATTTAGTCAAAGCCCCAGTTTTAGTCAAACGTCCAGTTTTTAGTCAAATATCCAGTTTTAGTCAAATGTCCAGTTTTAGTCAAAGCTCCAGTTTTAGCCAAAGCCCCGGTTTTAGTCAAACATCCAGTCCACTTCTGTTCAGTCCACTTCTGTCCTTCTGTCCACTTCTGTCCTTCTGTCCACTTCTGTCCTTCTACTTCTCTCTTTCTGTACACTTCTATTCAGTCCACTTCTATCCTTCTGTCCACTTCTCTCTTTCTTTACAATTCTGTCCTCAGCTTGACTTTGGGAACGCAATCGATGCCAAGAATCCTGTGAATTAACTACAGATAGACGAGATCCAAGCTAAAATAGCCAGCATTATGCTACAGTCGAGCCAGCCACAGCAGCAACAATTCTCCCCCCCGCATATTCTAAGACCGTTCAACCCCAGTCGATCCCCCGTTGGCAGCCCAGACTGCGCATAATTATGATGAGCGTCTGCAAATTGTGTTGTAATGCCAATGCCGTAAACTGCCTCTTGCTAAGAGTATTAAGAGTAAGGTTAAGCGATGAATCGAGTTGGCGTCCGCAGTGAGACTTCAAGGTCTCCTGTAGTTTGTCTGAGGCATGGCATTTTCCAGATGCAGTTTGCATATACCACTGGTCAAGAGTCTCATTCATCGATAACAGGATCTTGGGGTCGGGATTGCTTGCGCGCTGGCCAGCATCATCGCGATGTTGTAAGTTGTAACCAATGGAAGCCCGGATAAGATTCGTTTGCCATTGAGCGGCTGAACCGTCAGGTATTTGGCCAGGGAAAGTTCTATATCTTCAATAGGTTTGAAAATAAAATCCCGCTCACCCATCCATTGCGTTGTCCAAACTCAGCGAACCACGCTAGTGACGAAACAGTCCGAGTCGAGAGAATCTGAATCGCGTTTGATGAGTCGGATTCTGGGGACAAACGGGAGTTAAAGTCCATTAGCACGGGTTGACCGATATGTTGGAGAGCAATCCCCCTTTTTTGGAGCCTGTAAATGCAAATGAGACCGGAAGTTTCTAGCGTCCTGCCTAAGGGTCCCGCAATGCAGCTAGGGTCGGGGAGTCGTTCCATCCTACTTTTCCTGTGTAACTAGGACTCTCCCCGCGGCGTTGGCTCGATGTAACCACTCTGTAACGAGGTTCGTGCAAACTCTCGAGTCGGGGGGATAGTTGTGCACAGAGTATACTCGAGGGGGCTATCCAGTCAATAATGCTTCTGACCAGGTTGTGCATTTCCACTCGCATGGCCCCGAATAGATGACTGACAGACATCTTCCTGGATTTTGGGCTTGTGGGCCCTGATATCAGTCCGTAGTTGGTGAAGATTCTATTTCCAAGACTGTATTCCCGCCAGTTGTGAATAGCGCTCTCCAAGTCCTACGAAGGAAGAAGCTTGGGCACCCTGAGTGATTTGACTAGACGGGAAATTAGACATGTAATGCTAATCCAGGGCCTGTCTGGAAAAGCCTGTCATGCTTCTGAACCGCTTTGCTTATCTTGGCTTAAGTTGACATGCACGGATATCTTTCCTTATGCGGCCATGTGCCAGTGGCGCTAGAATCCACTCCACTAGCATTCCCCACAATTCCCCCGCAACAGAGCGCATCTCCTACAAAGCTCATTTGCAAATGAGCCCTTTGATCTGCGTGCTTAGGGGAGACAACGGAATATGCCAAAGAACCTGCTTGTAATCATCGGGGAAAATGTGAGTGAAGCAAAATTACTTGAGACTAGCACCATAACAAATACCGGGACCTGAGAGTCATCTTATTATGACCGACCTCGGCGCATTGCTGTGAATCTTTGGCAGTCCAACTCCACATCCGGGAGGCCAATAGATTATGACTACGCACGGCAGACACGGGTAGAGCTGGCCTGCCCCGACAGACTGGGTCAGCCAAGGGCGGGATCGACAATCATCGGGAACCTGGAATTTGGGTTGGGTAGAAGCCTTTCCTGGAGCTGAGGGAGTGAACGCTCAGTCCCCAGCGGTCCTGGCGATCCTGGGGCTGAGACTCCCCCAATCCCCGCGGACCCAGCGCCTTGGGCCCAGGCTGATAGGTACCCACGCCAGTGCGGAACAGGGAAGGTGGGGAGTGAGAGGAACCTGAGGGATTGGTCGCGTCGCACAGCAGTCAGGCACTTGAGTCGAGAGGCTCAGTCTGGTGATCACCTGAAGATGTCTTACGCCGATCAGAAGACGCCGACGCTTACGCCACAAATCCGGCGGGATGGCATCACGAAATGATAAAAATTTTCGTGCTAAGGACCCAGACTTGCGGTGTATTGAGCGTTAGCTATGACATCTAGTCCGTGTTAGTGCTAGGTCTTCTTAGGTTTCTCCTAACAACGTGCTCAGTCTCAGGGGAGAAGCAGGAATCCACTACCGGGTCCATCCCGGCCTTAACAAGCGTTTAGGCTAGCGAACTCAAACACTGCGGTAGCACAATGTTCTAACTAGTTCTTTCACAAAGTACCGTTGTGCCATTATGCAGCAAAAGTGTAAGGTACCCTACAACAAGTACTTGCATAACGAGGCTCTATATACCTTACGACAAGTTCTTACTGGCATATTGCAAACTGTCGCTTCGAGACAGCTATTCTGCAGACAGACAGCCCTCAGTCGGCCATTGACTGTAGATAGGCACTACTCTAGGTCTGCAAATAGAAGTTTTCAGACACTGCGGTTGATCTACACACTAGCAAGACAGGCTACTTCAACACTGCGTGTGTCATGGGTGAGCACTCTCGAGGCTGGCGCAAAGAAGAAGTGGGAATGGACGGTCAGCCACCAACCATTCAACTCCGCGCCCCGTGAGCCGTGCCTCAGGCTGAGTGGAGACGGTGTGATGGATGCAACTCTCCAGGGGTTCTTGGGCTAACTGCCCCTGTAAGCCGCTGAATACACTACTGCATTTGGGCTTGGAAGCTGCCACAAATGGAGACATTCTGGTGACATTTTGTGGGGCTGGTTGTCAAACAGGATCAACAAGCTTAGCCTACACGCTATTGTTCCACGCCATCCATGGAAAGTGAGATCGTCACCGAGGCGTTCCATGTAGCCAGGGTAGCACTGCCGGGGAAGGGTTCCTAACGCTTTTCCAGGACCCAGAAAATCAACTGCCGCAGACACAATCCCATCCGTCATTGCCATCACTCCGTAGTCATGAGCATTGGCTGGATCTAGAAACCCGGCCATGGAAAAAATGCGGAGCCTCGCGGCCCCAGGGGACACACCTCTGCTCTTCATGGTACTGCCATTACGTTGGAACCGGGCCGTTATTGCATACCGGTAGATATTATTATCTACTTTAACTCCATCATCGGCATGAAACAAGACCAACTCTTGAACTACTCCTTTCCATCCAAAGCGCCACCGTCTCTAGAGGACTGTGACTTTCCGACTTTCCGACTTTCGATTCTGGCAATGGTAGGGTTCCTTGTCCCAGATACCTACGTGGTAGTCGCTCCCAGCCTCAATGACCTGTTGATTGCCAGCATCATCTGGGGTTTTACCCTAGCCACGGGAGTCTTTTCGGGCACCAAGGCGTTCAAACAGACGTGGGCAACATGGAGACGGTCGCGTCGCCTACACGCCTACGCGTATATGATATGGGCCGAATGGATAGTGTCCATGGTCATTGGCGTTCTGTCCTGGGTCTTCATTCGCGGATTAATCGAGCCAAGGTGAGTTTGACTGCGTGTTGATGGAGTTTCCGATGCTAACGAGGCTGTACAGCTTTTGGATATATTTTGCATTCTGTCCGTAGAGTCCGTCCTACGAAAAGGGAAAATTTGCTAACAATCGCTCTCAGTGTGCCTCTGGGTCGTACAGATCCAATGCATCTGCGGCATCATCATTAATCGAATCGCTCTCTTGATGGTCGACAAGCGCGACGCAGCCAAGATCCGATGGGTTACCGCTGTCATTCTGGGTCTGGTTAACATCAGCGTATTCGTCATCTGGATCCCTGCACGCCTGCAAATATCCCCGACATGGGTCCATGTCAACGAAATCTACGATCGAATCGAGAAGGGTCTGTTCTTGATTATCGACGCATGCCTACACCTCTACTTCATCTATCTGCTTCGAGTCAAGTTGATCGCGAATGGCCTCGAAAAATACGTCCCGTTATTCAGGTTCAACCTCATGATGGTGGCGGTATCGATGAGTCTAGATGTGAGCGAAGCCTGAATGCCGCTACGGCGATCTCGATACTAACGCAATGATGCGCAGATAATTCTCATTGGCAGCATGTCAATTGGAAATGGCTTTATGTACGTCGTTGGCGCCCTTTGGTCCGGCGGTTTATGCTTACCATCCCTTACCTAGTTACGTCCAGTTTCACCCGCTGGTGTACATGCTCAAGCTGCATATCGAGATGAACATTTCTTCCCTAATTGTCAAGGTCGTCCGCGCGACAGGCGACAACAGCTCGTACGCACGCGGCACCGAATTGCGGTCGAAACCGAACAACAGGTCCGGGGCTGCCACAACCTCGAACAACTTCTCCGGAAATCAGACGCACGTTGAAGCCGAGGCAGCGGATGAAGCGCCTCAAAGGTTTCCCCAGGGGATCACGAAAATTGTGCAGACGCGGGTCACTGTGTCACCTCGGAATCGTGACGACTTGGAAGACGACGAGGATGGCAGCTCACAGTCATCGACACGCCGGCTAAAGCATAATTCTCAAGCCTACCGAGAACAATTTGCATGATTTCGTCGCATTGGCCTTACTATTTTCTGGAGTACTAGATAGACGCTGGACACTGGAAGGGCAGCACGGCAGTTTGGTAGATTACCCAAATGCAGAGATGAGGGAATCACAGGTCGGTACGGAGGGATGCTGTGTAACGTCATTGTGAATGACATAGGAACAAGTGTATCCGTACAATGTCGAAAAAGACGCAGCTAGCGAGTCAGCATATCACTAGGAGCCATGTCTAGGCCCGTCTTGGGCCCCCGCCAAGTGATACGAGATGATCTTGTAATTAGATCCGACCGTTGAAGGGGACAAATTTCTTAACTGGGTCTAGAGGAGCCGAGGCTCAATTACCAACACACTATTGCAATTTCAATAAGGCTAGGAGAGCCGTTTTATACTAAGAAAGTCCAATGAACCCTTGCTCTCAAGGGGGCCTTCACCAACAAGGCAAAGTCGGGGAAACCCCGTAACATTCCAGGCGGGGTACGGGATCAGCTCATGCACTAATATCCTAGGTTGAAAAGGGTGCTTCGGAGGGGTAGGGGAAGTTATAAACGCCGGAGCGGGAATAAATGGCTGCTTATTGTTGGAGACTGCAGGCTTGTTTGACCTTCTCTTATCACAATTACCTGAAGCATCTTCTCACTTTCACTGAATCACAATGGGCGTCTCTACCAAACTGGCCGGGGATATTCAGGAGGTGGATGTGATCATTGCTGGCGGTCAGTCTCATCGCCTTCTATCGGCTTAAGGTCGCCTGCTCACGGCTGATTGATCTTAGGTGGCACGGCGGCATGTGTGGTGGCCGGTAGGTTAGCTGAGGCCGATCCAAACCCCAGCAATCGCCAAAACCTCATTGACGCTAAAGATGACATCTTGGGCTGGAATTCCATCGACATCTCGTCCGTCTAAGTTTCGACCAACAGAAGAAGATATGGCAGCTCTTGGCCCCGAGTTTCAAGCCGCCTGGAACCGGGACTTCAAGAACGCCCCTGACAGGCCTCCGATGCTCATGGGTGTTGTGTCATGGTAAGCTTTCCGGGAGGACTCCTAGAGTCCTAGCAAAGTTCCCCACAGCAGTAGGGCTAAGAGACGCAGCTTCTTGGGCGACCCATCGTCTGTCCCGGAGGCACAGTACGATAGGAAACTATACGGCATACCTCTACTCGCGTGGACACATGCACATCGCCGGGCCAGAGCTTAGCGACCCCCTAGACTTCGATATTAGTTTCTTCTCGGACCCACACGACATTGACTTGAAGAAGCAGATTTAGTGGTACAAGAAGCAGCGCGAAATCGTTCGCCTCACGTCTATGTATCGTGGTGAGCATGCACCTGGTCACCCAGCCTTCCCCGCCGGATCCGAGACCGCATGTATCGAGGCCGATGCATCGCTCGTGAAGGACCTCAAGTACTCGCCTGAGGATGATGCGGCCATCGAGGAGTGGCTGCGAGAGAATATCGACACCACACCACCTGGTGCTCACCAGGTATCGCGAAGATGGCTCCTCGCGGGGAGTTTGGCGTCGTGAATGAGTCTCTGAATGTGTGGGCCACAAAAGGGGTTAAGATTGCGGACTTGAGTATCCCGCCTATGAATGTAGGTGCCAACACGAACAACACTGCTATTGTAATGGGCGAGACGGCGGCAGCTATTCTCATTCAGGAGCTGGGTCTTCAGAAGTAGTTAAATACTATATTAATATATATTATTACTAGATATTTGTACAGCAAATGACCAATCTGCGTAGGTAGAATTCGGGCGACGAATTCACGATTAGTGGACCGATTCGCCCAGTGGTGAGCTCGATACAAGATCATGGTCCATGGAACCACTGTAAAGATATCGATCCTGGGGAGTAACTATGTTATACCCTGGGTACTATTATTCTCAGTGCCTTACGTGGAGTCTAAGAT